AAGTGAGATCTTGAAATTGCAAATTCCGTAAATAAAATTGTGAACTATTCGGTAACGAATTCAGCTTTAATGACCGTCGGGGTATTGTTTTGTTGAAAATTATTATTAATGTGAGAGCGCCAAAAACATACAGTCCATACCGATGCGACTGCAATTTATATGTTCGCAATTGGTGTGGCGCGTTTATTAATAGTGTAAAATAAATTAAACGAATATCAATTATAACCAAGCCTGTCAGCGTGTTTATTTTCTGTGGGGAGGAATCGTAAAATACCATCTTGAGACAAATTCACTTCTATTATAAAATCTTAATTTTCAGTTATTATCGTTATACAAATAACGTGTGGCAACTTTTTAATTTATCGTCGACCAAAAAACCGTCCACACTCGTCCAAACGTGTGTCGAGCTTGAACGACCGGAACAGATTCATCGACGACCTTAATTAGGGGAAATATGTATTTTATTGGGAATGCAAAATAAATGTAACAAAACGCATTTTTTGTGATATAACTTTGTATTTTCGGAAACGGGTAATTTGATCTAAATTAATCGCAAAAAGGTTTTATTTTAAATGTAACAAAACACATTTTTCGAGATACAACTGTATTTTCGGATACCTGGTGTCATGAAAAGTAAAATATGATCTGAATTAACCGTAAATAATGTTTCATTCCAAATGTATCATAACGCATTTTTTGCGATATAACTTTGTATTTTCGAAAACGGGGCGTCACGAAAATTATTAATCTAATGTTTTATCTATCGTCTGGAACACATCATTTTCGGAGAAAACTCTAGCCCGCGAAACGTCATTTAATTTAAAATAGAGAATGTTTCACGCATTTCAAAACGGAAAATCACCAGTAAGTGGACAGGGATTCAACCCTCCGGATTCAGTATTCTATATCCCCCGTGTGTCAGAACTTTCTGAAGAATGGAACAAAGAACCCGTCAAAACCGCCGCGGAAGAAGGGGAGTAGTTATTGCACTAATAATTAGGGCGTGACAATATCAAAATTGTCAAGAAACTGGTGAATTTGCAAATTCCATAAATTAAATTGTGAATTGCTCGGTAAAATTTTAGCTATAATTATCGCCGGGTTATTGTTTTGTTGAAAACACGTTGAAACTTGAGGGAATTAGTTACAATTAGCGCCTGACCTCTATGAGGCATTCGAGCACTCGAAAAAAAAAGCACTCGAGCCCAATCTTTTTAGCCTTAAGTCGCATACGTAAAATATCCTGTAAAAGAAGTGCTGTTCATTAACGTCGTCTCGTCTTATGACCACGCAGAAATGCCTTTATTGCCGAATTATTCAATCACTATTTTAAATCAACATTCAGGATTGGCACAATTTCAGACTTGCGAAGTTTATCACCATAGAAATACATGAGAAAGTTAATTATCGTCTTAATAAATATCTGCATCACGGTATGGACAATAATATTACCATTCGCATAAAATTAGGACGGTAAATTTACAAATCTTGATAGGTAATAATAAAGCCAACGCAAATGTTAATTTGAGTCCTCAATGTCTTCAACAGCTGTTGCCAATGTGAACGAACGGGTAAACCCGAAATATAAACTTCCATGTCCGCCGAGCCACAAGAATTCATATTTGTAAAAAAGAGAGGGCGGGAATATAGATTACCCAAAACCTGGATATCGCCGCCAAAACGATCAGTGACAAGAACAATTAGCGATTACAACGGAATTAACCAGTAAAAAGGCTTTGTTGCCGATTTTTTAATGTTTCCACCACGTTTATTCGGTACTCCTTAAAAATATTCGATTCAAAAAATATTGAATTTTGCCCACCCAACCTCGCATATCAATGAGAAATAGTTGTGTAAATATCGCAAAATTACGGAAAATGCCACTCCTTTCAACATTGTGATTACAATAAAATGGCACTTAATGGTATTTTGTGAATTTGGTGATTTTGCAAATCTGTGACATGCTACTAAAAGTTTCGTCTGATTTGAAAATCGTGCAGTTTGGTCACAATTCATCCAAAGTGACTATAACAAGTAACACTTTTATAGTCATTTTGAATTCATCGATATCATTGATAGTCACATGACCACTCTTGTTCAAAGAAACGCACTGGGTATTATTCCAACATCTGGTTTCAATCACCAGGGAGCGTTTTTTGCGGGAGAAGCGTTTTTTTGCGGTGTGCTTGTATAATAATCATATTATAAACAAGAATTTTGCCGTTAATGCAAAAGCTTTATTTCCTATGTCTGCATCTCATAGGTCAGAATTCCGGTAGATATCGTTATGATATGCAGAATTGAGTTACAAAAGTACTAGTATGTTACTTATTTGTCAACTTAATACTCGAAAATATTTGTTAACTTTGAATTTTTATTCCATTCGAAATCAGAAAAAAGTGCTATTTCCCTTAAAAATCGGAAAAAAGTGCTATTTCGCAGTCCCTAAAAAAAGTTGCGAAAGTGCTTTCGCAATTTTCGCAAAAAAGTGCGCTAATAGTGAACACTGTTGCACACCCCTGGTTTAAAATCATTAGAAATATTTTCAGTTATTACTAATCGATCTTAAGATCGGTAAGTATGTTGATAGGTTTTTGTCTGTTTGTATGTCTGTGTGTTAGATGCACGCGATATCTCACGGAAGCGAGGTTGAATCTGCTCCAGATTTTGAATGTGCATTCATCATAGCTCGGATCAGAAGCCTATTGATTTTGGATGGATTATGTCTTATAATTAGCGAGTTATTGATTAATTAGTGATGGGACACACGGTGTCACTATGGAGTAAGACCACTGTTTTGAGGGATCCCCTAACCTTCGATCGATAAGTCTTCTTCTTTTAACCGATATTCTAGTTTTTTAAATTCATTACCATGTGCAGATGAAGCTTCAAATACTATGCAGTTCGTGCATTCTATACTTTCTAATTTGGGTGCTATCTCGTTAGGGCCCAGCATCTAATTTCCGACCTTTTTTAGTTTATCTTAAATTTATGGCAGTTCAAACAGGTACTCTAAGCCGAGAGGTCTACGGGACAGTTCTTACTGGTTCACAAGCAATGTCTTTCGTTATTAAAAATTTGTGAATAATTTAAAAGAATGGATCATGTCTTATCAAACTATTTGACTGTAACTGCCGACTGCAGGTCGGAATTCCCCCCTTTTGAAATGTAAAAAGAAAGAAATATTTCTGTGTCAAGCATAGCAATTTTTTCTAGCTTGAAATGCTTTTAAACTTTCAAGATGCATGAAAACCCATATTTACCGGCCTCTCTGAAAATTTTCGAACCCCCCCCCCTCTAAAAATTTCTTGCTATTCTCCTGGGTTAGGGCAATAGCAGGGTAGCACCCAACCAACATGATGTTTTTATTTGGCATTCCAGTTTTTGCTTTTACCTTTTCAATTACTGTAAAATTCATTGTAGTACTTAATAACGTTTTTGAACATTACTGTGTTTTGTTCTCAAAGTTCCAAATATCTGTCAACTTTAGTTCCGAATTCAGTTTTTAATTTTGCAGTTTTGTCAACTTTTTTCAACTATTGAACTGTGGAAACAGAAATGAAGTTGTATCTTCAAACTCTCAGAGTTTTAATTGGTGATAATTGAGCCAGGGTTGCGGGTCGAGGGTCGGATCATCCTTCCTCTTTTGAAATATAAAAAGGTTGAAGCAGTTTTCTATATCACACAGATCAATTTTTCATAATTTGCAACGCTTTTTAGATTCTCACGATTCATGAAGACCCACGTTTTCTGGAAATTTTCAATCCCCACTTTATTAAAATTTCCTGACTACGCCTTTGTGGAATGGTGATAGCGGAATAGCACCCAGATTTAGGATTTTATTTGACATTCAGTTTTTTGCTTTTAATTTTTGTACAATTTTCATCAACTTTAGTTCCAAATTAAGTTTTTAATTTTGCAGTTTTGTCAACTTTTTTCAACTATTAGACCATGGAATAAGAAATGGAGTTGTATCTTCAAACTCTCAGAAAATAATTAGTTATAACCGCGTTCAGAATACCCAAATAGTTTGGGTACTCCAGCGTAGCGAGGAGGGGTAGGGGGAGGTTTAATTTGCTTTTCAATCATTTACGACTTTAGGTCAAATTCAAATTTTCCTGATCAATTGTGAATTTTCCTATAGTCCACAGGCATGAGAATACTTAAATATGAACAAATATAATATATTCCTTGTGTCCCCTAAAAATAAGACCCAGTCTGGATTTTAAAATAATTTTAAAGTAAGCCCATCCCTTATGATAACATCTAGTAGATATTGCAAAAATAAAAACGTGTTATTTTGAAGTAAATTAATATCGATTGTCATATTATGTATATTTGAAAATCTCATAATTCTCTACTTTGAATTTTTGTTTCTGATAAATTAAAAAAAGACATCGCCCTAAATAAGCCCTAGCGTTATTTTTTGAAAGAAAATAGAAATAAGACCCGGTCTCATTTTTGGGGAAACTCTATGTATTCAGGGTAGATTTAAAATTTTTTAATTTTAGCTATTTCTGCCAAACACTGTTCCTATTTCGTCATCTTTTTTTAAAACAAGCTGAAAATATTTTATGTTCTACAAGTGCTTACAATTTTTACAACTGAATTTTTCTGGTGGATTTTCCCATAGTCCACGGGCCTGAGAATGCTTCAATATGAACAAATATTCGAAATAGATTCAATTTTAGCCGTTCCTGCCCAACTCAGTTCCTATTTCGTCAACATATTTTTAAACGAGGTGAAAATAATTTTTAGTTCTGCCAGGTATATTGTTACTAGAATACTCAAATTTTGCCTATTTTGCAATTTTTATCATCATGCTGATTCTAAATAATTTCTCGTTTTAATTTATTACAGGTTGTTTAATTTAAGATAGTATTTGGACTTATTTTAACCAATCAAAATTCAATTCTGTCGGAACAAAAATACATGGATATTCCCATCAATCTTTAGAACTACGGAATCATTAACCAACATTGTTGCTGTTTTAAAAGTTTCTGCTACATTTCCTTGACAGTGCTGACTTGAAATGTCACGGGGATATATCTGTATCTAACTGATAAGAGTATCATTGGCTACTTGCAACTCTTCTATCATGACTCTTTCCACATAGACTTGAGGACTTGGAATCTTGCTTTGAGCGAACTTGCAACTCTTTTATCAGTACGGTATTCTTTCCAGTAGTTGAGGGCCCGGGACCTTGCTTTGAGCAAACTTGTGACAGCTCTTCGCACTTCAATGACTGTTTGTAACTCCTCTATCGTCATCTTTTTGGATTGAGGAATTTGAATCTTCAAGCTAACTTGCTTTGAGCATATTTATATTTTTAGCTGTTTGGACATCACTAACTGCTTACAGTGCTTGAAGGCTTATGACCCTGCTTTAGGCAAACTTATACCAGAACCCACTTCTGGTTGAGTGTCTATGTTTTGAGCAAACTTGCGCAGCTTTTAGCATGCCTTAGCAGTACTTTTCCCCAATTTTGAAGCAAATTTCAAATCATTGAAGGATTTTATTTTACTTTGATCTGGTTGCTATGGATACGTGGCTACTCGAATTACGACTCAAATCTGGGTCTTTAGAGAAAGATAAAGCGGAAGAAATCATCAAAAATGTATCCGATTTGATTAAAAATTATTTGTGCAGTGATTGCAATCTCATGTACAAGTCATTTAATGTTGGATTTTTAGCCCTTTTCACTTCGAAATCTGGCATCAGTGTTTTGGTACGGGGCTTCGAATATGATGGCGTGCTTCTGACTCTTGATATCAGCACACCTGGTGTCACTAACGGAGCTTTTAAAGCAAAAGTTTCAAAATTTGAGAAAAATATTCGCTTGTTAAGTTTCGTGGAACCGCCGAGAACGAGATATTTCCCTTCCCTCCCGAGTTTGAAACGTGGGCGTCCATTTTCTACGTATGATTGCGAGGACGGTTGGTTATTTGAGTTTGATTTTGACTCCGTAGTTTTTGACGAGGTCTCGCCGTATCAACATATTAGAATTATGAATTCCAAGCAATATGGAAAATGTCTTTTTCTCGATAATAATTTGAATTTATCAGAAAGTGATCTGGAATACACTCGAGCTATCACTGGATATGATAAGGAAGATTACAAAGATAAGACTGTATTGATCTTAGGAGGAGGGGACGGGGGAATACTTCATTATCTACGAGATCGCTGCCCAGCTATGATAACAATGATTGACATTGACCAAATAGTTATTGACGCAGCGAAAATACATTTGCAAGGAATTTGCCATGATGCTCTTGACTCCCTCAGTGGTGAAAATTACGAAATTATCATAAGCGATTGTGTCGTGTACCTTAAAAAATATGCGTCAGAAAAGAAAAAATTTGACTATGTTATCAACGACCTTACTGATATTCCAATAGACGTGAACCAGTCTGAGGATCAGATAGCATTTTCTCGACAAATTTTGTCTCTGTCTATGCAAGTCTTAAAAAATGACGGGAAATACTTTTCTCATGGGATAGCACTGCCTTCATCTGTCGCTGTTGTGGAGAAGCAATTTCAAGATCTGGAATGTCGCGTGAAATACACAAAACAAGCTGTATGTGTGCCGTCATTCTTCGAGTTCTGGATGTTCTACACTGTTTGGAAATACATCTGAAGATTTTAGATAACTTGTTTTCCGGCTAACAAACTGTCACCAAGTTTAACACTAAAAATGTGAGTTTTCTGAATTACTGTCCAATAAGCCGATGCAGAACAATTTTGTTTTTTCTGTTCGTAAAATATGCACCAAAGTTTTGTTTTTATCGATTTTATTTTACTCGATCTGTATGTGTGTCATTATCCTCAGAGATCTGGATGTTTTGTACTGTTTGGAAAGACATCTGAAAAGTTCATATACCAGTGCTAACAAGCCAGGACCAATTTTAGTCCTAAAATGTGAGATTTTCCATATCACCCCCCCAATATGTGTTACCTCTTTTAATGTTCTATGCATCTGCAAAAAATAACCGGCCAACTAATTTCATACTCGACACGTACTGGTAACGAGAGGCCAGGGTTTGCCATATAATTAAGTAGTCTTATCGGCTTTCCTCTCCTCGAGATAAATATGTAAATTCCATCCTATCCTAATGTGAAGGATGTTTTACAGCCAGTTTGTGGTGTTCAAATAAAACTAAAATTTCCCGTTCGGGAAATTCTGATCATATTATTATACCTTATGCACGTTCTAACGTAACCTTTTCTAGATATAATAGACAGTTTTATAAATTTATCACAGTAATACTGAATAAATGACAATTATGAAGAATTTTTTTGCCCTTTCCAGTTGGCAAACACTGTTTATATTAATATACCTTATGCATGTACTGTTATGCCCAAGATGTGAATTATTATATTTATATGTTACACTATCTTGCCTTTTTACAACTCTTTAATGATATAGCTTTAGTACAGCTTGCCGCTACTCGATACTGAGACAATTTTTTAAAATTAGTCACGGATAATTTTTTTTGCTGGGAAGGGATTGTTGGAAAACACCGTTTTCACACAAGTTTGGGTGCTCCCGAAGTATGGGAACCAAGATGGCGGACATCGGAACGTAACATGGGTAACAGGTTAGGGTTAGGCGATATTTTTTTTCCAATTTTCCTTATTTTAGTCCTATTATCAGTTCGAAGACTAGCCAAGAGCCTCCCGTAGTATTTATACCTAAAATTATGGCCTAACCCTAACCTAGTACACATATTACATTCCGATGTCCGCCATCTTGGTTCGCATATTTCGGGAGCTCCCAAGTTTGATCATGTGGGTTGGTACAGCTTGCCATTACCTGATATATAAAGATAAAGCTCTTCCTCAGATGGGAAATGCTTTTTATATTATTATACCTCGTGCATTTCCAATGTGTGTATAAATACATATTACAATAATCCTAAACAAACAAGAGAGCTATGCTCAAATATATGGACACGTAGCGCCACCCAATGGCAATAATTTTGATGACGTCATAGCGAAAAAATAAAGTAATAGCCTTCTGGAGAAAAATTTTATCTTTAACCACTGTAAGCAATTGGTCCAGTATTCGAAGAGAAAAGCGATTTTTTTAAAAATGATGGAGACAAATAATAACAATAACAACATAATATTGAAACGATCGTTATGTCCACTAAACGTGTCCAATAACAAATACTGATAATAATACACACAATAAGTAATACTCTGCTCAAATACAAGTGAAATTTCTTCCTCAGATGGGAAAGCTGTACAGCAGTGGTCGACAACCTACGGCCCGCGTGCTGGATCTGGCCCGAGGAGTAATATAATCCGGCCCGCGGCGCTTCACTGAATTATAGTAACAAAATGGCTGTTTTGACGATTTTATTCTTTACGTAACAGAATTTATTGTGAGACTTGTGTAGAGTAAATGATATTATAATCTAACAAGTATAAAATTCACAATTACTCGTTTAATGAGCCTGTAATTTAGTTATAATTTGACAAACGGCAACAAAACCCAAAAATGTTGATCCTAACGGCAGAGGGGTTCAATGGCGCCGAATATATATAAATAGACTTTTTTGAGATGCAATGCAATGAGGAAATAAATTCTATTCGAGAGATGTATCACTGCTTGATTTTCATTATAAAAAGTATCATTCGTTCGTTTTTCAACTTTCTAAGGTTGCCGACCCCTGCTGTACAGTAATTATAAATAACAAGGGATTTCTCCCCAGGGCCAAACACTGTTTCTGACACTATCTTGCCTCAACAGTTTAACAATTTTTCGAATTATATTTTCTGTTTTTATTTGTTATTTTACCTATTTATTCTAGATCATATGCATATTTTATTTACTCAAGGTTTCAAATTTTTATTTTTTTCTATTTCATTACAAAACTATGCCTGGTCCGTGGGGACCTCCTGAAGTATGTGCACCAAGATGTCGCACAACCTGAACCCTAATCTGGTAGACAACCTGAGTTCAGGTTGTGCGACATCTTGGTGTGCATACTTATTCACTTTACCTTATCTACTTTACTACCAGCGGGTGGCGCATCATGTTAAGCCATAGCACCTCTGATCACCCTGTACGTAGGGTGAAGCCAGGACTTTTGAAGGGGGGGGAGGGGGAGGTTCTGAAATATTTGACCGCAACAGCCAGCGGATCCCAAAACCTGGTTTTAGAGGGTAAAATGAATATTTTTCAAATTTTAAAAGAGAGAGGGGCGAGACCCCAAATGTTCCTCCCCCCTGGGTATGCCCCTGCTGTGTGAGTTGATAAAAATGAGCTCCTTAAGGTAACAGTCGCCGGTTGTATAGGGACTTGTTAACAGCAAAATGTATGAATAAATGTTTTACACAGAAAAATATTTATTTTTATTTTAATTTTTTGATATTTCCATAATTATGATATATTACACCTGATTGCACATCTATTCTTTTTATTACTTTTTAATGAGTGTGTTATCTGCTTTGAACAAATATTCTTATGATGTAGTTAGTACATGGTCGCCTAAGAAACAAAACCTTTGAAACATATTCTAGAAGCAGTGGTTCTCAAACTTTTTTAAGCCACGCCCCTTTTCAGAATTTGTCATGTTTTTCCCCACGTCAAAAATAACTAGCTAACAATAAGCTACAAATAACGGATAGAAAGGCGAATGTTTTATTAAAAAAACACGTTGAAAATATGTGGATGGAACGTAAATAAGGAAATAAATGTAAATGTAAAGATCAAATCTAACAAATATGTTTATTTTTAATTAGCTTCACGTCATTCAAAAAGTTGTCTGCGCCCCTATAGTGTTTGAGAATCCCTGTTCTAGAGAGCAAAGCAGTCTAGATGGTTACTTATTGATTTTAATCAGTAAGTATGTTGATAGGTATTTGTCTGTCTGTATGTTTGTCTGTCTGCCTGTTAGATGCACGCGGTATCTCACGAAAGCGAGATTGAATTTGCTCCAGATTTTGCATGTGCATTCATCATATGTCGTACCAGAAGCCTATTGATTTTGGATAAATTATGTCGTATAATTAGCGAGTTATTAATTAATTAGTGATGGGACACAAGATGTCACTATGAAGTAAGAGCGCTGTTTTGGGGATTCCCTAACTTGTGATCGATAAGTCTTTGGTCTCTGACCAATATTCTTGTTTAACTTTTACGATCATACACAAACGAAAGTTCAAGAGTTAAATAAATTTCTTTAATTTTTGTATAAGTAGGGTTCTGTATTTGGGCCACCCTGTTCCCAATTTTTTATGGAATATAATCCATTTTTTGTCTCTGTATTATGCAATGCATATTGATATTATGCTGATCTATGCATTTTCTATTAAAAACCCGAAGACCAATTAATTTAGAACAATAATGATCTGTGCATGGATGTTGGGTCGGAAAAAGTCACAATCAATTCTTGACGTCATGTTGAAAAAGAGTTTGTACCCCCTTTTCGAATTAAAAAATTTGACTTTTACTCAAGATTGATGAAAATTTTTGATATTTTGCGCTAATCCCCTGCCACATTTTTTAATAACAAATAGTAATTATCCAGTCGGGGTTAGGAATGATGTGAAGGCGTTTGAAAATATGGATCCAACTATGCCAAACTCACAGCCTTGGAACTTTTTATGAAGCTTTTTTCCACTGTTTAATGTTACTTTTGCTTCCATTTATCAATGCTCTTCATTATTCGATCATCTGAGTCTTGTTGATGACATTTCATTTCGGGTTTGTCACCTTGAGTTTTTGATAATTCCTCAAATGGTGTCTCTAGTTTTTGACCCTAGTCCCAAATACCCCCCCAATTTATACTTTTTCAACATACAGAACTTATTGAATTTTTCAAGTGATATGATATACGATACAAATATATTTGATATATTTATTTATTCAGATTTATTAAATAATTTATGAAATTAAAATTAGTAAATGCGGTAAGCTAACATCACTGATTAGCTGAATAAATTAGTATTAGCTTCTTATCGACTTCTATACATACTGCAACATCAATATTCGGAATAATAGATTATTTGGATTTGCCAACTCTGATTTAACCCATGGCTGGGGAATACAAAGAGTTACACTCGGTGCTCATCGATGGAGCCCCTAGGTTTGGAACTAGCGCCCTATCGTTTGACAATGAATTGGAGTTACTTTGGTCAGGAAATATGGGCGGACACATCACATCATACTGTGGAGCAAGCCTTCAGAAGTATACATCGTTTCAGGTAATCAAGTTCTTTTTTGGTACTCTTGTACCTCCGTTAGGGCATTATTTTGTTTGAATTTTCCTTTTTTAGTTCTATTACGAGTTCAGAGACTGTCTGTGTTAGCCAAGTGAATATACCTCCTGCCTATAGGTTTCATTCATTCCCTTTACACAACTTGATGTAAAGTAGGCGAAAAAAATTAGTTACCTCCATATTGGTACTTATATTCCTTTATTTTGAGGCTGCAGTCACAAAAGAGGTCATGAAGCCTAATTTAAAAGTCTGTAAATGTTTGAGCCCTATTCTTATTGTCAGTGGTGTTGCATTGTTGAGCAATACAAATATGCCTGCCATGCATGGACCACCCTACAATGGCAAGAGGTAAAATTTTTTGCACATAAATATCACCTACAGCATTTGAACCTTAGGAACCCAGGTAGGATATTTAGAGATGATCATAAGTTCACGTATTCCTAATCCTTTAGGTCTACTGCCTAGCCCAATTTTCAACCTTTTTTTCTTTTGGGGCCCAACATTTTGTGGCCCATAAACTTTCTCATACAAGGAAAAAACTAGGAGAAAAGGGAAAAAATTATTTTCGTAAAGATAAGACATATTTAAAATGTAAATTACCACTCAGTAGAAAAAACAGCATCATTATTACTTATCGATTGTAATCGGTAAGTATGTTGATAGGTATTTGTCTGTCTGTTTGTCTGTCTGCCTGTTAGATGCACGCGATATCTCACGAAAGCGAGATTAAATCTGCTCCAGATTTTGCATGTGCATTCATCACATGTCATACCAGAAGCCTATTGATTTTGGTTGAATTATGTCGTATAATTAGCGAGTTATTAATTAATTAGGGACACAGGGTCTCACTATGGAGTAAGAACGCTGTTTTGGGGGATCCCCTAACTTTCGATAGATAAGTCTTATCAGTTTTAATAGGTTCATGGCCCACCTGAAAATGTTTCTGTTGCTCATAAATGGGCCATGGCCCACTTGTTGAGAACTGGTAGCCTAGCCATAATATTCTAAAGTATTTTAATTCTGTTAAGATCGACGCAAGGAATCCTGTGATTGGAATCGAGACGGTAAAAGATCGTGTTCTGTCTCTAACTAAAGATCGAGTAACTTGCCACTCAAAATTTGGATTAAAAGAATACGAGTTTTTGCCAGAATCTACCTTCTCTATCGAGTCCTCCATGTTGTATAAAGATACTTCGCTTCTGATTGGTGGAAAATCGTCACGCCTGATTGAACTTGATTTAAATACTGGAGCTTCACCGGTGCGTGACTTCACTGACGAAGGAAAAATGGAAAACGGAGTTATGTTGTTTCGAAGCAGTCCGAGGTTTATTTGTTGCGGAGACGTTGCTGGTAACATCATACTTCGTGACCGAGAAACGTTAAAAGCGCAACATGTGTTTAACGCTCACACAGGAACGTTGTCGGATTTTGATATCCACGGCCACTTGTTAGTTACGTGCGGATACTCTTTACGGCACGGAATGGACCGTAGTATTCCCCAATCACTGACTTTGGATCGAGTTATCAAGGTCTTTGACACAAGGATGATGCGTACAGTTACCCCCATTCAAGCGCACATACAACCAGCTTTTGTGCGTTTTATACCGACGTACACGAGACGTTTGATTATTATGAACGAGAGAGGCCAGTTTATTTTAATCGAGGACAACGCCGCTGTTACTCCAAGCACTCCGATATATCAGTTAAATAACATGTGCGGAAATATAACGAGTTTCGCGATGTCAAATTCAATGCAAACTTTGGCGTTCGGAGATTCTGGGGGACATTTACAGCTCTGGTCTTCCTCAGCCAACCCAACTTTTCACCAATATCAAAAGATGCCGGAGTTTGCTCCGATTCCGGAACCACTGGAGCATAGAATCGCTATTGATGACTACTCAATTCCACTCTCTGTGATTCCAATGCCACGTTGTCGTGAGAAGCTTCTTTCTGATTGGCCGTTGAAATATTGTAACCCAGTTAGCCGTAGACCGCCACCGATTGACCCCAATATTATTCAAACGATGAAAATTGTTCATGGAATTGGATACGCCCCTAACCCAGGCAACAGACGTCGGAATCAAGTTCCATACAAGTTAAAAGACATTGCGAAACAGGATAAAATGGGAAAAAAGGCTGCTGTGCCAGACTCACCACTAGGGCGAGAGGAGCAACCACACTTATACATGGTTCCGAAAAAATATCGAAAAATTTCGCTAAAATATTCAAAATTGGGTTTTGAAGAAGATAGTATGATACAGCACTACAACAGAACTAATTTTGCTGGGCTGGATCCAAACATTTTGAATGCTTATTGCAATAGCATGTTGCAAGTACTCTATTTCTTGCAGCCACTGAGGTCCAGTTTGCTCCAGTATCATAATTTGGAAAAGGAATTTGATTTGGCAGAAGAATTGGGATTTCTGTTTCGTATGCAAGACTTGTCTAAAGGTAATTTTTTTTAGATCAGCCCGAATTACACATCATTAATATGAAGCCACTGATTGTAAAATCGTAGATAGCCCAAAATTTGAGAAGATGGGAGGTGTGGATATTTGTCTTGTACGATGTGACAATACAATATCAATAAAAAAATAAGTTTCCTAACTTTGATCAATTAAAATCGACACTGACATCTTACTAAGCATTAAGAACACGCTTGCTCTTGCACGAGGTTCGCATAATTGTTCGTATGCGGATTGCTGGAACCTCCAGTCGCCTAAGGGTGGTTAACGTAACTGGCTAACTAATCTCATACCCGACATGACCCTAACCCTAACTGAACAGGAGGCTGGCGTTCCACATAATATAATTAAGGCGTCTTTTCGACTGACTTATTTCATACACCATTATCGAACCTGTGCATTTTAAACAAATAATCAGCTAACTAATCCCATAGCAGTCAGAGACTTGTAATTGGTCGTGATTTGCCATATTCATTAATCCATCTTATTCCCTTTCCTCTCCCTATATTATTAAACACGCAATCTTACTCCACCATCAAGTCCACGCATCTGAAATAAATAACTGGCTGACTAATCCCATACCAGACATGGACTGGTAACCAGACGAGAGGCCATAGTTTGCCATCTATTTTATCGGCTTTCTTTTCCCCCCATGATAAAATATGAAAATCTCTAAATTTTTTTTTTGTCAGGGGGAGTTTTACAAGCAAGCAATTTTCTGAGAGCGTTTCGCACAATTCCAGAGGCTACAGCATTGGGATTAGTGCAGAATTCATCTCAACCGGAACAAGTCGGAACATCAACTCACGGAAATCTCTCTCAACTTGTTCAGAACTGGAATTGCTTTATTTTACAACAGCTACAAACGGAGTTGTCCCAAGCTCCACCAAGAAGCCCGGATTATATTTTCCAGAAAGAACCGAATGTGCCAAATAAAACCGCGATGGAAAAAATATTCGGAACCGAGATGAAAATTTCAACAAATTTTAAAAATGGAAATAGTAGTGAAAGAATGGCAGTTCAGTTGATTTTTACGCTCAATTACCCCCCTTTACCCCCACCTGGGGAACCCCCCAAATTAGTCCCATTTACAGACATTATAACACGTAGTATTTGCTCGAAAGTGCAAACCAAATCTTACGATCCAAATTCCGCGACTTATCAACCAATGGAACAATTACGTACACCTGTATCCCTGCCAGAAGTTCTTGCTCTAAATTGTGGACTCATGCGTGACGACGAAATGCAATTCTGGAAAATACAAATGGAATTATTGCAGCAAATGAACGCAGCAAGAGTATCAGAAATCGACAAAAAAAGGAAGTTGTCAAAGGAAGAAAATGGAGAGAATACTGGAAAGAAAAATGACTCGGCTATGCCAGATGATAAAAGGTTCGACTAATTTTGTATTTTTTACTCAAAACAAGGTTCTGTAAAGTCAGCTTTATGGGCTTTGAAAAATTTGGCATTGTCTATCCCAGTGGTGCCCAACCTTTTATGGTTCATGGCCCTTTTGGCACTCATGGCCCCTTGTTTATCATTCTAGTGGCACGTAATAGTCTTATTTTGATTAGTAGTTTCAAATTAGATTCAAAATTCATGCTCAACAAAGTGAAAACATTTTGTGAAATAACCTTATCAAGCAATGAAACTAGGAAGAACAAGGAGTTTCGTTGTGAATTGAAAATGAAATCTGTTTTTCGCCGAGTTTTGTGACCTCCCCCAACTGCTCTCTGGCCCAAGGGTCACCGGAGCTTGTTCATTTAATTTTGAGGCTTCAATTTGACAGGGTAAAACTTCCAAAAAAAGTTTTCAGAAAATGAAAAAAACATTTTTTAATTTTCAAACATTTCATCGAATGTTGCTTTAAACTTCGATCTGAAGACCATCCTTCAACGTACTTTGAAATAGCCCCAGTCCTATCTTTCAAAAATTAAGATAAGCGTGCCAAGTGGTCAAATATGTCACAAATTACATTTCATTATTTCAGCGACGCTTGGAACGTTTTTGCAGAAAGAGAAGGATTAGATTTATCGTTTGACCAACAACACAAAGCTACCTGGCTTCCTCTTAGCATTACTCTTGCGCTGACTAAGTCTGGGGAATTAAAGGTTTGAGGATTTTTCAAAATTTGCCATTGAGCAGGAGTTGAATGTACAAACTTTGGTACTCCCGAAGTATGTGAACCAAGATGGCGGACACCGGAACGTAGTATGTTTACCAGGTTAGGGTTAGGCCATAATTTCAGGTACAAATACTACGGCAGTCACATGGCTAGTCCCCAAACTCGTAATAGAACTAAAATAAGGGAAATTGGTATAAAATTATGGCCTAACCCTAACATGGTACATATACTACTTTGCGGTGTCCGCCATGTTGGTTCACATACTTCGGGAGTACCCATGCTTTTCCTTAGGCCGCTACATTTGATTGTTGTATAAGTAGGTATAGCCGCCAGGAAATTGCCTTATATAGAAGTCATTTTTATGAGTTGAATTTGCCTTGTGTATTTTCAGAGCTATAGTGTAATAGTTATTTTCCTGGTTTTCTCTCAGTAATATTTTTGGGCTGATTAAGTCTGGGAATCCAAAGGTTTGTGGATTTTTCAGAATTCGGCTCTGAACTGTAGTAGCTAAAAAATGGCAGTTCAGTTGATTTTTACGCTGAACTACCCCCATAACCCCCACTGGGGGAACCCCCAAAACTAGTTCCATTTACAGACATTTGTGTAAAATTTCTGTTTGTTAAAAAAAAATTGACCCTTATTTTTGTTCAAAAATTTTGAGTGATTTCATTTAAATTACCTGAGTAACCCTGACTCTCTATAAATATGGACTCAAGCCTAACTCTATTAAAATAGCAAAGTTTTTAAACTTTCACTCAATTTTTAGGTCACTTTAAACTGAATAGCCTACTTTGGCATTGAATTGCTCATTCCTATACTTCAGCAACCCAAAGTCTTCTATAAATAATGACTCGATTATAATGGCCTTTTTTCAATTATCAGGTTACTTCAAACGATTCAAAAAGTCCACATCATAAGAAGTCAGAATCGAACGATGCGAACAACGGCGACACAGACAATGATATTGTTCAGGAATCAACTTACGACCTCTACACAACTATCTGTCATATTGTCGATCCAAGAACTGGCGGAAATTTAGTCGCTCATGTTAACGTCGGAGAGAAATACCATCAGGTTTTTAATTTGTAATTGGGTTCTCTCGAAGTATGTGAACCAAGATGGCGGACAAGATGTGTACCAGGTTAGGCCATAATTTCTGGTACAAATACTATGGGAGTCACTTGGCTAGTCCCCGAACTCGTAATAGAACTAAAATAAGAAAAACTGGAATAAAATTATAATCTAACCCTAACCTGGTACACATACTATGTTCAATTGTCAGCCATCTTGGTTTACATACTACGGGAGCGCCAAATTTTCAGACTTCCAATGGTGATGAATCAGTCAAAATTTGGCCCTCCTGAAGTATGTAAACCAACATGGCGGACATCAGAACGTAACATGGGTAACAGGTTAGGGTTAGGCGATAATTTTTTTCCAATTTTCCTTATTTTAGTCCTATTATCAATTCGAAGACTAGCCAAGAGCCTCCCATAGTATTTATAGCTAAAATTATGGCCTAACCCTAACCTAGTACACATATTACATTCCGATGTCCGCCATCTTGGTTCGCATACTACGGGAGCCCCCAAAATTTTCTATGAATAATCAAAAAATTTTACTAAGTTTACTAAACGTACTTGGTAATCTATCAAAGAACGCTTACATGGGAGTTTTTTTTGTTTGTTATCAAAACTTGATTTCCTCTTGGGTTGTAGCTGGAGTCAAGGTTTGTAATTAGACTAAGAGTTATTAACAGTGTATTAAATATAACTTAAATTGTACAAGACAAAGTTTTTCTTATCAAAATTTGATTTCCTTTGAGTTTGGAGCCGGAGATGGAGTCGAAATTTGAATAAAAGTTTTTACAAAAATCAATTAACAATAGCCATGCTTAACAGGTTAATAATAAATGAGTCTCAGATAAGAGCTGTAGTCGAACCCAAAAATTAGTCTAGACTCTGTGAATCAAAATTTTTTCTACAACATGGAGAGTGTAATCGCTTGCAAATTTCCCGATCTCGATAATTTTAGTAGCAATAGTAAAGATCTGCTTATAATGGTTCATTATTTTTCACAGCTTAAGGAAGGGGTCACCCACACCCAATGGTACCTTTTCAACGACTTCCAAATCTGTTCGATCGACGCCGTGGAAGCCGTGGACTTTGATTTGCAATGGAAACTGCCTGCGATTATTTACTACGCTAGAAGAGATATGTTCAGAAGGTGCGTAGACTAGAACAGGACTTCCCGAACTTTTAAGATCGTGTCCCCTACCGAAACAACCCCTGTTAAGTCAACATTGTTATACAAGTGCACCACTTTTCTTTTCATGTTATGTTCTGCACTAGTTTTAAAAATTGTGTTTCGAATCAAAAGTCTAAAAAAGTACAATAGATACAGTACTTTGTGTGAAATTGGTGTTCACTTTGCGGCCCCTAAAATTCATTGCGCTTCTCCTGCACGGTTCCAAATCTCAGTATGGGAAGCCCTGAAGCCCTTTTCGTTTTCATTTTTTAAACTTTTGCCTGGTGGCCAGGCGAAGTCATGAAGACTGGTACTGTACTGGTAGTCTACTATGACAGATAGTTCACCCGTATTGCTTCATTTTTTGCCTTTGTGCTCGTATATTTGAACGTCGCTCGCTTGTTTTATTGTCTGTCACTGATGGTTTTACTCCCGTAGTATGTGTACCAGGTTAGGTTTAGGCCATAATTTTATTCCGATTTTCCTTATTTTAGTTCTATTACGAGTTTGGTTACTGTCTGTGTTAGCCAAGTGAATATTCCCCTGCCCATAGGTTTCAGTCCCTTTACACAACTTGTTGTAAAACAGGCAAACAAAATTAGTCACCTCCATATTGGTACACATACTTCTGAAGCGCCCTGATGATGCCCAGACCATGTGCATGTTTGTATTATTAAAATCTTTGTTTGACTTTTTTGAAACCACTAGTCTATTTATTTATTTTCAGATCTGACTTCAATGTGGCTTTCCCACTCACAGCTTCCATACTTTCTCCGTCAGAAAGTCTTTCCAAAAGTCACCCCCAATCCCCTGCACCCATAACCTTTACCCCCCTCATGCCTGCGGAGTTGCCATCCTGCCCCGGAATGCTTGTGGCCCTTGATGCTGAATTTGTGACGTTAAATAATGAAGAGGCGGAGCTGCATAGCGATGGTGAGTGTAGATATTTTGTTAGAATTTTTTGGGGGCGAGATTGGAGGGTTAAAAATTAACAAAACTTTATTCCACTATCAAGTAGTCATGTGGATCATTTTGGGGGGGATTTTGGTGCCAAAAAAAGTCTTCAAAAAAATAGACAAATTGAACAAAATTTTCAGCACTTAATAATGGATATTGTGTAGAATTCCTTTCTGTGAGGGGGAACGGTGGTTGTGAATCGAATTAAAAATGAAATGGACATTTTCCAAGATGTATTATAATAAGAATATTTAAACAAACAACAAAAAGTAAAATTTGACTCCCCAAAAACGGTCCACACTTTTCCACGGATTTATCAGTTGGATTGTTTCCTTTTTAATCTGATAATTTATCAAACTTTTCCACATTATTGATTCTGAATTTCACCCCGGTTGATAGGAAAAAACGAGCGGTAATTATAATTCAGTTAGATTATTTCATGTTTAGAACCCATCGCCGAGTTTGCCAGCCCCTCGCTACCAGTTTATATTTGTTATTTTTGCTTATGAGTTTCTTTTTTATATTCTTTGAGGGGGGCTGCCTCAGTTAGATAAGCTGTACTCTTTCTTTATATTGACTTGTTATTCTTTACATGTTCGATTTAATTTTTTGTTCAGGTTATATTCTCAATTGTATTTATTGGACACGAAGTGGACATAACGATCGTTTCAAAATTTTGTTGTTATTGTTATTTGTCTCCGTCTCCATTTTTAAAAAATCGCTTTTCTCTTCGAATACTGGACCAATTGCTTTGAAATTTTCAGTGGTTAAAGATAAGGTTTTTCTCCAGAAGGCTATTACTTTTTTTTTCGCTATGACGTCATCAAAATTATTGCCATGGGTGGCGCTACGTGCCCATATATTTGAGCATAGCTCTCTTATTTTATGAATACTGTTTTTGCCCCCTGCGCGGGGGAGGCCAGGGTTACTTACAATTGTTAATTTAAAATAAAATTGCATAAAAACAAAAATCTATTCTTTCTTCAGGCACAAGGTCCACGATCAAGCCGAGTCATTTATCCCTCGCTCGAGTCACTGTTGTCCGAGGGGAGGGCGACATTGAAGGATTACCGTTTATTGACGATTACATTTCGACCCAAGAACAGGTTGTTGACTACTTGACGAAATTTTCGGGGATTCTACCCGGCGATTTGGACGCTTCGATCTCGTCAAAACATTTATCAACGTTGAAGTTGACGTATTGCAAACTAAGTTATCTTGTACATTGTGGTTGTATCATCATCGGCCATGGACTGAGAAAAGATTTTAAGGTGAGTAAGCATGTGTGTTGTTTCTTTTGGACCCAAATGGACAAAGTGTTATAAATATGAGCACTTACCATATTTTCTGGCTAATAAGTTGAAGCCAATTTTTGCTGTAAAAAATGAGTGTTTTTGGCAACTTTATACTATTTTCTGGGATTCTACCCGATTATTTGGCCACTTCGATTTCTTCCAAACAATGAATAATGGCGTTGAAGTTGCATATTGCAAACAGAGTTATTTTCCTTACTTAGATATTCCAAATTCACAGTATTAGAACACTGAAAACTGGTTTATCTTTCTTTTCTCCCTTCAAACTGGAATGCATAATTTATCTTTTTCAATTATGTGTGTAAAATGTTTAATTTCCGTATGTGTAAATATAAATTACTTGATTTCCTAACGCTTCTTGTTTCTAATTTTCAGGTTATAAATATAGTTGTCCCAGCAACCCAGATCAGAGACACTGTCTACCTTTTCCATCTGCCAAGGAAACGGTTCATATCGCTTCGTTTCTTAGCGTGGTATTTTCTGGAGACAAAAATACAGGAGAAAAACCATGACAGCATAGAGGACGCACGAACTGCGTTGAAATTGTACAAAAAATATCTTGAATTAACTGAAAATGAGACGCAAGTTCTGAAATTCCAGCAAACTGTGCTCAAAGATATGTATGAAGAGGGAAGGAAACTGGAATGGAAAGTTCCTGGCACTGACATGTGATTGGTGCCACACTTAGTCAAAATGCTGTCACTATTTTGTGACAATGCCATAATTTTTGAGGTTATGCCTTGTTTAAATTTTTCACAGCAGGAACTTCTGAGAGAAAGTTTCTGGCACTGGCATGTGGTTGATGCCACACTTAGTAACATTGGTGCCACAGTTCTGTGAAAGTGTCATACTTTTTGAGGGTTGAGCCTGGTTTGTGATTTTTAAACTTGAACACAAAGTTCCTGACACTGGCATGTAATTGACTACGCTCTGTGACACTGGTGCCACAGTTTTGTGACAGTGCCTACTTTTTAATATTGGTGCCACCATTTAATATGTTCAAGAAATTCTTAATTGTTATTAGGAAAGAAGGAAACTGTAACTTGAATGGGAGGGTCATGATACTGGCATGTGAATGATGCCACACATTGTGCTAAGGGTGCCACATTTTTATGACAGTGCCATACTTTTTGAGGTTGACAAATATTTTTAAGAAAATAATTGTCACAAAACACAGTTTTGGAACCACTGTGTCAAGCTGACTTATTTACTGTCTCTATTATCTGGAATGTTTACTGGTTGACTGTCTCATACCGGACCAGGACTGGCAACTGCAAAAGCTTGCTGTTCACTGCGCTATTAAGTTTCTTATCCCAGTAAATATGAAAACTGTATTCCAACCTGGACTTGTATGATTGAGCTGCTTTATTGGCTTACCCTGGGATATATAAAAATAACCATCCTAACTCTTTCTGTATCCAATTATTAAAGATTCACCATATCGTTAAGCCATCTTCTTGGCTTTCCTCTCCTTCAGAATGACTACATTACTCAGAATTAAATAAATAAACAGTCAAGATCAAATATTTCATGTATTCGGGAAATCTATCTGATTCATCATTTTGCCTTGTTTTATTCTGTTTGTTTCTAACTTTTGCTACAACATCCTTACATTATACACATGCGGCTCCACTGGTGAAGAAGCGTACATGAAGGATAGGTGGCCCCCGATAACCCCAATCCATAGGTAAATTTTTATGGTACATTCAGACTACCCAAGTCCCAAGTATTCGAACCCATTATTTCTGGATCTATCCATAATTTTGGTCGGCGAATTGGAGCATTTGAATAACAATAAAAATAGAATAAGATTCGGTATTCTGGATTCGATTTAAATATTTTAAAATAGTAAGTTATTCTACATTGCCCATTCATACACTTAGAATAATTATCTTAGTTCTTGCTACAGCATCCTTGCATTATATGGATACGTCCCCACTAGCGCTGGAGCATAGAAGAAAGATAAGTAGTTGGTCTCGCAGAAACTCGATCAGTAACTTTTGATTGACATCAATGAATTCCTTTAAAAATCCTTTTTCTATGTTTTCTAGAAGTTTCAGAAAATATGCTTTCAAAAATTCGCAATCATTTTTTTTCTTTTTTCAGAAATAATTTGATTTTATAGTTTTCATTCATACTTTAAGCCGCTTCGAGCGGCCACTAATTTTAAAAATGAGTTTTAACGTCTTCAAAAGTAAGAAGCAGAGCAAAGAGGCTCGAAAAAGAATGGAACATTTGATGTACGTAGCGAAGGAGAGCCCGGAGAAAAGCTACGACGTATCGTCTTGTGAGTTATTGAACGTTCCGTCCGGAGTCTTTACAATGTGTCGCGTTCTGCAAAAGGAATCTTTATTGCTTCACACAAATTGGCTCAAAAATTTGAAAACTGGTGGAAAATTGAGGATTTGATGACACTTCGGGTAAAATTAATTTTAAGTTTTTAATTAAGTTTTACCGATAAGATTTTTAGTTGATCTCGGTGGAAAAGAAAGACGACAACACAGCTTAATTATCTGGTTTACCACGGCCCTGTTACTGGTCCATGTCTGGTATAGAATTTGTTATCCAGTTATTTGTTTCAGATACATGGACTTAATGGTGGAGAAGGCTATAACCGGCCAAACGATCTTCGAATCCCGGATGTGTAGTCTGCGATGCCAATGGAACATCTGTTTTTAATCATAGAGACTGCTTACATAAATTTTATCAAATTTTTGTCTTTTTTTGTTAGATTTTGGATCTCCATGGCAACAAACTCATGGCATTGCCAGATGAAATTTGTTACTCTGAAGAATTTACAGGTTTGTGCTGTTTTTTAGCTTTCTTTTAAGGAGAGGAAAGCTGATGGGAGTTGTTTTTTTTGTCAAATTAGTGCAGCTTTCCTCAAATGGGGAAGGATTTAATTACTTCAAAGAAAGACCTCATACTTTGTATTTGGTTGTAATATTACTAGTATTCTTAAGTCATGTTTTGTACATTTTGGATTTGTTTAGCCAAACTTAACATAATGCCACCTAAAACCAAGACCAAAATTATGTTCAATAATGAGGTGAAGATCAAAAATGTTCATTTCTGAAAAATGTAACATTGGGTTCGTGTTCCCAATCGGGGACCCGTGTCTTTGCCAAGAGGAGCAATTTATAGGGGGCTGCCCCAATCGGGGATCCGTGGCTCTGCCAAGAGGAGCAATTTATAGGGGGCTGCCCCAACCGGGGACCCGTGGCTCTGCCAAGAGGAGCAGTTTATAGGGGGCTGCCCCAATCGGGGATCCGTGGCTCTGCCAAGAGGAGCAGTTTATAGGGGGCTGCCCCAATCGGGGATCCGTGGCTCTGCCAAGAGGAGCAATTTATAGGGGGCTGCCCCAACCGGGGACCCGTGGCTCTGCCAAGAGGAGCAGTTTATAGGGGGCTGCCCCAATCGGGGATCCGTGGCTCTGCCAAGAGGAGGCAATTTATAGGGGGCTGCCCTAAACCGTGGACATGTGGCTCTGCCAAGAGGAGCAATTTATAGGGGGCTGCCCCAACCGGGGACCCGTGGCTCTGCCAAGAGGAGCAATTTATAGGGGGCTGCCCCAATCGGGGATCCGTGGCTCTGCCAAGAGGAGCAATTTATAGGGGCTGCCCCAACCGGGGACCCGTGGCTCTGCCAAGAGGAGCAGTTTATAGGGGGCTGCCCCAATCGGGGATCCGTGCTCTGCCAAGAGGAGCAATTTATAGGGGGCTGCCCCAACCGGGGACCCGTGGCTCTGCCAAGAGGAGCAGTTTATAGGGAGCTGCCCCAATCGGGGATCCGTGGCTCTGCCAAGAGGAGCAATTTATAGGGGGCTGCCCCTAACCGTGGACATGTGGCTCTGCCAAGAGGAGCAATTTATAGGGGGCTGCCCCAACCGGGGGTCCCGTGGCCCTGTCAAGAGGAGCAGTTTATAGGGGGTCATAATGATAGGCGCAAAACTGATTTCGCTATACATTTCGCTATTTCCCTGTTCTTCCTAGTTTCATTGCTTGAGTTATTTCACATCGTGTTTGCACTTTGTTGAACATAAATTGTTTGAACATAATGAGATTTGGAAATCGAAATAACACTATGAATACCATTGAATAATAAACAGGGGGCCAAAGGGCTTAAAGCCCTCTGGAAGAGGGCCACAGGCCATAAAAGGTTGATACTTTAGTTTTACTGTGGCGATATAATAATTTTAACTTTGTATTTCAGGTTCTGAACATTGAAAACAATGAAATCCAGACATTACCGAATAAACTTGGGGATCTTTGGTGGCCTTCAGACATTACATGCGAGGAGGTTAAGAGAGGTTTAGGACAGCGTTTCTTCAAAACTGTGTGGCCGCAGAGTTTTTGAAAGTTTCGGAAAATAAGCTATTCGTATTACACATAGACATGCAATGGGCAAGCTTGCAAGACTTGAGTGCGCACTATTGATTATTGCTTTTGCCTTGTTGTTGTAGTAAAGTGAGCAAAAAAGGTTTGCGAACCACTGGTTGGGGGTACTCCCGTAGTATATGTACCAGGTTAGATTTACGAGGTCGTAGGCCATGATTTTATTCTGATTTTTCGTATTTTAGTTCTATTACGAGTTCGGGAACTGTCTGTGTAGCCAAGTGGATATACCCCTTGTCCATATGTTTCAGTCCCTTTACAAAACTTGATGTAAAGTAGGCGAACAGAATTAGTTACCCTCCATATTGGTACATACACTTCTGGAGCGCCGTTTAGGATTTTGGGTACAAACCCCAAGCTGTATTTAATCATAGTTTGAAGCCAAAGTATTTTAATTTGAGGATTTTGTAAATCGGAAATATAAGTTTTTCAATAACAGCTAATATTTCCAATTTTCTCTTACAGACAACAAACTAACTGGTCTACCAAGTTCAATAGAGCGAGCTAAGAGTCTTCGAACTATCGATATCAGCGGAACTAACAAAGTTTTATAATCTTCCAAAGACAATTTTGTAAAGTTCGGACATTAGATAGTGTTGATCTTAGCTAACCCAGCTGCCATGGAATATCCCCACCTTGCTGAGTAGTTGGTCACAGATACTTATTGACATTGTCATTTTTGCTTTTTACTTATCGATCTTAAGATCGGTACGTATGTTGATAGGTGTTGTCTGTCTGTCTGTTAGATGCACGCGATATCTCACGAAAGCGAGATTTGATCTGCTCCAGATTTTGCATGTGCATTCATCATATTCGGATCAGAAGCCTATTGATTTGGATGGATTATGTCGTATAATTAGCGAGTTATAATTATTAGTGATGGGACACAAGGTGTCACTATGGAGTAAGAGCGCTGTTTGGGGATCCTCTAACTTTCAATCGATAAGTCGTCGGTCTCTGACTGATATTCTCGTTATTATTATTGTTTAAGAAATTTGTAATAAATAACAGAATTTACCAGATGCTGATTATGGAATTAAAATAAACTGTTTTTCTGTTTCAGTGTCGCTGAGAAAGGCTTGGAGGAAATGATGAAATTCATTTGCAAAGGTTTGTATTTTTTGTGTTTTCACTATAAACAAGGCACTAGAGCAGGTTTCTCAACCGCAGGCTAGTGGCCACCAAGGAGGATACAGAGCCGTTGGAGCAGGCCACCTTGCCAGGAACAAAACCGATTCTTCCTAGTTTCATTTGGGTGGTCATGGGACCCAATGTGGCCACAACAAAGTTGAGTCCAATACAATATTTGCCGAATTTTCATCGCATTCGGTACAATAATTTTTCGATTCTTTGCGACTGTGGCATTCAAAAGTTCCATAACCTCCTCTTGGTTCTTGGGGATTTTCACATGATACATTTTAAATTCTTTACGTAATTATAATGTGTCGGATATAAGTAATTCCAAATGTACCTTCAATATTCATTTCGTTTTGGATGTCCCTGATGCCGAGCAGACATTTAATAGTTGGAGCCAATTTCCCGAGTTCTTTACACTTTTTTCTGTTCAATTTAAACTTTGGTTTGTATTTTTATTTCTTCCCACAAGTTTTATTATTTTTTCTAGATTATGGTATTGAGCACGTTGCCACCATTTAGTCCACCCCAATATTAATTAGAGGCAAAACACTCTGTCTCACATGAACAAATTTAAATTTTGCATTATTTCTAAGTTTTTGAAATCCCTGCAGGCTACAACCTTCTTATTCAATCAAAACTACTTTTTTTATTTTCATTTCCTTCCTGTTAATTTTATTTAATCATTGCGTTATTTCTAACTTTTGTAAATTTCTGCAGGCAGCGATCACTTTTTAGTTAATCTATTTCGTATTCCTTCCTATAAATTTCATTTTCTTTCTCAGATTGCGGCATTGAGTACGTTCCACCGTCCCACAATCTCCTCCCAGTCCTCGGGAATCAAGAATCAACCCACAGTGACTGATGGAGCCGCTACGGTCACAGAGAGTTGAACAATTCGAGGTGAGAATTCCTTAGAGAAAGTCCAGCACGCTTATCAGAAATAAAGGAGATTGAACTCTGATGTAGCTTCGAACGACCCATCAAATAACAAGGAATAAGGGTTCTAGATTCTAGGGTCAAGTTGAAGTTAGGCATCCTTTTAGAGACTGTAGTTTGAGTCATATTTAAGTCTGAGTTGTACTTCATTCAGCAATATATTTGTAATTGCACACCTCTATTCTAGACTACTGTATATAGCAGATCAATGGCCGTATACGTAGGTCATTCAAATGGTAACATTGTGTTTGTCTTTGTATCTTCTTTTTAATTTTTCAGAATTCAATCATGGTAATACGAAAGATGAAAGTGAGTTGGTATTGATGCATTTTTCATTAAAAGGCAATGCATGACTGCATTATATGGGACCCGACCACGTGAATGTGCCATGTGATTAGGTTGGGGTCAAAGGTCAATGCCGCTGTTTGAGAATTCCCTGCTTAGAATTTAAACCCCGCCACCCCCGACTGAATCAAAACTTTTATTTTAAATCACAGGATTGAGAAACGGAAACGTCAAGCTTGAGATTGAGAAGCAACTCGCAGAAAAACAAATGGACAGCAAAACTGGCTGCATGGACACTGACAAATAGAGCCAAAGATTTAGAAGAATATCAAAGGTGTGACTTTGATACCCCTTTTTCTCAGACTGATAATTGAGCATGGTTGTAAGATTGCCTCGTTTTTTTGGTTTTACATGTATTTGTCCGTTTTTTAGTTGTTTTCCAAAAAATTAATCGTATATCAAATACCATGATGTCATTATATGTCTACCAAGGAGCTTTAGTTTAGTTTGCAGTAATCAAGTCCTGAAATAGCTGCTGATTAGAGTATGCTGAAAATCAGCATGGTTACCCTGCCTGTTGGTCGTAAAGAGTGACACTGGGATATCGGGGCGCTTAAAGTCTTTTGGCTTTTGTTAATGTTCTACGTCTGACTTAATTCCTCAGTATAATTTAAGGTGGATGTTTTTTTCCATGGCAGACCATTACATATTGCAAAGAACCCTTCTAGAACAGGGGTTTTCAACATTAATACTTGTAGCAAAACCCAATGAATATTCCAGAGGGTTGAGAAACCTTTGTGCAATAGTTCAATTGTCTTTTATTTTCTTATTGTATAACTTTGGGTGCTCCCGAAGTATGCGAACCAAGATGGCGGACATCGGAACGTAACATGGGTAACAGGTTAGGGTTAGGCGATAATTTTTTCCAATTTTCCTTATTTTTAGTCTTATTATTCAGTTCGAAGACTAGCCAAGAGCCTCCCGTAGTATTTTATACCTAAAATTATGGCCTAACCCTGACCTAGTACAATATTACATTCCGATGTCCGCCATCTTGGTTCGCATACTTCGGGAGCCCCAAACTATGTTATATATAAAAATCTACTATTGGCAAAACATAATGATATTAAAAAGTAGCCAATAATAGTGTCAAACCTAATAGGTATTTGATTATATTTAAACAATATACATAAATTGATATGGACTCTTGAATTCGATGGAAACTTACAAGACCTTGTTTGAGTGTGTGTTCTCCCTTAAGAAATCAATGCCATAAACGTTGTCACGATACTTTTTCTCTTTTTAGAAACAGGAAGAATTTGACAAATCAGTCCTGAAACAGCAGGAACAACAAGAATTGGAAAGAAAAAGAATGATTAGAATGATGGTGGAAGGTAAGGGGGGACCATGGGTGAAAAAAATTTTGTAGCCCACCATAGTCTCCTACACAAGCACCCACTGATATCTATCGATGTGAGATAGGCTAAATTTATTTGAACATGAGCGTGACCTTTTCTGGTCGGGAATCTCCCTCCTTTTAAAATGTAAAAAAAGCATTTTTCTTTAGCTTGAAGCGCTTCTTAGACCTGGAAGACTCTCCAAACCTACTTGTAAAACCAACTAGCTGTTACAGTTTAACTTGACAATCGGAGATTTCAGAAATCCCCCCCCCCCCCCCCCCCCTTTTGAAAATTTATAGCTGTGCCTCGGGCTCGGCAATTTCGATTATCTGATGATTTCAGAATCGAATATTTTTTTTCGAATCGAATCTCGAATACTTGGGTCAATGGGTGATATGTAATTGTTTGCGACTTTTTTTTATTGTAATTGGCCCTGTCAACAAATGAATTACTGAAAACATAGAATACATCACTCAGACAGATTGCGAAGCGTTCACACACAATAAGAAACATGTTTTATCAATAACTCACCACAGAAAATAGTCATATGTCAGAATTGTATTGAAAAAATATGGTTTCAATAAAAAAACTGGTAATTTACCTTGACCATTAGCGGGAAGAACAAAAACAAGATGGCGGCGATTCGAAATATTGCTCTGAACCGATTCGAATAATTTACTATTCGAATTGATTTGAATATTCGAATCGAAGTGCTCAGCCCTAGCTGTGTCCCTGTCGCCATTGCATACTCATTTTATAAGGTGTAAGAATTGAACTGATTTATTTTTTTGTAGCTGAGAAAAGTGCTTCGAGCCTTGTTGAGGATCTTCTGAAGATTAATGAAAAGTAAGAAATGGTTTAAATATATGAAACGCACTGCCAATAAATCGCTCAGATTAGGATTTTGTGTTTACATTAGGCGCACCGGTTGTACGATTTATATAAATGCCAATTTACTCGTGATTTAAAATAAGAAACAAAACATTTATAATAAATACAATATGTAAAATACTCAATCATAAAACAGTTATGTTTAACACAATTCTGGTAATTTTTGGGCGCTTTCTCTGGGATCTGCTGCCTTATGCTTGAAATGGGTCGTCAGAGGGCCACAAAAAATTTCTATGGGGTGCAATTTGCCGATAACTGTTCGGCCATTGTGCCATATAGTATACCATCTCTGGTGCATTTCTCATTGTATTAACTTTATCCAGGGCTCGGAAGCAAGAAGCATTGCTTGAAGAAATGGAAAAGCAACGAATGAGAGAGGAAGAATATTTTAAAGTTACGAAAGAAGATTTGGATAATTTACGAAAGAAGGAAATGCTGGGTGAGGGTAATTGGTTGTATTAAAATGGAATATTTGGTTGTTTTGAAAGTGTTAGGTGTTTGGTTGTATTGAAATGGAATATTTGGTTGTATTGAAAGTGTGAGGTGTTTGGTTGTATTAAAATGGAATATTTGGTTGTTTTGAAAGTGTGAGGTATTTGGTTGTATTAAAATGGAATATTTGGTTGTTTGAAAGTGTGAGATATTTGGTTGTATTAAAATGGAATATTTGGTTGTTTTGAAAGTGTGAGGTATTTGGTTGTATTAAAATGGAATATTTGATTGTTTTGAAAGTGTGAGATATTTGGTTGTATTAAAATGGAGTATTTGGTTGTTTTGAAAGTGCGAGGTACTTGGTTGTATTAAAATGGAATATTTGATTGTTTCGAAAGTGTGAAGCGTTTGGTTGTATTAAAATGGAATATTTGGTTGTTTTGAAAGTGTGAAGTATTTGGTTGTATTAAAATGGAATATTTGGTTGTTTTGAAAGTGTGAAGTATTTGGTTGTATTAAATGGAATATTTGGTTGTTTTGAAAGTGTGAAGTATTTGGTTGTATTAAAAGGAATATTTGGTTGTTTTGAAAGTGTGAGGTATTTGGTTGTATTAAAATGAAATATTCGATTGTTTTGAAAGTGTGAGATATTTGGTTGTATTAAAATGGAATATTTGATTGTTTTGAAAGTGTGAGGTGTTTGGTTGTATTAAAATGGAGTATTTGGTTGTTTTGAAAGTGTGGTATATTTGGTTGTATTAAAATGGAATATTTGATTGTTTTGAAACTGGGGTATTTGGTTGTATTAAAATGGAATATTTGATTGTTTTGAAACTGGGGTATTTGGTTGTATTAAGATGGAATATTCGGTTGTTTTGAAAGTGATAGGTATTTGGTTGTATTAAAATGGAATATTTGGTTTTTTGAAGTGTGAGGTATTTGGTTGTATTAAGACGGAATATTTGGTTGTTTTTGAAAGTTGATAGGTATTTGGTTGTATTAAAAGGAATATTTGGTTGTTTTGAAAGTGTAGTATTTGGTTGTATTAAAATGAAATATTCGATTGTTTTGAAAGTGTGAGATATTTGGTTGTATTAAAAATGGAATATTTGGTTGTTTGAAAGTGTGAGTATTTGGTTGTATTAAAAGGAATATTTGGTTGTTTTGAAAGGCTGTGAGGTATTTGCGTTGTATTAAGATGGAGTATTCGGTTGTTTTGAAAAGTGATAGGTATTGGTTGTATTTAAAATGAATATTTGGTTGTTTTGAAAGTGTGAGGTATTTGGTTGTATTAAAATGGAATATTTGATTGTTTGAAAGTGTGAGGTGTTTGGTTGTATTAAAATGAAATATTCTGATTGTTTGAAAAGTGTGAGATATTTGGTTGTATTAAAATGGAATATTTGGGTTGTTTTGAAAGTGTGAAGTATTTGGTTGTATTAAAAGGAATATTTGGTTGTTTTGAAAGTGTGAGGTATTTGGTTGTATTAAGATGGAATATTTGGTTGTTTTGAAAGTGTAGGTATTTGGTTGTATTAAAATGGAATATTTGGTTGTTTGAAAGTGTGAGGTGTTTGGTTGTATTAAAATGGAATATTTGGTTGTTTTGAAAGTGTGAGGTGTTTGGTTGTATTAAAATGGAAATATTGATTGTTTTGAAAGTGTGAGTATTTGGTTGTATTAAAATGGAATATTTGGTTGTTTTGAAAGTGTGAAGGTATTTGGTTGTATTAAAAGGAATATTTGGTTGTTTTGAAAGTGTGAGTATTTGGTTGTATTAAATGGAATATTTGGTTGTTTTGAAAGTGTGAGGTATTTGGTTGTATTAAATGGAATATTTGTTGTTTTGAAAGTGTGAGGTATTTGGTTGTATTAAAGGAATATTTGGTTGTTTTGAAAGTGTGAGGTATTTGGTTGTATTAAGACGGAATATTTGGTTGTTTTGAAAGTGATAGGTATTTGGTTGTATTAAATGGAATATTTGGTTGTTTTGAAAGTGTGAAGGTATTTGGTTGTATTAAAAGGAATATTTGGTTGTTTTGAAAGTGTGAGGTATTTGGTTGTATTAAAATGAATATTCGGTTGTTTTGAAAGTGTGAGGTATATTGGTTGTATTAAAATGGAATATTTGATTGTTTTGAAAGTGTGAGGTATTTGGTTGTATTAAAATGGAGTATTTGGTTGTTTTGAAAGTGTGGTATTTGGTTGTATTAAAATGGAATATTTGATTGTTTTGAATGGGGTATTTGGTTGTATTAAAATGGAATATTTGATTGTTTTGAAACTGGGGTATTTGGTTGTATTAGATGGAATATTCGGTTGTTTTGAAAGTGTAGGTATTTGGTTGTATTAAATGGAATATTTGGTTGTTTTGAAAGTGTGAGGTATTTGGTTGTATTAAACGGAATATTTGGTTGTTTTGAAAGTGTGAGGTATTTGGTTGTATTAAAATGGAATATTTGGTTGTTTTGAAAGTGTGGTGTATTTGGTTGTATTAAAAGGAATATTTGGTTGTTTTGAAAGTGTGAGGTGTTTGGTTGTATTAAAATGGAATATTTGGTTGTTTTGAAAGTGTGAGGTGTTTGGTTGTATTAAAATGGAATATTTGTTGTTTTGAAAGTGTGAGGTATTTGGTTGTATTAAAATGGAATATTGGTTGTTTTGAAAGTGTGAGGTATTTGGTTGTATTAAAATGGAATATTTGGTTGTTTTGAAAGTGTGAGGTATTTGGTTGTATTAAAATGGAATATTTGATTGTTTGAAAGTGTGAGGTATTTGGTTGTATTAAAATGGAATATTTGATTGTTTTGAAAGTGTGAGGTATTTGGTTGTATTAAAATGGAATATTTGGTTGTTTTGAAAGTGTGAGGTTTTGGTTGTATTAAATGGAATATTTGATTGTTTTGAAAGTGTGAGGTATTTGGTTGTATTAAAATGGAATATTTGATTGTTTTGAAAGTGTGAGGTATTTGGTTGTATTAAAATGGAATATTTGGTTGTTTTGAAAGTGTGAGGTATTTGGTTGTATTAAAATGGAATATTTGATTGTTTTGAAAGTGTGAGGTTTGGTTGTATTAAAATGGAATATTTGATTGTTTTGAAAGTGTGAGGTATTTGGTTGTATTAAAATGGAATATTTGGTTGTTTTGAAAGTGTGAGGTATTTGGTTGTATTAAAATGGAATATTTGATTGTTTTGAAAGTGTGAGGGTTTTGGTTGTATTAAAATGGAATATTTGATTGTTTTGAAAGTGTGAGGTATTTGGTTGTATTAAAATGGAATATTTGGTTGTTTTGAAAGTGTGAGGTATTTGGTTGTATTAAAATGGAATATTTGATTGTTTTGAAAGTGTGAGGTTTGGTTGTATTAAAATGGAATATTTGGTTGTTTTGAAAGTGTGAGGTATTTGGTTGTATTAAAATGGAATATTTGATTGTTTTGAAAGTGTGAGGTTTTGGTTGTATTAAAATGGAATATTTGGTTGTTTTGAAAGTGTGAGGTATTTGGTTGTATTAAAATGGAATATTTGGTTGTTTTGAAAGTGTGAGGTATTTGGTTGTATTAAAATGGAATATTTGGTTGTTTTGAAAGTGTGAGGTATTTGGTTGTATTAAAATGGAATATTTGGTTGTTTTGAAAGTGTGAGGTGTTTGGTTGTATTAAAATGGAATATTTGGTTGTTTTGAAAGTGTGAGGTATTTGGTTGTATTAAAATGGAATATTTGATTTTTTGAAAGTGTGAGGTGTTTGGTTGTATTAAAATGGAATATTTGTTGTTTTGAAAGTGTGAGGTATTTGGTTGTATTAAAATGGAATATTTGGTTGTTTTGAAAGTGTGAGGTATTTGGTTGTATTAAAATGGAATATTTGGTTGTTTTGAAAGTGTGAGGTATTTGGTTGTATTAAAATGGAATATTTGGTTGTTTTGAAAGTGTGAGGTATTTGGTTGTATTAAAATGGAATATTTGATTGTTTTGAAAGTGTGAGGTATTTGGTTGTATTAAAATGGAATATTTGGTTGTTTTGAAAGTGTGAGGTGTTTGGTTGTATTAAAATGGAATATTTGATTGTTTTGAAAGTGTGAGGTATTTGGTTGTATTAAAATGGAATATTTGGTTGTTTTGAAAGTGTGAGGTATTTGGTTGTATTAAAATGGAATATTTGGTTGTTTTGAAAGTGTGAGGTATTTGGTTGTATTAAAATGGAATATTTGGTTGTTTTGAAAGTGTGAGGTATTTGGTTGTATTAAAATGGAATATTTGGTTGTTTTGAAAGTGTGAGGTATTTGGTTGTATTAAAATGGAATATTTGGTGTTTTGAAAGTGTGAGGTGTTTGGTTGTATTAAAATGGAATATTTGGTTGTTTTGAAAGTGTGAGTATTTGGTTGTATTAAAATGGAATATTTGGTGATTTTGAAAGTGTGGGTGTTTGGTTGTATTAAAATGGAATATTTGGTTGTTTTAAAGTGTGAGGTATTTGGTTGTATTAAAATGGAATATTTGATTGTTTTGAAATGTGAGGTTTGGTTGTATTAAAATGGAATATTTGGTTGTTTTGAAAGTGTGAGGTATTTGGTTGTATTAAAATGGAATATTTGGTTGTTTTGAAAGTGTGAGGTATTTGGTTGTATTAAAATGGAATATTTGGTTGTTTTGAAAGTGTGAGGTATTTGGTTGTATTAAAATGGAATATTTGGTGATTTTGAAAGTGTGGGTATTTGGTTGTATTAAAATGGAATATTGGTTGTTTTAAAAGTGTGAGATATTGGTTGTTTTGAAAGTGTGAGTATTTGGTTGTTTTGAAAGTGTGAGGTATTTGGTTGTTTTGAAAGTGTGAGGTATTTGGTTGTATTAAAATGGAATTTTGGTTGTTTTGAAAGTGTGGTGTTTGGTTGTATTAAAATGGAGTATTTGGTTGTTTTGAAAGTGTGAGGTATTTGGTTGTATTAAAATGGAATATTGGTTGTTTTGAAAGTGTGAAGTGTTTGGTTGTATTAAAATGGAATATTTGGTTGTTTTGGAAGTGTGGTGTATTTGGTTGTATTAAATGGAATATTTGGTTGTTTTGAAAGAGTGGTGTATTTGGTTGTATTAAAATAAAATATTTGATTGTTTTGGAAGTGTGGTGTATTTGGTTGTATTAAAAGGAATATTTGGTCGTTTTGAAAGAGTTGTGTATTTGGTTGTATTAAAATGGAATATTTGGGTTGTTTTGAAAGAGTGGTGTATTTGGTTGTATCAAAATGGAATATTTGGTTATTTTGAAAGAGTGGTGTTTTGGTTGTATTAAAATGGAATATTTGGTTGTTTTGAAAGAGTTGTGTATTTGGTTGTATTTAAATGGAATATTTGATTGTTTTGAAAGTGCGAGCTATTTGGTTGTATTAAAATGTAAATTTTCGCATTTTTTTTTTCAAACAGCTGCCAATGCAAGCTATGGTTGCAGAAAACGATCAGTTTGCGATAAAAGTGAAGCAATATCTAGCAGAACAGACCGCATGCCGCAAAACGAGCCCAAGGTTCCGTTCGTAGCGACGGGAAACAAGTCGAAGCCGCCGTTGCTAAAGCAACAAGAATGTCAGGACAAATTAATAGGACAGATCTTGCATGAGGTAAGGCGACCATTCCATCTACTTGGGAATTGGTTATATGTTAGCACTGACTTTGTGGTTTAATTTTTTCACTTTGTTTTCTCAAAACAAGACCTCAAAAGTGGAAATAGAACTAAATGTTGTATTAGTATCAGCAAATTGGGTACTCCCGTAGTATGTGAACCAAGAAGGTGGACACCAGAACGTAGTATGTGTACCAGGTTAATGTTAGGCCATAATTTAATTCCAATTTTCCTTATTTTAGTTCTATTGCGAATTCGGGGACTAGTCAAATGACTCTCGTTGTATTTGTACCTAAAATTATGGCCTAACCCTAACCTGGTACACATACTACGTTCTGATGTCCTCAAACTTAGTTCACATACTACGGGAGTACCACAAATTGTGTCATAATTAATTGTTTTTATTCTCAGTTCGATTGTGGCTGAACGAAACTGGCAATTTTTTCATTTCTCGCAATTTAGAAAGGATAAAATAGTTCTCAAATATTATTCCACTTGAATTTTCACTGCGAGTTTTCTCAAAGCAAGACCTTAAAAGTGGAAATAAAACTGAAAGTCATATTACACTTTTCAAAGATTTTCAACACTTGGGCTCAGATCTTCCAAAAAACTTGCTTCGGTTTCAGCTAGTTTCTTTCAGTTATCACCATGTTTTAATGATGATAAACCAACAAATGGAATAAATGTTTATTTTAAAGCAGTGGTTTAGATTCTGCTAATTTTAAACTTGAGTGAAATTGTTCAACACTTCGGGTTTTTCTTTTTGCGTTCTTGATACTGCTTATTGTTACATCATTATCACAATTTAGACATGTATATCTTCGCAACAATTCAATCATACCGGTATTTCATTTTTTGTTCTGGTACCGGTTTCGGCCCTTGCGGGCGCTCCTTCTGCTTCTAATTTTGGCCCCTGGTTTACTCAACATCCTAAACCACTGGTTTAAACAATTCAAACAATAAGAGACAATTAAACTATTGCACGGGAAATCAAAGCTCTAGAATGTTTTTCATTGGGGTTCTGCTTCTCCAAAAAGGTTGAAGACCACTGCTTTAAAGTGATGTAGTCATCGCCTAGGGCCCTGGGCCCATTTTAAAAAACGCTGCTCTACACCAATGGTGTGCAAACTGCGGCCTGCGGGCCAAACGTCGAGTTTTTAATTTAGTTTAATAATCTGGTACGTGCGAGTAATTTCAATCTCTCTGCATTGCAAAGCTTATACCTGAGTCAAATTTATCTATGCATATGACTTTACAATGACTCGACAAATAGCTGTGCAAAGCAAATAACGCATGTCACAAGATCAATAACAAAATTTTTGTGCGAGCAACTACTAGAAAGCCTATGTTAAATAATGGTGCGGTTCTCGGCCTCACCCAGTTATTTTTATCTGGCTCTCCTGTATTAAAGTTTGCACACCCCTGCTCGACACCACTAAACCACTATCATTTTTTTTTTACCTCCTTTTTGTAGGAAGACGTGCAACGCCAAGCGTTCATAGTATTACAATTGGAGAAAGATATTGCACGAAGAAGAATCATCTCACAAATACAAGAAGTCCAAAACGCTTTGCTGAATCTGACTTTGGTTGAAATGAAGAGGAACACGTACAAGTTGGATAATGAACAAGTTGGTGTTTTTTTAGTTTAAGGGGGAGAGGAAAGCTGACTAGATAGTTTATTTATATATAGATAAGGGGTGAAGGCTGCTGAAAAAACAGGCTTGTTATTTGTTAACTTAATAGAAACATAGAAGTAAGTAGATCCCACCTTTTTATGCTCGGAAGAACTGGAGTTTACTTATAAAAGGAAGAGTAAAATCAGTTTTATGCCGCATTGCTGGCCCCCTCGGTGGGCTACAGGCCCCCAGTTGGGAATCGCTAGTTTAATTATTAAATGGCGATAACCATAACTAAAGTAACTCCCAAGACACACCAACAGGAATGAACACTTCACTACCCAGAGAGCATGTGGTCACTTGCTGGTTGGTCATGTGGCCAGTCACCTGGAACTGATGACATCACTGGTCATGGTCAGTCATCTGTTACTGATGACATCACTGGCCAAGATCAGCCATCTGTTACTGATGACATCATCGGTCATGCTCAGCCATCTTGGAAAATGCTGGCTGCCAGAAACAAATAAAGATACAGTTAAAAGTATCGTCTCCATTATTTTAAACCCTTTCATTTTATTTTTTTGAAGCTGGTCACACAAGCTGATATTGGTCAGGTACGACTGTGGCATTTGTACAGCATGTTTCTTGTATGCACAATCTGATCTCTCTAAATCTAAAAAGAAAATTGTGGGAGATCTCATTAGGCATAACTGTGCTTTGATTCAATTTCTCTCTCTTTAACTTGGTGTTATTCAAACTTTTTTCGTCACGACCTACTCGGCACAGCGAAACTAGAAGTGAAGTTGTGATGTAACAATTGTTTTGTCATGCATGATGGCTCGTCTACGTTTGGTTTTGTTCTGGCTGAGAGAGGCGTAATTCTTTGTTTCACTAAATAAAATGTGACGTTCAGCTTTGTTATGTCAAGTCAGGATCTGTTTTCTCGTCAATTCTTCAATAATGTTCTTGAAACATACTACAGCCCACATTGAGCCCCTTTCATGACCCCCCGGGGGCCGATACCCCCAGTTTGGAGAGCCCTGCTCCAACTGATTAATGATAGTTGCCTTAGCATGATGGTATGGCATTATGGGTAAAACCACTGAAGCATGTTTCCTGAGTATAAATACTGCCATGCTGGTCTCCAGAGGTCATTCAGTACTTTGGTATAACAGAGGCAACATTATGTCTGACTATATAATTCTGTTATTTGTCGTGACAACTGAACTGTTTATGTTAAGTGTCACTTTTGTCCAATAAAACATTAATATATACAAAAAAACAGTAATCTTCACTCTAAACAAGGATCTGGACAAGCAAGCTGTTGATAAAGGAGTTATTTTCATGAATGCATGCTTCATATAGATTACATGTGGACTCTTTTTAATTCAAAAGTCTTGTGCTGCACACTAACATGAATATATTTCTGTAAATTTTCACTGTTATGCGGTCACACAAGCATATATAGTTAACTATAGTTGCAGAAATACGTTCATAACAGCGTGCAGCAAGACTATTGAATCACTTAGGATAGTCACTTAGGATAGTTGCGTTTGACATATACACATTCATTTTTGCAAAACATAGAGCAAGAACGGGTAGACCCTGAATATTAATTGTGTGGTGACTTTCAAGGGTGGAAGTTTTGTCTGCATGCTTCGCTGTCATTATGGTGGAATAATGCTTATATACATGCCCTGGTGCTCCCAAAGTATGCGAACCAAGATGGCGGACATCGGAACGTAACATGGGTAACAGGTTAGGGTTAGGCGATAATTTTTTTTCAATTTTCCTTATTTTAGTCCTATTATCAGTTCGAAGACTAGCCAAGAGCCTCCCGTAGTATTTATACCTAAAATTATGGCCTAACCCTAACCTAGTACACATATTACATTCCGATGTCCGCCATCTTGGTTTCCATACTTCGGGAGCCCCCATGCCCTGTACATTTTTAAAAGGAGATTCTGAAATTTCTAATTGCTAGGTTAGACCTTATCAGCCCACTCCATGTCTAATGAAGTTCTAAAAAGCGTTTCAAGCTACGAATAATTGCTATGTTTGATACAGAAAAATGCCTTTTTGTTACTTTTCGCTGCCCTTGACCCGTATGATACAGAATTTTTTTTACTTATCGATTTTAATCGGTAAGTATGTTGATAGGTATTTGTCTGTATGTATGTCTGTTTGTCTGTTAGATGCACACGATATCTCACGAAAGCGAGATTGAATCTGCTCCAGATTTTGCATGTGCATTCATCTTATCTTGGACCAGAAGCCTATTGATTTGGGGCGAATTATGTCGTATAATTAGAGAGTTATCAATCAATTATTGATATAGTGATCTAGATTTTTGTAAAGCGAGAGAATTTTTAGACCCGCCGAGTGTGTGTGTGCGATGCGCAGTGCGCAAGTTACAAGAGCGGATGAATTGAAACTGCAGTTTCTGTTTTGGGGAATCCCCTAACTATCGATCGATAAGTCTTCGGTTTCCAACCGATATTCTCGTTTTACTTTTGAAAAGGGTTTTTTTGCCCTTATGAAACAGAAATTCTTCATTTCGGAGGGTGTTCCGAACTTCCAACTCGTATGATACAAAAACTGCCTTTTTGAAGGGGGAGTTCGACTCCTAAACAGTCCTCTCTCTTTCCCGGATGGCTACACCCCTGGTCCTATACAAGCAGTTACTCACTCACATCTATCTACATGTAGAAATCGATATGTATATGTAGCATGTACGAAAGCTGATCAAGTCTGTTAAAATTAAAGCTGAGAGAGAATAAGACTGGCTATGCCGGGCATTCAGCAATTTTATGATAGTTTATTAGCACAACTAACATCTGAGTTTTTAAAGATACACGCATATTCAGCCGTGCTGTGATCATTTATGTGCACAAAACAAGCCCACTTATCATCCTGATTAAAATTCAATTATTATTCTTTTCATTGTTGTGATTCAATCTTAATAAAATCGAATTTTCTTTCCAACGTGTCGTGATTTGTAATACAGAAAGTAAATGTGCCGTGAATTTGGAACGATTGGGAACCTCGTCTCAATAGTTCAGACTATTTTATTTTTTTTAACTGCACAGATTTTTCATTCCAGCCTTTATTTGTTTTGGATTGATTTATTTTTCATATGTTTTCAGGAAGTTCTACGATCGAAAAGACAGGAATTGACTGATATATTGATGGTTTTACTGAAAGAAAAGGATAAACGAGAAGAAATCATGAAAGAAAGATTGGTGAGTGATGACAAACTTGAAAATTTTTAGATCCGTATTCGTTCCTTGATTATTTGTCCATATTGCCTAATCCAGGGGTTCTCAAGCTTTTGGCGTTATGAGGGCCTGTGAAGAAGTAGACTAATATACGGAGCCCACAATAAATTCATAAAAAAACACATTGTTACTTACCAACTAGTGTTTTGTAGTAAATTAAAAATATTTTATTTCTTAGATTGAAATGGAAGGTCAGAGAGAGAGCGATCAGATGGATTTCTGGCTCGTGCAGTATCAGAGATTGATGGATTCTAAACCTGAGAAACTGATTGCTAAGGTGAGGATTTTTTTTTGGGGGGGGGGGGTGTTAGGGGGGGGGGGGATTTCTCGTACAGTACTAGAAAAACTCGTCAAGGTTAAGTTTTTTAGGAAAGTTTTTTTGGGTCTGTAATGGGGGAGGGGGGGGATTTCTTGTACAGTACTAGAGAAACTCATTACATTACTATTGTGAGTATTTTGGGGAGGGGTGTTTGGGTCTAAGGTGGGTGGGGGGGATGTTTTGTGCAGTATCAGAGATTAGTGGATTTTTAATCAGAACAAGTGAATGGGGAGGTTAGTCGGGCCAATCAGGAAACTTGCTTTGTGTGCTAAGTGAGGGGGTAAAAAAGTTTGTGCGAATTTTTCTTGGGACTGGGGCAATTGGGGGATGGGGTTGAAATAATACAAACTTTGTGAACTTTTTAGGGTGAGTTAAAAAGATTGAAAGTAAAAATTCTTTCTTTGCAGGAGACTGAAATGGACGTTGCGTTACTGAAACTTCTCTCGAAAGCTGGGGCAAACGATCATGTGACCTCGTTCGCTAGAAATAAAGTTTGTTCGATTCGAGATCTGATCGATCTTTCTGAAGATGATCTACGAAGAGTTGGGGTCTTCGAAGTTGGCGTTAGAAAGAATATATTGCGGTATGTGTTCACTGGCGTAAATTAATGTTTCATTGAACACAAGCAATACTTCAACAATTGTCAACACAAATATTATTGGGTACTCTAGAAGTATGTGCTCCAAGACGGTGGACACCGGAACGTAGTATGTGTACCAGGTTAGGGTCAGGCCATAATTTCAGGTACAAATACTACGGGAGTCACTTAGCTAGCCCCCGAACTTGTAATAGAACTAAATTAAGAAAAATTGGAATAAAATTATGGTCTAACCGTAACCTGGTACACATACTACATTCCGGTGTCCGCCATCTTGGTGCACATACTTGCGGAGCGCCTATTATTGGATTATATCTGCATTATACGGATACACTGGCACATAAAAATGGATAAGGAATTAGTCTCACATAAACTAATCGACAGCATAAGTTTAAGCTCAATTCTGATTCATATTAAATTTGATTCTGTAAGAACTTTATTTACTTTGAATGTGAGTGTTGACCTTACTTTGGGCAAAATTTCTCTTCAAAAAATCGATGGGTTTTATTTTATAGTCTGGTTGAAGAAGAAATAGCAGCGTCTAAGAAACTAGATGATTATGAGATTCCTTCTGTATCCAAGCAACCTGTGACCCCGCCCATTGCCACACCCGCTGCCACACCTACTGACACACCCTTTGATGACTTGACTGAGGAGAATGAATGTACTGTATGTATGGAGAAACAGGTAAGAGAGAGTGAATTACTGTATATTTTTATTGGCGGAGGGTGTTTGCTCTTAACAAAACTCTGGGCCAGGGATGTGAAACTTTTTTGGGGGCTCCAGAAGTATGCGCACCAAGATGTCGCACAGTCTGAATCCTAACCGGTACACACATACTATGTTCAGGCTGTGCGCCATCTTGGTGCGCATACTTCTGGAGGTCCCTTTTTGTCGGTGGACCATATAACCAATTTTAGACATCAAGGTGAGCCACACAAAAAATTTAGTGAGGCAAATGAGAGAATGCGGCCATCGCTTGGCCTTACAGTAATAAAGGCACCAGACAAAACGGCTAAAGATTTTCTTCAAACTTTCCAGAATTATAGTGAAAGTTTTAAATTCCATAGAGCCAGTATTTTAAACTTTTAAATGACAATAATCGAAGATAAAAATATCGCTGAGTGTTCTTTACAGTCTGTAAAAGAAGGCTTGCATACACCAAGGATTTTGGTAACAACATTTAATTTCTATGAAAGCTCGTAGCTTGAATAGAGAGTACAATATTTTCATTAATCGGGGTCAAAGGTCAAAAACCACATTATTTCAGCTTCAGTTTGGAAGTACAGTCAAGTTTTATTTTAATTATTTCTTTCATTTTTCAGAGTAACACTATATTCCTACCTTGTGGTCACGTCTGCACTTGTTCCGATTGCTCATCCAAACTGCAGAAATGCCCGATGTGTAGAGCTGACATCCAACAGAAGATACAAGTATTCAGAAGCTGAGATTGCGCAATATTTTGCAAAATTGCGCAACATTCCACGAAATTGCGCAATATTTCACAATATGTTTGATGACAAAAGAGATTATGCAATATTTGATAACATTGCGCAACATGCATGGATTATTGCGCGATAACTTCATGATGCCATTGTGCAACATTTAGACAGTATTATGTAACCTTATGAATTAGTAATTTTTTGTGGTCATTTTTGCATCATTTGTCAAAGGTTGAAATGTCATGCCTGCCACCTCACTCATGTTATAATAATATAGGTCAGGGGGTGTGCAACCTATTTGGCCCGCAAGGAAAAATTGTGTGGCCCACGGAGAAGTGCCGGTTCTGAATGGTGTGTGGCCTGGAAAATAAGTTTTTAACTTTGTTCAATCTGGTACTTGCGTGTATTTTCAATTCCTTTGCGTTTATGACGTTACAATGCCTCAACAGCTAGCTTGTATGAAGCAAACAACGCATGTCATAAGATCAATACCCACAATTTTTGTGCCTGCAACTACTAGAAAGCCCGCTGTTTCACCCACTTATTAGTATTTGGCTCTCTAATATTTAAGGTTATACACTCCTGATATAAGTATTCAATGTTGAATTGGGATGACAGTTGTTCCAAGTAATCGGGTCCTTACAAATGAGGTATTGCTTATACCAAACCAAGCCTTGTTCAGAGTGTATATATATTCATGATTCTTCTGTATTATATTATAATCATTCATGCACTTGTTACTGAATGTTTTATATTATTATATCTAAGTATATATATATGATTCGTTTGTTTACTGAGATTTCTTAATTTTTTTTTTAATGTTCTCTTATGATGTGTCAGTCATACCAAGTGCCGGGTAGAAGTCCCTAATCTAGTGGTTTTTAACCCGAGTTTCGTGCCACATGGGGGGTTCTGCCAGTACAGCAGGGGGTGGTTTCGGGGGTCACCGCCCACCCCTTTTGAAATAAAAAAAAAATTATCTTCATGTATCATATTTAGCAATTTTTCGTATCTTGGAACGCATTTTAGACTCAAGATTCATGGAAGCACACGTTTTACAGCGTTCGGCCAGATCTTCCTGGTAAATAAAATTCAACCCCCCTTTGAACATTTCTGGCTACGATCCTCCAGTACCGTCCAAGGGTTCGCAAGTTTCCATTCAAATCAAAAGGTAAATATATGTTTAATATTTAAATTTAACCAAAAACAAATAATATCAGGTTTGCCAGCATTATCAAACTTGCTACATCTTGAAGATCATTTTGTTTTGCCAGTATTAGGTTTGCTTTTATATACAGGGTGTTCAAAAAGTTTCGTCCGATTTTATGGCAAAAACAAATGTTAATTTAAATAAATTTTATTGTATGATAATTGATAAGTACTACATCTATAACATCCAATTCAATATAGGTTGACTTTAAATCGTTTTACAATTAATAAATAAATTATCATTTGGTATTAATTTTATGATTGGGCAAAACTTTTTGGACACCCTGTATATTCATATTTTGTACAATTCAGGCACTACAAGACGATTAAACTATTTTACAGGGATTTCCCAAGCTTCTAGAATATTTCCTTTTTGCCGAAGGTTGGAAACCACTGCCTTGAACCATATGTGAAACAGTGCTGGGATTCAAATATTTTGTCAGCGGGTTCCATCACAAAAATCATATTTTCAGCCGAATCTGTTACAAAAAGTCATGTTTTTTTTTCATTAATGCTAACCGGTTCGCTGATCTCATAAAATTCCGTGAGACAGTTCTATAGAACCGGTGCGAACCGGCTGAATCTCACCACTGGTGTGAAATCGAGTAATGTGACTTTTGATTCGACTTTTGACAATAAGTTCAATTCATGCAAGTTTCTTTTATTGTCTGATAAGAATACTTGGTGAACTTGATTGATTTTGTATAATTTCTTAATTTTTATTTTTTCGTGTTTTCTCTGGTAAAAGTTTCCAAACCATGAGTCTAGTCTAGCCTTAATCACAGAGTCAAGTCTCACTGCCTGTTAGCTGTGTATAATCTGAACCATCACATTCAGAAGACCTTAGTCCAGTGGTTCCCAAACTGGGGGTAATCCCCCCCCCCCCCCCAAAAAAAAAGAGTAATTTGAGAAAATATCCAAAATAAAGAATTGCAAATATCCAAAATAAAGCCAAATCTGACAAATTTTGTTTATTTCAGTTATCTCTTTGGGTAATTTTTGCTCCCTCAAAAATTGTCTACGTCCCCCCCCCCTCTTTTGGGGTTCCCCACTGTTTGACAACCACTGGATTAGTCTTTCAATAAAGAAAATCAAGGTGATGATTCAAAATATGGCCTTCTCACATGATTCCCTGGTTCCAACCTGCACTTTATGTACATTTACGTTTGAAACTTTGCAGGAGTGACTATTCTTAGAGATTCACAAGTAGCATTTTAAATGTATCTGTCATTTCACGCTATTTTTCTTAATTTATATCGTGACACGGTACTTTGCGTTCAAAAACAGATGTCGGTGTTGAGTGCAAGTCACTAAGCCCCAAGTCCCCATTTGATTCTTGCATAGGGGTGAGCATTTCGAATTGAATAGTAAACTTTCCAAAACTGTTTAAACAAAAATTCCAAACTTCAGGCTAATTGTCCGTCCAAGTACTAACTGGGAGATGGATTCAGGTTTTTACGAGTTTTGAGGAAATATTTGATTCAAACATCCCAGTGACTGCTTCTATAGGACCTTGTTCACAGTGATAAGCCTATAAAAACGACTCCTTAAAAATATTGTACTTTTGATTAGTTTTTTTACAGGAACCAACTGGGGCTCTCGAAGTATGCGAACCAAGATGGCGGACATCGGAATGTAATACGTGTACTAGGTTAGGGTTAGGCCATAATTTTAGGTATAAATACTACGGGAGGCTCTTGGCTAGTCTTCGAACTGATAATAGGACTAAAAAAAGGAAAATTGGAAAAAAATTATCGCCTAACCCTAACCTGTTACCCATGTTACGTTCCGATGTCCGCTATCTTGGTTCGCATACTTCGGGAGCACCGACCAACTTCTTCTGTGCTTTTGTACTGGTGAATCTGCACGTATATAAATGCAAGTGTGGTGTAGCAAAACTGAAGACAACTATCCTAAGTGATTCTTAACCACTTGGGTCAGGTGTTACTTTGACAATATATTTTGTGTTGGTGTGCAGCAAGACTCTTGAATTATTTAGGATTTTGAAAGATTTGTTCTCATTTTTTATTCAATGTTTTCACCATCACTTTGAATTCTAAATAGCAGTAAAGATTTTGAATTTATTCTGTGTTGTTTTGTTCATACGGAGAGGAAAGTCTGTGAGCGATTATATTTCGCAAAATGGATGTTCAGGTAGATAAGATAGCACATTCATTCTTGAGGAACATTACATGGTGGTTCTTGTGACCACTGATTGGTTACAGCTTCTTCCACCACCAAGTCCATGTTTTTGAAAAAAAATAACTGGCTGACCAATTTCTCACATGACATGGTAACCGGACGAAAAGCCGTGGTTCGCCATATGATTGAGCCATGTTATCGACTTTACTATATGTAAATCCTATCCTAGATATTTTCCAGCAGACAGTATAAGTCTTACAATAATTACGTGCAAGAAGACAGTTTCAATTGAGTATTTTCGGTCATTGTTCTGACATCTAAGTACAAAAAGATTGGGGTTTTAGCTTTTTATTACTGTTATTGTCGATGAGTATTGATATAACGTAAGTGTTCATAGGAATTAGCATAATTTTTCGCTTCCTTTATAATTTTTGCAGCCCTTGTCTACCATCATAAGCATAACCCCGAAATTTTCAATTTTTTTTCTGTAATTTTAAACACCATTTTGATATATTCTTGGGTGATTTAATGAAAATCCAACTATTCGCAATCAATAACCCTCTCACCAACCGAGATATATAAAAATCCGCTTTTGTTAACCTTGGATAACTTCGACATCAAAGTAAGTATGTGTAGAGATTATTACTCATCGATCTTAAGATTGGTAAGTATGTTGATAGGTATTTGTCTGAATGTTGATGAACGCGATATCTCAAGAAGGCGAATCTGCTCCAAATTTTGCATGTGCATTCATCATATCTCGGACAAGAAGCCTATTGATTTTGGATGAATTATGTCGTATAATTAGCGAGTTATTGATTAATTAGTGATGGGACACGCGGTGTCACTATAGAGTCATGAATCGAAACCGCAGTTTCGATCGATCAGTCTTTGACCGATATTCTCGTTTAAGATGTTGTTAATATCAGTGCTGCTTTTATCTGGCCTTGTTAGAGTCAAAACGCACGAGTAAGAATCATACTACGTCAATATACAGCAAAAAATTGACCCCACCTCCAAAAAAATAATCCGGGGCTGGCTGCGATCTTGTCTACCACATACATCGGAAACAAATAACTGGTACCGGTAACTCAGTGGTTCTTGACCGTTTTTGATGAAAATCGCCCCCCGGTTCCGTCAGAGAATATTCAATCAATCAATTTTATTCTGGTCTCTTTGGTATAAGTCAAAACAACACTAAACGACAAACAAAATGCAGAAAACCTGGAACAAAACTATAATGTGTACGCAAATACGTATTGCAATAACATATAAAGTGAGAAAAAGAAGTAATTCCACCTCCTCCTCCTCGGATGACTTTCTCGGGACTCCGGATTAAATATTTTTTGGGGCATTGGGGTGGAGCATCTGAAACAATAAATAGGGCAGGATTCACCATATCGATAAGCTTAATTATCGGTTTTCTACCATGTTGTATAAAAACGAAAATTGCATCACGTTGATTTCCAAACGAATGTACTTTTGCACACTTTGCGTCGCTACCGAGCGTTGCCAGGCGACATACAAGCTCATTTCCGGTTCTGTGGCGGTTTGTTTGCTTTGTCAAGGAATTCGAACAATAGCGCACAATGTCTGGAGTTCCTTTCCAAATGGCGGACAATTTAGCTTCTATATTCGATAGCGGGCCAACTAGGGCTGCTCCGGCCCGCGGGAGAAGGGCCGCACAAGCTCAAGATATTGACGAAAGCATTGTCCCTGGAGAGACCTCTTCTGAAGTTCCTATATCGTTGTCTGGGACTAGACTTAATGACGAAAAGCAAAGTTTTTCAGGTGAATGCTGGTTTGCAAACTTTAGATGATATTTTGTGTTGTCTGCGCTAACTGTGAGGGAGATACCTGAAAGGGTGTTATTGTTGATTTAATAAGTAGGATAGGATAGGATTTTACATATTTATCCCGGGGGAGAGGAAAGCCGATAAGACGGCTTATCCATATGGCGAACCACGGCCTCTCATCCGGTTACCATTCCAAGTCGGGTATGGGATTAGATTTTACTGTATTGTTTGTTTTCAGAAGCATGGACTTGGTGGTGGAGGAAGCCATAACGGACCAGCGGTTACATGAACCACCCAACGACGGTGAGGAGTCCAGCAATCCTCTCGCACATAACCATCCCTGCATGGGATTCGAACCTGCGAACCCACGCAGAGTAATTAGAGGTGCGGTGGCGAGCGTATTCCTAACGCTTAGCCCGTTGAGCCACACCGCCACGCCAAATAATAGGCAATAATTGTGTGTGAGATAAAATAATAACATTTAGCTCACCATACAATTAAGTTTTACTGAAGTATGTATTAGCTCACTTGTTGAATAATCCCCCTTTTTATATTACGGTAGCTTTGGAACTGTTATGTGTAATCTAATAAATATTTGTTGTAATTTATTAAGACAAAATCCATTCGCAGAATTTTTTTTCTCATGACTTCTAAATGTCTTGTCCTAACAGGAATTTTTCTTTAAGTGTCGGTGGACATATTTGACCTCGTAGTCTTTCCCGCCCCTTTCCGAGTATATTTCATGATTGCTTTTCCCATTCATCGTAATCTGTACATTTTTGATATATTCAGAAATAAATCATTATCTCTCTCTCTCTCTCTTTACCGGTAAGGTGGTAGCCATATGATTGAGCCATCGGCCTTTCTTACCCTTCGAGATCCGAAAAAGTTCCGATCCTTTGTCTGTGAAGCCGCTTGATCACACGGCCACCATCTATCACTCAAAGTTCATGCCAGAGCAAATATTTAAGTGAAACTATTTTAGACTATGGTTGCCATACCGTCCAGAAAATTCCGGACATGTCCGAAATTTAGGGTTTAAAATTGCGTCCGGGAAGAATTTAAAAAATGCTTAAATGTCGGGAACCCGGAATTTTACTGCATCTGCAATCGTACTGTGCACACTGCTAATACAGAACATTGGGGGCTCCCGAAGTATGCGAACCAAGATGGCGGACATCGGAATGTAAAATGTGTGCTAGGTTAGGGTTAGGCCATAATTTTAGGTATAAATACTACGGGAGGCTCTTGGCTAGTCTTTGAACTGATAATAGGACTAAAATAAGGAAAATTGGAAAAAAAATTATCGCCTAACCCTAACCTGTTACCCATGTTACGTTCCGATGTCCGCCATCTTGTTTCGCATACTTCGGGAGCACCAAACATTGTTTTTTCGTACCGTGCTCATTTTATTCACTACGAGGTCATGAAAATAGTCATGCACTGTCCGGAATTTTGCTTTTTCAAATATGGTGACCCTATTTTAGACGTTCCGAGAGTCGAGAGACCCGGTAGAAGAAGACAGATGTGGGGGGTCGGAGGTCAAGAGGAAACTGTTGTTGAAGATTTTAGATTCCTGGTTGATAACAAGGAAGAATTGTTATCTGATGGGGAAGATATCCCGATCATACCGGAACTGGAGGTTTGTTTTCAGAGAGAATAGAATTTTAAAATATTATTTTAAAATGTTCTCAAATTTGAGCATTCTTGCATGCATGCAGCTTTTGGCACTTTGGTTGTCACTTGTAACTTTGCTCCGAGATCAAAATCTGAATAAGCGAGTGGGACTTTACTTTGAGCAAATCTCCTTTAATAATGTTTTCAGTTGTCAAGTTTAGTTAGCCCCGATCTTTCGCACTTTACCCACTAGATGAAATAATTTTTATTTTACCAACTTGAGTTATGTGGAATTAACTGCCCCATGTTTTCCTGATCACATGAACTGTTCCAAGACTCACATCAAACTCAATCATCAAACTCAGAATGAGTGTGCAGGACTATTGTTTGTATAAAGTGTGTTTTCGGCGCGGCGGTGTCTCAACATGCTAAGCGTTAGGAATACGCTCGCCACTGCACCTCTAATTACTCTGCGTGGGTTCGCAGGTTCGAATCCCATGCAGGGATGGTTATGTGCGAGAGGATTGCTGGACTCCTCGCTGTCGTCGGGTGGTTCACGTAACCGCTGGTCGGTGACGTCTTCCTCTCAACCAAGTCCATGCTTTCGAAAACAAACAATATAACTAATCCCATACCCGACTTGGAATGGTAACCGGACGAGAGGCCGTGGTTCGCCATATGGATAAGCCGTCTTATCGGCTTTCCTCTCCCCGGGGATAAATTTGTAAATCCTATCCTTTTCATGATGGTGAAAAAATAAAATACTAATCATTGTTACCTATTGCTGACTCTGATAGCTTCAAACTCCCACACATTTACTGGCAGTCAAAGATCTTTCCCAACAACTTCAGTTACCGTATTTGCTCGTTTTGTAGCCCGAGCCCATATTTTTTGAACCCCAAACTCACCAACTGGGCCCTTATTCAAACACGCAAGCAGGGGCGCTTGTTGTTTTCGATCGTTACAATAATTAATATATTGTTATTTCCAGTTCTCAAGTATGATTTAAACGAGAATAACGAAAATTTTGACTTTTTCTACACACCGCAGATACAAATACGCAAAAGAAGAAAAGTTTGAGAACTATGGTGTTTCATAATCAATGCTATCTGTTATGTACTTGGACGCCTAAGGCGCTTAAAATTCAACAGCGTTGTGACAAAAGCGCTTCTTATTTCCTAGTGTTCTCCACCCCTGAAAAATCAGCTTTCACATCAGCAGGGTATTCAAGCACCGGCCCTTATTTATTTTTATGTTCTGTTCACACGGGCGGCTATTCAAACGGGCCCTTAATCAAGATCGGGCGGTAAAACGAGCATATACGGTATGTAGAATTCACAAATTTACTGCTTTCCTGATTGTCTCAGTCGCTATTCACTAACATATGATCCTATACTATGACTCTTCATAGTCTCGGTAGCTCTTAGCACTTTATTGTTCACCCATAACTTTCCACAGAAATCAGCCTCCATTGTTTCTGAGTAAGTTCTTGAGATCTCTTGAGGAAAATTTTCATAAAAAAAATCACAGTTGAAGTTTTTAATATTGAATATTTCCTCATTTATGCCATGTTTAACAACATAGGAGGATGGGCCAATAATTGAGTTACAATTACTGCATTATTTGTATGTGTTATCTATAACCCTACTTTTGGACCACTGTGTATATTGTGAAGTATAGTAAAGATCAATGAGTTTATATGTGACCGTACATTTGAACCCATACGTATATCCATCCACTGGTTTAATCTATATGCGGGTGCTAAAACCCATGGGTTAGGGTTAGTATGGGTTCAACTATCCGTGAAACAAATGTGCAATAGCATACAGGTGCAATTGTCATGGGTTCAAATGTACGTGGGTTCAAATGTAATGGAACCGAGTTTATAGGATCTACTATCTCTGTGGTAACCACAGAGTGATCTTTCATTACAGATCTCTTTATAAACGTTTGTTTAAGCCAGCCCCTTACTGAAAGTAAAATATTACACTTTGATAGGATAGGATTTACATATTTATCCCGGGGGAGAGGAAAGCCGATAAGAGGGCTTAACTATATGGCGAACCACGGCCTCTGGTCCGGTTACCATTCCATGTCGGGTATGGGATTAGTTAGTTATTTAGTTTCGGAAGACTTATAGATGTGATTCGGAAGATATATATGTAATTTACTCATGTGTTCGATCTAATTTCAGGAATTAGAAAACGACCAACCAACAGCAGATGAGATAGCGGCCCCTCCCTCAGCGATGTTCACCGAGTTACTAAGTTACCACGAGTTGGATTCTCATCTCTTGAGACAATCAGCGTTTCAAATCTTAGACAACGAGATTGATTTGAAGATTTTAGCGCGAACGATGGATCTGCAATCGGAGCTCGTCGAGGAAGACGAAACCTGGAACATGGAGAAATTGTTCGTCGATATGCAATCAACCGTGACGTGTTGTAACAAGAATATCATTGGTCAAGAAATTGAGGGCGTGGCAGTAAGTAAGAATGACATTGACGACACGGTGAGCCGCGAAGTGTTAATCTAAGCATAAACGTAAACATGTCCCCCCCTTAAAATAAAATACATTTTCAAATACAAAGTGCCTGCCCCCCGCCCAAAAAACAGAACACATTCCATTTGCAACATATTTCTAGAGAGAATGTAACTTTTGTGCAGAACGGCCCAGATTGCTAAAACTTTTGGGTGTAATCACTCTTAAATAGAAATTGATTTGGAAGAATATTAAACGTCTGTTCCAGTGGTTCCCAAACTTTTCTGTAACATCGCCTCCTTACAGCACTTCATACATCAGTTTCACTTCCAAACCTCCCCGACAATACAAAAAAAATATTTATCAAAAGCCCAGTTGAACAAGTAGACTAATTCTGGATCAGGGTGTTTTTTATTGATACAGGTAAGCTTCAAATCTTTTTGTACGTTTTTGTATCATCTCCCTCCGTCCTGTGGTAATATTTCCAATTTTGTGAATAAAGGTTGGTGTTTCCGACTTTAAATTCCATTTTAAATATTTTACATGCGTTTGTTTTTTATGAAATAATTCTCATACTAAACAGAGCTCTTCACAAGCGCCACAGGTATATATGGAGCTACAATTTTTTGATCGAGGATCGAGCACTGCGTATCCATTTTGATAATATTTTTATTGGTCTATTCATTAAAAAAGTTTTATATGAATTTTTTACCTAAAAATTTTGACTTAGTGTACATTTATTTCCATCTTAATCTCAAATTATTGAACCATGCACTGGCAGAATCGGAGTTATTAGATAAAACTCTAAATATTCCGACCATGGCTGTTATCTTCGGCTGAGCTATTTTATGCACAACCTTTTTCAAATTTATGTTTTCATTTATGCATTTAATTAGGTTTTTTAGTTCGTCGGGGTCTTGTTAATTAATGAGACTAAAAAGCTAAATAGTGTTTCATTTTTATCCCAGCGAAGAGGACATGAATGTACATGTTCAGATTCAAATTTTTGATTTTGTTTGTATTTTTTTAATTTTCTGTTATTGTGTTTCGATTTCCCTTTTTGCACATGATAGCTTTTGTTTGATGTTATTTTGGTTAAAAGAGATTTTTGTTTTCGTTTCTTAATTTCGAGTTTTGAGAGTTTTTTAGGTTGAGATTTTGTTTCTTATGCATAAGCTTTTTACTTAGTGAATGGTTGCAATGCTCATTCATGGCAAGATTTTATTTAATGGTGATAACCCAACTCAAAATTTTCAGAAACTTGGAAGTGTTTTTAACAGTCTATTGCCTAAATTTCATTATTTTAAAAGAGAGATGTATTTCCCCACAAAACAATGTTAAAAGAAAAGGCAATATTACAGATTTTCATTGAAATATGGTGCAGAGAACAATTCAAACATTGAATTGTGTTGGTCAGTATGCAAGACATTTACATGTTATCGAGATTTGTGTTTGAACTGTGATTAAAGTTTCATAATGAATTGTGACAATATGGATTATAAAATAAAAAGACAGAAAATGAGTCGGCAGATATTTATTTCTACTCCAGCTCTGAACTCTCGAGAAAATCAAGCATTAACTTTGAAACGTGCGAACCTTTTTTATTCTACTGGTGCAGATAAATACTTGAAAAATGTAATGCAAATTTTTTCCACTGTTTGTATCTTTTTCTGTGCCTTTCATATATTTGTAATCAGGGATGATGAAACTGTGAACTAATTTAAAAGAATTCCGGTGCTCCCGAAGTATGCGAACCAAGATGGCGGACATCGGAACGAAACATGGGTAACAGGTTAGGGTTGGGCGATAATTTTTTTCCAATTTTCCTTATTTTAGTTCTATTATCAGTTCGAAGACTAGCCAAGAGCCTCACGTAGTATTTATACCTAAAACTATGGCCTAACCCTAACCTAGTACACATATTACATTCCGATGTCCGCCATCTTGGTTCGAATACTTCGGGAGCCCCAGAATTCCAATTTCTAATTTACACAAAATACTTCTATTTGACAGGAGTCATTTGTAAACGGTTATGTGGTGTGATGTTTGAATTAATTGTGTTGTTCTGCTCCTACAGTATTTGTCCCTCTTCCCAAATGGAAAAATTTAATTGTTACAGCATGACAACCCATACCCCCCCCCCAAAACCCTCCCCCCCTTAAAAACAACGCACATTAAAATAACAAATTCAACAAAACTTCGGGTAAAACTTCAAGTTAAATAAACCATTGTCTTGTACCATATGTAGGACTGGGCATTTTCGAATACCTTGTGATTTTAGAATCGATTTGAAAAAATTTTTCGAATCGAATCTCGAATACTTGGGAATATATATTTGTAAGCGACTTTTTATAGTAATTGGTTTTCCTAATAAATGAATTACTGAAGACATTGAATACATCACTCAGGTAGATTACTGAGCGTTCACACACAATAACAAACACGTTTTATCAATAACTCACTACAGAAAATAGTCATATGTTAGAATTGCGTTGAAAAAAAATTGGGGAATTCACCTCGACCATTGGCGATAAAAAGAAAACAAGATGGCGGCGATTCGAAATTTAGCTCTGAACCGATTCGAATAATTTACTATTCGATTCGAAATGTCCAGCCCTAACCATATGTCAGCAAAACTTGATTTACCATGGTTCAAGATGGCGGCGATTCGAAATTTAGCTCTGAACCGATTCGAATAATTTACTATTCGATTCGAAATGCCCAGCCCTAACCATATGTCAGCAAAACTTGATTTACCATGGTTCAATGACTATCTCAGTTTGAACTTTTAGGGCTTAGTGGATAGCGTCCCCAGTATACAATGACTATTCTGTGATAAGAATTATATGACCTTAGTTCTAACTATTACCAAAGTTCCTCCGTTGCCTCTTCAAAATGCTATTCTAATATATGTACAACAGATTTTTTGCTTTTATTTGCATGCTTGCCTCGTGTTTCAAATTTTTAAAACTTGGCCACATTTTCTTCTTTGTAGTTTATTTCAATCCTAAACACTCAAAGAAGATTTAAAGTTAAAATAAGAGGTTGTATTAGAACATCTACCATATATATTCTGGTTGTATTTGCACGTTTTTCGTTATGTTTCAATTTTTCAAAACTTGGCTACATTTTTTACTTTGCAGTTTATTTCATACTTGAATAATCAAACAAACATGTAATTAAAATTTGGAATAGTGGGTTGTATTTGCACATCTATATTTTAGTTGTATTTGTAGGTAAAATTTTCAATTGTATTTCTACACTGTTTTTTTTTTTATTTCAAGAACTGTTATGTTTTCCATCCAGTTTTTTATAAAATTTATGACTAGTGTTATATCCAAAATTCGTTTCAAAAGTTATGTATTAGATTTATGTAAAGCCTGTCGTACATGCATTTTCTGAATAAAGGGAATCCGTTGTTAGTGAGTTCGATACAAAATAGAACCTGTTCTTGAACTTTTGTTTCTCCTGACTGGGTGTCTCAATCTCAAATTATTTTGGACATCCAGATTTGAATTCCCTGTTGCTTTTAATTTTGTATATTGATGCGCTTTGTTCTTTAAATTGTCCTCCTTTGCATTTGAACTCTTGCCTTAAGTTTGTTGATATGCCTATAGTTAGGTAGTTCCAATTAAGTAGTTTGCAATTAATCTTGATTTTGTAAAATCCACAAAAGCGTGATTCGTATTTCAAAATATCCCGATTGTGAGGACCCTAGTTCTGAGTGAAAGTGTCAAAAGGCCTTAAGTTTATTACTTATCGATCTTAAGATCGGTAAGTATATTGATAGGTATTTGTATGTATGTCTGTCTGTCTGTTAGATGAACGCGATATCTCGCGAATGCGAGGTTGAATCTGCTCAAAATTTTGCATGTGCATTCATCTTATCTCGGACCAGAAACCTATTGATTTTGGGCGAGTTATCAATCAATTATTGATATAGTGATCTAGATTTTTGTAAAGCGAGAGAATTTTGAGACCCGCCGAGTGTGTGTGTGCGATGCGCAGTGCGCAAGTTACAAGAGCGGATGAATCGAAACTGCAGTTTCTGTTTTGGGGGATCCCCTAACTATCGATCGATAAGTCTTCGGTTTCCAACCGATATTCTCGTTTATATATTTGTGCTTTTGTTTTAGTTTGTGTTCTAGTTGAATATATTTTGATGCAAGAAGTCGTGATATTCTTTCTCTGGGAGGAAATTATGCGTCCAGAATATTAATTGCAGTGGATGAGCAAAGTTGAAGTAGCAAAGTTTTAGTAATAGCTAACCGGTATCCAGGCTGGATAGCGACTGACATAATGGCGACCGCATTAAAACAGCGACTGTTATGATAGCGACTTAACTCATGTTTACTGAGTCGAATTCCCTGGTTGGTCGTTGGAAGCTAACGCTATGTCGTGTCACATTAATGTTAAAGTCATTAGGGTTAGTCACTGTTTGGAACCCTAGACTAGCTAACCAGACAACACTTTTTTTTGCTCGACTATCGTGTTGTCTTAAATTGACCAGCTGTTCCAGAACACCTGTGCTATAGATGTAGCTTTCCTTACTATGCACAAACCATTTATCTAACATTTGGATTATATTGGCTCGGCGGTGTGGCGCATCACGCTAAGCGTCAAGAATAATCTAGCCACCGCACCTCTGACTCCCCTGCATGGGTTTATCGATTCAAATTTTGTGGGGAATAATTATGTTCAACTCACTGCCTGACATATGGTAGTTCACATAACCCCACCATCAAGTCCATGCATCTGAATGGTAACCAGACAAGAGATTATTGTATCGTTTTCCGATCTGCTAGTCGTTACGGTCTAATTTGGCGATAAGAAATTTCTAATTACCAAGCTAGACAATAACAGCAAGCGGGAACTGTTGGTTTTCAGGGTTTAAAAAGTGTTCCAAGCTACGGAATGTCTACGTTTCCGACAATCCTGATTTTCACTGTAAAATCAGAATAAGGGATGCTTATGACCGAGCTTTATGGTCATAACTATTTTTTTTAGTTTCATACTATTGACAGAAATAATCGAAATCGAAATAAACTCTTTCAATTCGACAAAATAACAATTTATCAAATAAGGCTTATATTCATCAAAATTTCGCGACAAACGATTTATCAAAATGTTTTTGGAGTTCAGAGTATGAGCCAAAATTTTCAGGCATCAGAATTTCAGTCTTTCGATGGCATTAGTCAAAACTTCTTCCAAAAATCAGAAGCATCAGGTTTACAAAGCATTATTAACAGTCTATTAAAGAAGTAAAGCATACACCAAAATATGATTTCCTTTAGAGTTCAGGGATAAATGTAATTTCAGGCTTTCGAGATATTCTCTATAAGCGCAAAACAATTTTAGTTGACAAAACATTGCTTGCTGTAGCAGACCCTAGGGGGCTCCCGAAGTATGCGAACTAAGATGGCGGACATCGGAATGTAATATGTGTACTAGGTTAGAGTTAGGCCATAATTTTAGGTATAAATACTACGGGAGGCTCTTGGCTAGTCTTCGAACTGATAATAGGACTAAAATAAGGAAAATTGGAAAAAAATTATCGCCTAACCCTAACCTGTTACCCATGTTACGTTACGATGTCCGCCAACTTGGTTCGCATACTTCGGGAGCACCGACCCTAGTTTTTTTCAAATTTGAGCTTTGGAGTAAATATCTTCAGGTATCATGATTTCAGACTTTCAAGGTAATAATCGAAGTCACAATTTTCAACAAAAGCCCAAAAAACAAGGTTGGCAAAGTGTTTCCAATCTGCTGAAGCTCGCATCAATGTTTTTATCAGAATTTGAGTTCATAGCAGGAATCAAAATTCCAGACTTTCAATCGTGATATTCAAAACAATTTTCTGCAAGAACTCAATGAAAAAATAATTGGCAGAGCATTCCTAACTGTTCAAATACATCAATTTCCTTATTTATAGAAGTTGATTCACTTAAAAGCAAGAGGTAATACAGATGACAAATTGTGCAAATCTGCTAAACAAGGCCAAGTTTTTGTTAATGAAATTTGATTTCCTTGGGAATGAGTAAAAATTATAGGACATCAAATTTGATAACTTCGAATAACTTTTCACAGAAAATCAGAAAACACAGCCTATCGAATGCGAACTAAAGATCCTGATATCAAAAATTCAATTACCAATCGACTGAATAGTTACAGACTCCAAAAATTTTCTGATATCCTGAGACAGGAGTTATTCTTAGCTCTTGCATTTCAAGTCTTAATCTGTTAACAGTGGTTTTCAAACGGTGGAGCAGAAACAATTTTTTGAGGGGACTCGAAGCTAATTTAAAATATTTGTTAAATCTGATCCCCACCTATTTTGGAAAAGTAAAAATATCCAAAATAAATTAAAGAAATACATTAAATAATAATACATTTCTTTATCATTTTATATTTTGGAAAAATTTCTTTTTGTTCACAGATTGCGATTCTATCCACGTATTTTCAATGTGTTTCTCCGCCTTAATATATGTTATTCGTAGATTATTGTAAGCTAGTTATTTTTGAGGTGAGGCGCGAGACTTGACAAATTCTAAAAAGACAGATTAAAAAGTTCGGGACCGCTGCCTATTAACCTATTATCCTGATAACACCCACAGAAATCGCAAAAAGAATTACAAAAAAAAATATTTTTTCCAATTTTTATTTCACATACTTCTCAAATCACACATTTATGACCTTGGACGTTCTTTTTTACCGGTGAAAAGTGCTTTTAAGGACACATTGGCGACCTTCACAACCTTGAAACGAACTCCGGGAATATCTCCGACAGCGTGACCGCTACGTCCAAATCCAGCAACCAGAACTTCGTCGTTTTCCTGTCAAAGGAGAGAATAGGTTAGGGTCGGTAATCCTGTGTAGAAGAGAAAAGAACGGCCTTTGATCTACCGAACCAAAGCCTATTGTTAATAGTCCATGAGAATAGCTGGAGTGAAAACAATTAGAGGAAAACTCGTTGAGACTGTTTTCTAGGCTTATGTTAACTACAGCAAGAAAAAGAACAATTTACAAGATTGGCGCACGCAAACCAAAGAAATCCCTCGCTTTGCCACGCGACTATTAACATCTTCATATCGCTCGACGATGGTGCAACGTTGGCCACAGTAGGTGGTGCTAATTCAATTTCATCACAACAGCTAACCGGTTATTTATTCCCAGATGCAAAACATGATAGCAGATAGAGCCGTAACTGACCAGCAGTTACGTGGAACATTTCAGGGCGGGGTGTGACCATGTTAGGTAAGGTAGGTAAGAATATAAAGGGGAGATAATTGGTAAAATGATTCATATGGTGAACAATGGCTTTCATCAGGTTACCATGTCAAAGATGGGAATTAGTAACCACTTATTTGAGGGAAGCATGGATGGTTGAGGATGCCGTAAAAGATCATCCCGAGACATAACCTCGGTGATTTATCCTGATTTTCTCATTTAACGTGAAAGGACTTGACCCGTAACTTGGAAGTTTGGAAGCTTATACCCAACATTGTCTATTACAGTGTTTTTCAAACTTTTTTCACCCACAGCTACATTTTTTGTGACCCTATAAGGAACTTTAATGAGAACGATGTGCATGCATATTCTCGCACAAAGATCGAAACTTGGCTCTATTTCGTAAAGATTTTGAATAAGCAATGACTAAGAATATTGTGTAAAAAGCACAAAAATAGTGTTTCGAATTTAAATGGCTTTAACAAGTGACGCTGCCAGTGGGGTTAAAACTGGAATTTATCTGTCATATTAATTTATGAGTTTTCAAGTTGAATTTGTATTCTTAAAACTTTAAGTTTAATTTTAAGATTTGATATTTAGTGGCTCCAGCTTCTAACAATCAAATTAATTTTCACATTTACAGTTTTCTAAAAAATTATCAATTACCAGTACTAATTATGATTTGATAAAAATGTCCGATTGAATTTGTATATCTGAAACTTTGAAAATTAATTCAAGAATTTGATTTTTCATGATAATGGTAACACCAAAAACACCAGCAGCTATGAAGAGGGAATTTACTCTGTATTTGGTGTAGTATATTACTGGTCACATAATTCGTTTATTGCAACACATAAAAACCAGAGCGCGAGTCATGAGTATCACTAGGTGGTGGTCCCACAGTTCCTTTGCGCAGTGAGAGGGGAAATAAAGGATATCAAAATCCATGAGGAAAGTTGAAAGTTATTTATTGGAAAAGATCAGTCCTAGGAATGCGTTCTTTTTGAAATCCCTCAGAGTTGAGAGTTTATTAATATATTCATTTCTCAAGTGGGGAAAATTTTACTTTGTATTCCAGATGCTGATATTCAGCAAGATATGCAAATGTATCATAAAAGATAGGGAACATATGGTTTGTTTGAAATTTGATTTTACAGGTAGTAAAACATGTTTTTCAAGTTGACAAAACTTTGACATCTAACCTCAATGTAGTTCAAGCAACCATCGTTAGGAACGAAAGCAGTGATTTTCTTTCCGTTCTTGATGAGTTGGACACGAACGCATTTTCTGATGGCAGAATTCGGCTGCTTGGCTTCAACTCCGCTGCAAATGAAGAAAAAAGAATGAATTGTTTAAGTATCGGGACATTTATTTGGAAAACGAAACGATGAATTACATCACAGTTATCCGATTTCGATATCAATTATGATGGTTGAATGCAAACACCTCTATTACAATACAGTCAGAATAACAACATAAACCTGCGCAATCAATTACACTGAAAATGACAAAAAATGAAATTCTCAGAGTACTGAGTAAGAGAAGGTGTGTACCAATATGGAGGTAACTAATTTGTTCGCCTACTTTATATCAGGTTGTGTATAAAGGGACTGAAACCTATGGACAGGGGGTATATTCCTAACCTGGTACACACACTACGAAGGTACCAAAAAGATTATATGAAAAGGACTTTAACACTGAAAAATTTTGTACACAGTCTCACAAAACTGACAAAACCATAAAATTAATTTCAGAGAGTCAACGACAGCCACAAAAAGAGTCAAACGTCTGATGGTTGGAAGAAGTGGCAAAGCCAAGGGAGTCCCAGGTCCAAAACCCCCTTTATAAAATTTTGAACATTATGAGATCAGTTCGAATCTCAGACTGTCAGAAAACGAAGAGATACTTAAGACTCAAATATTGAAAGTAGAACTAAACCATAATTATATTTTAGGAGCAATATCATTTTAGACGCTGGAAATTACCAAAACTATTCTGTCGGAGAGACGTCAGTAATAAAAACGTTTCACCTTCGATGCAAGAGGACCAGGCCGAACAATCAATCAAATTTATTTAGGTCACTCAGACAAAAAAAAAACGCACAAACAATTCAGCAATCATTGTTAAACTAATGTTTTTAATGGATTTTCTTTTTTCAAAGAACTTGTGCGTGTCTTCTGGCTTTGGAGAAATAAGCTCATTACATAAAACGGAATCTTTGAGAGTTAAACCCTGATATGGGAGTCAAACTATTGTCATTTTTTTCTGGTCCGGTCTCGCATGGAATGAAATTTTTGACAGACGTGTAAAGTAAAATCAATCGAACCCACTAAATTTCCAACTAAGCAGGTAATTAGACTATGTTTCATACAAGATAGTATTCCACGTGAACAGACTTATATTAGCAATAGATAAGAAAGTTTAAAGCAAGTTTAATGATCGGAAAATAATCAGATCTGCGATGTGCACTTACATTTTTTCCAAGACGATTCCCTTTGCGTGAGACGCTCCTCCAAATGGATTGGCTTTCAACGCAGTTCCCAAATGAGATTTCTTGTATTGCAAATCATGCCATCTTTGTTCACGGCGCCTATTTCGAAGTTTTCGAGCACAACGAAGTCCACGAGGCTTACCCATCTTGACGGCGAGCAGAAAAAGAAAGGCCGTGGCTGGAAACGTGAATTCGAGATTAATCGGGGGTGAAAGGTCGTTATAACTCTAAAACGTGGTTTCGTGAATTTTTGTTTTCAGCAAAAAATAGCTCAATAGAATTGTGCGGGAACTTAAAAAATTGGAGGAAACTGTATAAAACAATTTTTATTTATTTAAATGGAACACGGCATGTTTTTTCATGTTAAATTTGCCTTGATATCAATACCCATCCAATAAATAGTACACAAATAATGAAATGTACATTTTGTGAGATGTGCATCGAAACCGTGTTAGGGCCCATTCACATCTGTTCACACCACTGCGTTGACGCACCTTCAAACCTTGTTTGTTTAACTTAATCGTGCGTTGCTGCGTTAACGCATCATTTTGACGCACTGCGTCAACGCAACGAATTCTCGAGGACACATTCTTTTGCGTTGACGCGCTGCGTTAGTCGAGATTTGAGTTGGATTCAGGTACTTTGTGATGTGGTTTGGCGATGACTTTAAACAAAAATCGACGATTGAGTTTACTGTTGTGGTTGAGAAAACGGGAGGATAAAAAAGAGATGGAAAATAAGAAGGTGGTGAGGCCATTCTATTTTGCATAGAAGAGAAACTAGAGGTAGGTACCGCTTACCGATGCAGAACCGGTACTGTCTGTACCGGTACGTGTACGGTACACTGGTACGGCAGCCCTGGCACCGGTATGCCTGTACCATACCGTATTTGCAGTGGTTTGTAACAAAAATGAAATTGCTACTTGCATGGTTCTAGGTTTATCTGTTAGGATAACAATGCAGGCTCCCTGTACTATAATTACAAGAAAACATATAACATTGTGCTCCTGGCTATTGTTGATGCTTGGTAAATATTAAACCTGGTTTTGTATCATTCTAGTTAGTATTTATGAAATGAATTTTGTTACTTACCACTCGTGGTTGCTTTATATGAATGAATAAATTGAAAACACATTATCTTCTATTATGATTGTGTGGATTCTACATAGGCATTTAATCCAAACAGTGCCATCAAAAACTCAACGAAATTTATATTTTTCAGTTATAAATTCCTTGCAGTGGTCATCGGCGCTTACGGAAGAGCAAGTGATGGGTGAATATTTGCAAACTCATGTTTTGGACATCGCCTGCAGAATGGAACCTTGAGTCTACCCTCACCAAGGTGTTTATTTAAGCTAATACTTCGCTTAGACTTAATGACTGTTGATGTTTTTTTTCTATAACGGAACAGGTTTTAATTTTCCTTTACATCCAGTTAATATCTAGTTTGAGCTGCTTTATTAATAATGTAAAACAGGCTGATCATTCTTACAGCTTATTAATAACCCATAACAATAAAGCATGTTTATGCAGAAAAATCTCCCCTAAACCTCATTTTGTATTTCCGTCTAACAGGGGCATATCTATTTTCAGGCCATTGCCATTAACGAATGGGCCAACCGTTACCTTTGTTTTCCTTGGTGATGAAGCGTTTCCACTGAAAGAATATTTGATGAGACCATTTCCTGGCAATGGTCTTTCGCAAGAGAAGAAAATTTTAATTATCGCTTATCACGCGCAAGACGAATGGTGGAAAGCACATTTGGAATATTAGCCAATCAGTGGAGAGCTTATCATCACCGACCAATACCTTTGACATGCTGCCTCCACAATTTTTTGAGGAGAGATGTTGATGGAGCTGCAACAGTTGACGAAGATGTGAGAGTGGTCACTCAACTGCTGCATGACATACCCGGAAGTGGTGGCCTTGCAACACAGAACGCTCGCTCGGTGTGCAACTACTTTTCGAGGGAAGGTGCTGTGCCCAGGCAAAGGCACCATTGCTGATCTTTGAACAAATGTTTAGACGATTAATGAAATAGAGAGGTGTCACAAGTCCTATACGCTAGTAGTACAATTAGTTCGAACAAATGTTCTCAAATATTTTTATATTTCCCCAAATTCAATATTATACAATAGCTCGTGGATTCTAACTTTCGCCAGTTGAAACCGTTGTACTGGTAGCCTGCATAGAATAGAGTATCTACCAGGCGTCTTGCAAACTTTTCAGCATCAATACTTTCTGTATGTAAATAAAGGCATGATTATTACATTGAAAATCTGTTGTGTGACACAAAAAGGTTTAAGGGCCTTAGAATTAAATACCTTTGTTGACAACACTCATTATAGTTTCATCAAGGTCCGGTTGTTTTGTAAATGGACCTTTACCAGATGCTGATGTCATCCAACTAGGTCTTCAGCTTCGTCATTTATTTGCATGTTATCTGCATCTTCAAGCACCACGAGGGTGACGTCTTCGTCAACATTTGAAGACGTTCTTTGAAACAAAGGGAGTTTCATTCCGTAGGCTAGAGATTAGCAATATTGTTGCATCTGTCACATAAACAAATAATACATACGTTCTAAAGTAAACATGTTCATCCAAGAACTTCAGCATCTCCATAAACTTCCACGCCTGTATCCCGCGCTGCTGCCCCACTCCTCGTAGCCTCTATTTCCTTTAGCTTCTCTTTTCTAAATCTATCCTTCGTTGACCTCGATTTCTACATGGCTACTCATATTCTTATCGCTTCTTCTCAGTGCCTCAGCTACCTCTTCCCACGAATTTCCTTTTGCAACTGCATCTCTGTAAGATGCTGCTTTTACAGCATAAAGACACTCCCGTGCACGAACCTCAATTATAAGCTGCTCCAAATCCATTTTTTCTCAATCTGTAATAATCATTGTAACGTTAAATTAGTAGCGTTTTGAAAAATAATAACTAGTACTAGTGTATTATACAACAACATTATACATTCGCCAAAAAGTCTCAAATTTCCTATCAAAAGTACAGTGTGTCTTACCAACCCACTGCAGGTACACAGTGCCTATATAGTTGCTGAACTAGCGTGATTACTACACCCGGAAAATATGATCTTTTGACACAAAATGCGTTGACGCATCGCAGTGTGAACAAGTTCAACGCACTGCGTTTGCGCCTGCGTAGAAAACTAACGCAACGCATTGCGTTGGTGTGAACGGGCCCTTACATTATTTTATTTTTTTGAATTTGTGCAACATTTTTGCGATATTGGCAATACATGCTTAACTGTTGAATATGGATTTATTCTTGACATGGCACATAGTGGAATTTTACTTAGGGTAGGACAAATGTACTAACTCTGTATTATTATGATCGAAATATTTAATTTACAAATGTAAATTGCGTAAATATAAAGGCCTCAATTTTTATGTTATTAACTCTGAAAAAAGTATCGTTTCTGGCTCGGCGGTGTGCTCAACGGGCTAAGCGTTAGGAATACGCTCGCCACCGCACCTCTAATTAGTCTGCGTGGGGTTCGCAGGTTCAAATCCCATGCGGGATGGTTATGTGCGAGAGGATTGCTGGAATCCTCGCCGTCGTTGGGTGGTTCACGTAACCGCTGGTCGGTTACGGCTTCCTCCACCATTAAGTCCATGCTTTCGAAAAAATAAAATAACTAACCCATCCCATACCCGACATGGAATGGTAACCGGACGAGAGGCCGTGGTTCGCCATATGGATAAGCCGTCTTATCGGCTTTCCTATCCTATCAAGCTAAGTTGGGCTTATATTTTATTAAGTATTGTGTCCATAAAGTTTGATGTTTTCATTGTTAAAAAAATAATAAAATGAAAATTTTGAAAAATGAGAATTGTAGAAAAGTTTCGCTCACGCTCTCAGAAGCAGAATACGAATATAAAATTTCCATGTGTGGTATAATATATAAACCTGATTGAAGACCAACAAAGTTTAATAACGTCTACGTCACTACATTTGGCCGACAACACGACCTCTCAGCTATATCATCAAGTTGCTATACGAGGTAAAATAAATAGTGTATAGTTTATACACTAGGCTATATTTCATAATTGACAAGCTTCGCGTCGAGGCTGCATCACAGCGCCCGTTAGATTATCGAGCCAATCGCAGCCTTTTACAAAAATTACCAAAACTATCACTGACTCATTAAGCAAAATGATATATTGGTTCTTTTCGTGTCTAATAATATGATTCGGCGTTTTTCGTGTGATTTTCTACAAGTTAAGCGACACGTTTCGGTGACATATTTTAAAATTCCCTAGAGTCGAAATTTTAGATACCGGTACTTGTCTAAGCATTTTCCCGGACAATCAGAGGCGGCTGGTTATTTTAAAAATTCGAATTTCCAGCGCAAACTGCATTACTAACCCCAATTAGATAATTACCAATTTTCTTATTTTGGTTGCCGGGAGCCTTTGGTAGTCGGGATCTTTATACAAAAGTTCCCCGAGTTTTTTAATTCGTATTTAAAATCAACTTATTACCATTTAAATATTTTGTGCGTATTGTTTGATTTCCATGGTTTTTAGTTTTACATTTGTCAAATTTGCATTTTCTTCAAGTTTTTCTTTATTTTTTTTTTTGTTGTCCTGCCATTTTCTCTCTTCAGTGCATTCTCTCGTGATAGTTATATATTTATTTTGTTAAATAATCTGCACAGTAGCCTCAATTATGTACTGGTATTCAGTAGTTGTGTCTCATTTAGTTCCTTTTTTATACTAACCTGCATCAGCTAGGTGTCTCTGCTTGAAGACCTCTATAGGTCCCTCGCAACTCCGGTCACACAATTAACATGATCAGTATATTTCGTTTGTTGTAACAGTTTTCTATATGCTTGTTTCTTGTGTTGACAAATAAAAGATTGATTGATTGACCAAAGACATTCGTAAGCCGAGCTTGCGACTTCCGATAATCACTAAATATATTTTACGCGACTTTTAAAATACATTTATGATGAAATAGTATATTCCACAGAAAAGATCCATCATCATGACGTCTTAATACATTTTGTGAAATCACCTCTGATACGTCAGATATTTTTCATGTGCCTGTGGGAGAATATTCGAAAATGACGGCATTTTATAAAGACGCAACTTTTCAATTATATGCCCTCTCAACAAAATGCCGACCCAAGCACATGGAACAACAAACCAGTATAGTCAAATTTCCCATGTTAGATCTGCATTGGCATGCGATTATTCTGTCTTACATTTTCTCTGGCCGGAATAAATATGAAAAATATTACCCCCAGGGAAAAATACGTAAATCCTATCCTATCCCGGCGACAATTTTAATCTGCTTTCAAAAAGGCACCAGACAAGAGGCCAGTGAAATGGAGTTTTGGAATGACGGACATTTTTAAAATTTAAACAGAGGCTACTTAATCTCTCATTCCCTGGGTACAGAGACGTGTCAAAATTTTATGCTGCCCCAAGACGAGTTTCTGTTGTGTTGCCCCTTATACCTAACTTCAAAAATAATTCGGGGGATAAACAAATTATAGATGTTTTTATACATAAGAATTAATAAATATAAGGTAATTATGAGCAAAATGTTTGGATCATTTGTATTCAAATCAATAAACTTGGTTTGGTCAAGCACCAAACTATTTTATAACGTGTTGCCCCAGGGGGCTGCCCATATCCCCCCCTTCCCCTATCAAGGGCTTCGGGAATAATTACTGGGGGGATTGGGGGGGTAAACAAATTATAGATGTTGTTAGAATGAATCAATTAACAGTCAGGTAAAATGTTTATGACATTATTAATCAACAAACTAAGCAACAAATTTATTCTTATAACTTGCTAGACAGGGCTGCGCCCCCCCCCCCCTCGCCACTGCTTAGATGAGGTAGGAACGGGGCTGATTGAACCTAAGACTGTCACTTCAATCATCAACAAATGTTACCGTATATTATTACAATAATTTATTTTGATAAAAAAAATTAGATAAAATTAAAGTTAAGATTACCTACGCTACTAAAACTATGAAGTAAATTCACTAATGCCCACAGGCACATTGAAATGTGTTCGGCATATTAAAAAGGTACGTGCACAAAAGAATCAATCCTTCAATTTAAAATATAAAGTAAATTTTACTCCGGTAAAGCTATGCTTAAAAATGACCAGAAACAAATATTCATTGAAAAGTAGTTGGCCGTACTAAATGGCTTGTGATGCAAAAGATTTATTTAAACCCGGCAATTGCCGTGCGACATGTATTAGTGTGAGGATGTGCAACATTTTTTGTCGGCAGGCCATATAATTACCTTCAGACATCCAGCTGGGCCGCACGATAAATTAGTTTTTCCATTTACACAGCAAATTAAAAATTTAGGTACAATCAGAGCCACATGGGAATAGAGAATTCCAGTAATGAATACAGCGTGCAAGAAGGCAAAAGATCTAACTAAGCGACAAGCGCAAAAATCGTTATGTATTTTCACTCATGTGAGCGCATTTTTAAACATCAACTGCCGGATTCAGATTTTATGCTTGGTGGGGAAAATCTTGAGTGTTGACAAAGGCCACACTAAATGGCTTGGTGGGCTGGATTGTGGCCCGCCTGTTACACACCCCTGCATTAGTGTATATGACTCCATACTTATGAGCTACAGGGTCTGGTATAGTTTAGTACCACATCCACTTCTAGTTGGCCTGGCTCAACAATTTTTGCATATGTCAATCCTAACCCCCACCTGACTAGGTCACCGAAAAATTACGTCATTCCGACGTCACAGTGGCGTAATAAGGCTCACTGAAGTATGCGGATGGTCGTCCAAAACGCGCAGACGATAACCCGAAATCGAGCAAGCTATTTCTCTCGTTTTCTCGTCGCAACGATCACTATAGGAGAGAGATTGCCGGCTTTAGCAAGTTCTTATCGGCGGCGCAGATGCCATTTCGGGCGATCGTAATTATACTTTGGCAATCACTATGACGTGATGGTGACGTCTTAGTGACATAATTTTGAGATGGCATAGTCAGGTGAGGGTTAGGAATAACATATGCAAAAATCGTTATGCCACGCCCACTGAAGGTACTTGTGGTACTAAACTCTACTATACCCCAGGCCCAATGGATTTAGTTGTTCAATAAGGGTGAAATTAACTTCTTCTACAAATATAAAACAAGTTTATATTTTACCAGAGACAAATATTAATTGGAAAGTATCTGACCATAATGCAAGGTTACTTGCCCGGGATTATTGCAGTGCCTAAATCACCAAAAACAAGCAGTCATGTGGAACCACCAGAATTTATTCTGACCAGTCACGCTTGAATAATTCTGGGAGATATTTACTACAAATAATGTTTAAAACCCAGAAAACAAGCAACCATGCAGAACCATCACCCATGCAGTCGTTTATAATTTTTCATATTCTTTTTTATACCAGACACAATGTCAGGCGTCGCTACTCCTCGAGATCCGTAGTAATCAACAAAATTCCCAGCTGGATTCATTAAGTACATAACGATTGTGTGATCAACAATGTAATCATTGTCTTCATCGCGCGGTCCGGCGCTAAAATAAACTCGAAACGTTTTTGCAGCTTGTTTCACTTGCTCTTTCGTGCCTGTTAACCCTACAAATTTTTTATGGAACTCCGCGATGTAGTTTTTTACGACTTCTGGTGTGTCTCGTTCCGGATCAACAGATATAAAGATCGGTAAAATATCCGGAACACTTTTATCCTTGTCGACTAGGTCGATAATTTCTGCCATTTTTTCCAACTCCTCGGGACAAATATCTGGACAATGCGTAAAACCGAAATACAATAATAACCACTGGCCCATAAAATCTGCTTTTTTTCTCTTCTGCCCCAAGTGGTCAATCAGTTCGTAATCTTTTGCTCCGATATCAATTTGACTAACTTGTTCTTCACGTTTTGTAATTTCTTCTTTACTTTTGAGATATTTTATAATAAAATATATCACCCCCCAGATGGCTACTATTCCCACAACAATTTGAATTCTCCTTGTCATGGAAACAGGTTCCGGTTCACTAGAATTAGTTTCCTGTTTTGGATCATTAATTTCCTTTTTCTTGGTGATCTCATAATCAGGTTTTTTGACTTTAGGATTCAAATTTTCTTTACTGTCTGTGCTATAATGTAAAGATCCTATTTTTGTAAAATGTGAATTTATCCCGTGGGTTCCCAAGACAATATTGAAATCATTTTTTGTCATACAAAATCGTCCTTGAAAAATAATCTCTTTTTGGATTGGGTTTTTTCTATCCATGGTATTCTGTGAACATAAATTCTGACAGTGGAATGCAGAAATCCCACAGCCATTCGAATTCATGTTGAGTATTCCCAATGTTTTAGGTGGTATCTTCCGCCAACAAAATCTTGATAACAATGACATTATTTAGTTTGTGCTAAAGTTTTGCTGAAAAAGAATAAAAATGAATGCGTTCCACGCACATTGATAAATAAGATAAAATAGGAACTACTGCAAAATTATGGTTATTCCAAACCACTTGCTTAGCACAAAAAACGTGCAAAAACCACAACGAAACCTTGGAAAATGTGCAAAACTGTGAAAAACCACCAAAAACATTTTGTTCGCCATTCAAGATTCACAATTTCTGGCAACTTAACAGTATCGATCACCTCAAATGGTTATATTCTGACAGTATTTACTGAATCCCATTTTTTCTGATGTTCTAATCCAGTGTTTCCCAAACTTTTTTGGCCACAGAACACTCACAATTTTTATCTCGGCTCACGAAATATCATAAAATAAAAGGGTAAGATTGATAAAGAAATATGGTGTAGTGCAGCAATTCCCAAAAGCGTGGCGATTTGCCTAATGTGCTGCGAAAACTAACAGAACTAAAATATGACTGAATATTTCACACATACCATTTATTATATTGTTTCTTATTTTCAATGTTGTGTATAGGAATCAATAAATTCATTTTACGTGTATAAGTATAAGTTTATTTCGACTCCATAATCAGCATAACAATACATTTGACAGATAAAAACAAATAAATAAAAACTGATTATGAAATCAGGGGAGCAAACGAAACCTTAGATAAGGTTTATAACGTACAAAATATAAGATGGAAGGTTGTGTTTACTCACCTAAAATTATTAAGCTCACATGCACCCACCAGCCACACACACACACAACCACTGAGAAGTTATTTAAATAAGAATAAAATGCGATAAATTTAGGGTATACTATACAGTAAACAAAAAATAAATAAATAAATACTAGAAAATAAAAAAAATTATTTGCCACACCATATTGATATTTTTGTAATGGTTGCCATTGACAAATTGATCGATCTTCTAATCGTTAATTAAAATATAAAAGGAAGATTCTATTGAAAACATATTGCCAAGCTGATTATAGTTGGAGTCAAATGCCAAGTTGCCCAACCAAAGTTGCCAGACTTGGGTGCATGAAGAGGTGGACGAGACCATTTCATTCCCCAAATTAGAGCCTATTATTGCCAACTTATAGTCCAGATTGTAATAAGTGGGCTAATTAAAGTTACCGGTAACAGTAAAATTACTATAATTAAGTAAAGTAGGATATGGAAATAAATTGGTTACAAAGAGTGTAAGTGAGGTTTTTCATTCTCCTATGCTGACGGTTAACGAAAATGCCACTACAGCACCACTGGTGGTCTGGTAGTCTACCAGTCCGCTTTAGGCCGACGGTGACGCGATATTGAACGGTCACCAGTTCTGCAATTGGTCTGACAACTTCACGATCGCCATTTCGACGAATTTAGCGTAATTTTAATCCCCCTTCCGCGGAACACGCTTGGAAACGCTGTTCTAATATGATACCCCAGATAAAATTTTCAAAACCTTTTTTTTTTTTTTTTGTGCCAAATAAATTCCAATGCCAAACGGAATTTTCGTATTAATATTTTGGTATCAAATCATTTTATTATAAATATATAAATAGATATTTTTTTGTTTCCATGTTTTTGTTTATCATTTTTTAATTTAATCCCATTCCCCCCAATACATATGAATAGTAAAAATCAAAATAAAGACAAAATTCATACCATTACCATGATGTCATTAATTTAATATAATCCAATATATGTCCAAAAAAGTTGAGTTAATCCACATGTAATCCACTCAGCAGTTAGTTGAATATAATTTTAATTTACAGGTAATCAGTTTTTATTTTAATTTTTTAGTTAGCATGAAAAATACAAGAATACAAAAATTAGACAGAGAATATGGAAAAATCCACGCTTTCATATTGGGTTTTTCCCATTCGCCATCTATGTTTCATAGTCGATACATCTTCCTCTTATGAAAATGATGTACAGATAACATACTTTCAATAATTTTCAGAGTATGGTGTTGCATATAAACTTACATCATGATTGACCTATGTAAAAGATCATCCATGTGCTCATATAACAATAATTCATTTCTTTCGCTTGCTTTTAGTAAATTTAAAATCCCTACCAGTTTACACTTGAAAATTGAACGCATACTACTTTTCATTTTATCTATTTCATCATATTTTACTGAATTTCGATATTCCCAAATTGTTGATTTTCCGCATAATATTGTGATTAATTTTGATTTGCATTCCGAATCGTTTGCTATAATAGTATTTTGATTAATATCTATGCAACACCATTGCCAAAAATCACTAGACCAGTCACATTCTAAAAATAAATGACACACAGTTTCTTCAACATTATTTTCACATAAGACACACATTCCTGGTTCATCAATGAACCAGTGTTTTATTTTGTCTCCAGTGGGCAACCCATTATGAATTAACTTCCAACATAACTCTTTATACTTGTTTCCAATATTTATTTTCCATATTTTATTCCAATTAATTGCCTTAGTTAGGTGAAATTTATTAAATATGTATTCCTTATGGTTTTTCAAAAATGTATCATTTTTCTTACTTTGTAAAATCCTATAAATTTGATTAGTGGTCAAGTCTTTCGACCCATTGTACCTATCAATTAATATTCTTGTTTGACCAAATTCCCTATTCCTTGATAAAATCTCTCTCCATTCTATTGGAAGTGCTTCCCATATTTGCCGTAATTCATTTTCGCACTTATTTATCAAGCAGTTTTTTCTTAAAGTACTTATTGCAGAGTTTTCTAGCTGGGGGTACACTCTTTTGGAAATATCATATATTGTTTTGCCAAAGATATCACTAACAGTAATTATTTTTGCCTGAACCCAATTTGATTTAGCAGTTATTTCAATATTATTTCTATCTAATATTAGAGGATTGTGCCAAATTATTTCCTGTGATATTTCTGCTATATTTTGTGGTTGATTCCATTTTAAGCCAATTTGTTTGAATGAGTTGATTATACTAGTATAAAATTTCGGTATATGTATATTGGTTTCCAATTTAAAGTTCAAATACAAGCATTCTAAGTTACCTTTCGATAATACATCAAAATAGTTATTTACAAAATACTTTGCTCTCTGAGACCATGGATTATTACAACCTTCAAGCAATTTTAACACCCATTTTACCTGTAAAGCTTTAATTTGATTCTAATGTTCATCATTTTCACCCCTCCTTCGAAAAATTCGCTACAGCTGATATTTCTATTAATCATTTGTGCTTTATCATTCCAAATAAATTTCCAGATTATCGTTTCCATTTTTTGAATATATTTTTCCGGCATAAACTCAAAACTAGCCATATACCATAATTTAGACAGCATCAAAGATTTTGCAACAACAACTCTTCCTACAATGGTCAGATTTCGTCCCTTCCATAGGTTTACAATTTTTTGAACATTTGCAAGAATATTAGACCAGTTTTTGTCTCTAGACTTTTGGGAGTTTCCTATATATATTCCTAATAATTTTATCTCTTCCCTTTTTAAAGCAATATCCTTATAGGTATTATTTATTTGCCAGCTTCGAGAGGATCCACATAATAATATCGTACATTTATCCCTATTAATTTTTTGACCTGTACCACTTTCCAACATCTCCATTAATTTTAATACTGAATCTACAGACGACATTGACTCAAGCATGAGTGTTATGTCGTCTGCAAACCCATTATATACATCTCTTTGATTCGTGCAATTCTTGAATCCGATAATGTCTCTATTGCATCTTATATTGGTTGATATTAATTCAGAAATAAATAAATATAACAATGGAGAAAGTGGACATCCCTGCCTTACCCCCCTTGACATAAAAATTTTTTCTGATAAATATCCATTTACATTTATTCTAGAAGACGTGTTTTTATATAAAGTAATTATCCAATTAATAAGGTATTTTCCAAATCCAGATTTTTTTAATAATTTAACAAGTATATCCCTATCTACCATATCATATGCTTTTTTTTGATCTATCGAAAAAATAAGTAATGGTAAATTTTCTTTATTTGCCCAAAATATATCGTCCCTAATCGAAAGAAGATTTTGATGAATTGATCGTCCAGGAACGAACGCAGTTTGATTGATGTCAATTAGGTCTGGTAATACAGTTTTAATTCTGTTCGCAATAATTTTAGCTATTAATTTGTAATCAAAATTTAGCAATGTTATAGGCCTCCAATTCTTTATGTCCTCCTTTTCTCCACTTTTATATATTAATGTTATGACTCCCGTTATTGTATCTCGGGGCATTTCTCTCAGCTGGTGATAACTTTTATATAGCAACATTAATATGGGTTTTAATTTGTGCCAAAATTTAGAATAAAATTCTTTTGTTAATCCGTCTAAACCAGGAGCTTTATTTAATTTGAGTTCTGTCATGGCATATTCAAGTTCATCACCCGTTATTTCATTTTCTAAACTATTTTTTTGGTCATCTGTTATAAGTTTATGATAATTCCCAATTAATCTTTCTTGTACACTAACATCTAATTCAGTATCCTTGTGATATAGATTGCGATAAAATTTAACAATCTCATTCTGAATTTCCCCATGCTCATGGACAAGAAGACCGTCACATTTTCTTATTGATTTGATCATTTTAGCTTTAGCTCTTATTTTTTCCAAATTCAAAAAATATTTTGAGGATTTCTCTCCCTCCTCTGTCCATTTAATCCTAGATCGAATTATTGACCCTCTTGTTTTTTGTTTTATATGCTGTTTTAATTCAGTTTCAGCATCTTGTAATTTGATTTTAGTTTCCTCATCCTCCGCATATCTTTCCATTTCTTGGAAGCATTCCCTATATTGATTTAGTAATAAAGTTGTTTTTTTGTTTTCCTCATCTTTTTTCAATTTAGAACAATGAATGGCCCAATTTTTGATTTTCTTTTTACAATTATCCCAGAAAGAACCTCTTTCTGTTTCATCAATGTTTTTTATATCAAAATGCCATTTTTTCAATATTGCTTTTATTCTTAGGCAAAAATACTCATAATCATTCAACTGAGAATTGTATTTCCAATACCCGGGTCCATGTTTTAAACAATTCATTGAAGCAATTTTTAGATATACCGGATGATGATCCGACATGACAGCTTCCTTAATCTCAATTTTACTAACATTCGCAATTTGGCATTTCGAAATGTACCATCTATCTAATCGACTCTTTGAAACAACGTTTTGTATATTATTGCTTTTTTGCCACCATGTGTATTGCTTTTTAGTTTTATTACTGTTTCTCCAAATATCTATCAAATCAAAGGTTGTAATAAACTCATAAAGTTTTTTAATGCTATTATCTACTTTGTATCTTATGCTAGGATATTTATCTTCTTTGTTTAAAACACAGTTGAAGTCACCTCCAACATAAATTTGGTATTGTGAATTGGGATTTTGGGTTATACAGCTTTCTATTTTATTTTGCACTGCCAAAAATAATTCACTTCTTTCCCTACATCTATTTGGGGCATATATATTTAGCAAGGTAAAATGTTCATCGAAAGACTTCCACCTAACCAATATATATCTACCAAATTCATCTAATTGTACGTCATCAAAAGTTGCTTCTATTTTATTTGATAGCAGTATCCCTACCCCACTAGAAAAATTAGAAAAAGTTGTCCAAATTTTCAAAACCATGCAACGCAACCAACTAAATGAATCGCGATGTGAAACTGTGAAAGGTCATAAACAAAACTATGATGCTGATGAACTTTGCCCTCTGGCTATGAGAGCGAGAGAGAGGTTTATTTTTTCGTCAACCAAAAATAACAGTCATCGTAATAATGAAAATAACAATAAGTAATGAATTAGTTTGATATAGACAGGAGGGAATGATACGACCAGAGGGTCATCAAAGTCAACCCCCCCCCCCCCCTATGTGGCCATGTTTCCCACCAAAAACGTTCAATTTTATTCTATGAAATATTTATTCTCATGTAGGCATGAACTTGTACAAGTCGAATAAATGGTTTATTATCCACAATTCAATTTCATTCCTAAACGTATCTAATACTTTTACGCCATACTATCTATCACGAAATCTGTAATGATATGGAAACTTCATTTTTCAAAAATCTAAAATAATTTCTAGTTTATAATCAGATTTGACTCTCACCACCACTGTTTTCATATTTCCTAGTTTGCGCGCTTGTGCTTCAGCCAGTCAACTCGCTTGTTATTCAAAATTCTATTTCATAGCGGAGAATAATACCGAAAATCATCATGACTACGCTTCCTATGAACCCAAAACCATTCTTGAATTCATTGACTGGGAAACCTGTCATCGTGAAACTGAAATGGGGAATGGAATATAAAGGATATCTCGTGTCTGTTGACGGGTGAGAATTGATTTTCTTATTTCAGATTTTAAACTATTCCTGTTGGATTACCGTTTACTTACGTACCGGTGCCAAAGGTCTTGAGAATATAAATTTTAATTTGATAATGACTGGGTGGAACATGTTATGTTCTTAAAACTGGTGTAATTTGATTCCTACGAAAGTCTTTGTTCGAATTTTGGGAAAACTTAACTTTGTTTTAGGATAGGATAGGATTTACATATTTATCCCGGGGGAGAGGAAAGCAGATAAGACGGCTTATCCATATGACGAACCCCGGCCTCTCGTCCGGTTACCATTCCAAGTCGGGTATGGGATTGATTTTACTGTATTGTTTGTTTTCGGAAGCATGGACTTGGTGGTGGAGGAAGCCGTAACCGACCAGCGGTTACGTGAACCACCCAACGACGGCGAGGAGTCCAGCAATCCTCTCGCACATAACCATCCCTGCATGGGATTCGAACCTGCGAACCCACGCAGAGTAATTAGAGGTGTGGTGGCGAGCGTATTCCTAACGCTTAGCCCGTTGAGCCGCGCCGCGTTTTGATGATTTCAACATGAAATGGGGTACATTTGGGGGTTAGTTGCCATACCGTAACTTCGGGGTTTTGAATTGTTGTTTTTTTAATTTAAAGTCGCCAATTCCAGTCATTATAACCTGCGGTAATATCTTTACATATATTTTCAACTTTTTCATTTTGTCAAAAAAACAGTATTTACTAAAAAGTATTTACTAAAATATCCCAAGTTTGTTTATGTAACCACTTGTCACTGCCAATAAAGCATGGTCGGAGTGTCTTATGACCTTCCTCTCCCCCGGGACAAACATAATATTTCGTTTCTTAATATTATTTATTTATAATATTTCAGGTACATGAACATGCAACTAGCAAACACAGAAGAATACGTTGACGGGGCTTTATCAGGACATCTCGGAGAAATATTGATTCGTTGTAATAACGTACTTTACATCCGGGGAGTAGAAGAAGACGATGAAGAAGGAGAAATGAAAGAATAATCCTCCCCAGGGAATCCCCATTTTGAAGATCGATATTTGTGGACTCCGATACGATTGAATATTTTCCACAATCACAAACTCTCTCACACTGCTATAGGAGCTCTTGATGACGTGATGATTGGGCAGCACGCCTTAAATATTTGTCCTATTTTTATTTTTTCAATACCCCCTGGGACATTTATCGAATATTTTCAGAAATCTGCAATTTGAACATCACTTGTTAATCTGTCATAGCTTATGTAAACAGGCCCATTATTATATGGAATTCTGTGCTCCAGATGTATGCACACCAAGATGTCACACAACCTGAATCCTAGCAGGTACACACAAACTGTGTTCAGGCTGTGCACCATCTTGGTGCGTATACTTCTGGAGGTCCTGGAATTCACATTTTTGGACTCAATAAATCCGATAATCACGCCAAAAAATCTTTTCGTCATTCTATGTTCAGTTACTATTCCCCATTATTAGTAGTATTTGTGGGCTCGAAAGTTGCATTATCGTGTCCACTGGTATAGGTTACCATATCTACACCTTTATGCATACAGGCAGGGGTGTAGCCAGGACCCCCCCTTCCTCGCACAATCAGTGAATTAGATCGAAAGGTGAACGTTAATAAAAATGATTAGAAGCAGAACCCAGAAATATTTCTAGATTGTATTTTGGGACAGCAAGACTATTGAATCGGGGCTCCCGAAGTATGCGAACCAAGATGGCGGACATCGGAATGTGATATGTGTACTAGGTTAGGGTTAGGCCATAATTTTAGGTATAAATACTACGGAAGGCTCTTCGCTAGTCTTCGAACTGATAATAGGACTAAAATAAGGAAAATTGAAAAAAAATTATCGCCTAACCCTAACCTGTTACGTTCCGATGACCGCCATCTTGGTTCGCATACTTCGGGAGCACCTATTTGGGATAGTAGGTTATCAGGTTTAGACCAGTGGTTCCCGAAGTTGATTGACAGAGGGCTAAATTAGAAGCAGAAGGATATTATACAGGTTCGAATCCCATGCAGGGATGGTTAAGTGCGAGAGGATTGCTGGACTCCTCGCCGTCGTTGGGTGGTTCACGAACCGCTGGTCGCTTACGTCTTCCTCCACCACCAAGTCCATGCTTCCGAAAACAAACAATATAACTAATCCCATACCCGACTTGGAATGGTAACCGGACGAGAGGCCGTGGTTCGCCATATGGATAAGCCGTCTTATCGGCTTTCTTCTCCCCGGAATAAATATGTAAATCCTATCCTATCGTACATAGGGCAGTAATTTAGTTATGAACCATAAAAGCTTGGAAATGCCACGCACTTTCGGGCGCTACACTCTTCCGGCCCGCGAACATCCCTCCGCTTCAAATTTTGGCCCGCGGTCAATTAAGTTTGGGAACCCCTGAGTTAGACCTTCCGAAATCCCACATTTTCCAGTTGGACCTACTCGCTGTTACGCTCTATTTTGGCAAATAAAAGTTTCAGAACCCGCGCTTCGAAATATTCTTGGCGACAGCCCTATTGGTCACAGGTCCCCTTTACACTTTTGGAGTCGATGAAACAGCGCTAAATATTCCTCTAATTCTTCACAAAAACTAGTCTAGTCCCATATTTTTGCCTCGGATATGTCGAAGCCTACCTGTAGCTTTACTTTATCACAATTAGGCATGTATCAAAGCCCAAATACATGTAGAGAAAGTTTGTGCTGAACTGAATGGCATATGGAAGTGTATCAGATGTCATAAAACATGTTCCCATGGATTAAAATGAAATAGCAAAATTTTAGACGATTTATCAGGTTCTGTAAGATTTCAGTTTTTCTACTTCCAACTAGATTACAGATTTTGAAATGTGGGAGATATCATAAAGATGAGACAAAGCTAGTTTATTGAAACAATCATAAGGTAATAATACCAGCTGCAATACATTCTAGATTATAATACACGGAAGAGAATAAGTGCACTGCATTACAAGGAAAATAAGCCCGATAATATATTGGCTTTATTAATTGCTAAAGAGAGCAAAAGGTGTTACATAGTACGGTGATAGGCATTGAAGATCAGAGCGGAATGAAATGAACTTTTTTAATCAAGGTGCAATGTCCTAGTTCAGGGGTGTGCAGGCCGGGTGGCCCGCAGAAAAGTGCCAATAAATGGCCCTCTCATAACATGTGGCATAAGATCAATACCCCAAATATTTGTGGGTTAGGGTTAGGGTACTGTTAAGTTGAAAACTTTCCAGTCATATAGACTTAAACTGCTTTAAAATCCTCCGTCATAGCTAACTGCCATAATTTTATATAGTCACCAAATTGTTCACTATTTCGATGACATTCTAAATCAGTATTTTCGAATATGAAATTCTAATACATTCGAAAATAAAATCAAGTAATAGAAGCTTATCTAAGTGTATGATAGAATTAGCATACAATAAACAATGATATCTTCAACCTGGCTATATTACCAGGCATTTCAAGTCAACTCAACCTTGAGTTACGTTAACAGAATTAAATTAATACGGCTCGTTTTCTGGGCCTGCAACTACAAAAAAGGTCTGTGTCAAATAAAGGTGCGGCCCGCGGTGTCACCCAGTTATTTGTATCTGGCCCTCTGTATTAACCCTTTCCGTGCCGTGGGCGTGTATACGTACCAACGACAAAAGTCGCTAGATTGCGGTTGGTACAATGATGTACTCCACTGTTTTATTTAGCAATCGGTCGCAAACTGTTGGTCTAGTTTTTCCGGGTTTTAGTTTATTGGTAAGAAGTCTTCTTCGAGATTAACATAAGCGACGGTAAATCTCGCTTTCGTTTACGACGGGAATTTTATTTGCGGCGGAACGAGGGAGTGTTATTGAAATTTATGCAAATTTCGGTGTTTTCTTCTTTTTTTTTAATCGCCAATTGCAAGCTCTTTAAAAAAAGCTTTCCAACGAGTCGTCAGTGGGCAGCAGAGGATCATTAGTTTTTCGTTAGTCGATCGATTAGTTGTGGGGGTACAAATACATAAAATCGGCGTAGCAAATACGATTATTTAATAAAAAATCACATGGAGAGGGTTAAAGATTGCATGCCCCTGGCCTAGTTTGTGAAGCAGTGATGACTCAGACGTGAATTACAAAAACATTTTAAAATGGTCGTTAATAAGAAATTGAAAAGTAAATTAGGAGAAATGGCCCAAAATTATGTCGCTCAGAAGTAGCAGACAAGTGTGAGCCACTAAAAATGCCAAGAGCATCTGTAACTATACAGATGTATGGTTTTTGCACTCACTGAGAAGTGAAGGAGCAAGCAGCATTCAAATTTGTACCCCTAGGAAATCCCCTGGGGGGGGGGGGGGAATCCCTGATATTTTAGATTCATTTGGGCACCCCAACCAGTATTCTCCCCAGCTTTCATTTCAGGAGATTGTTTCCAAATTTAGGGGGTGGTTAGAAATTTTGTTATTAGCGATAAAACTATCTGTAATTTATAAAAATGTCTTATGTATTTGACTAACCATCTATGACACTTTCTGGATATCCACATGCAAAAAGTTAGAAATTTATAGAGTGACATTACGGCTCAAAAAAAGGGTGTTTAAAATGTTATTGGGGTGGGCTTCACACCCTACAGGGGGTTGTAGACCGGCCTACGAGCACTGGTAAAATGAAATTATATTAGGATTGATGATACAGTATTTACAAGATTGCAGAAAAACTTGAAAATGATTTATAGAATTTGTGTGCGGGAATTTTAAATTATGAAAAATCTGTTTCCATGACAACTATAAACTCAGTCAAGCGTAAAGTTCCGAGAATGCTATCGTCCAATAACGCCCCGTTCCCTTGAGAAATCGTAGTTGAAAAGTTCGTCTAGTTCTGACTTTGTTTTCAAGGTTATATGAAGGTCATCCTGCGAAAAAATTGAGGTTTTTTAAAAATTCGCACATCGAAGGTTTGGGTTTCAAGTGCCGTGCGGGAATCAAGCTCGAAAGATACGATGTTTTCACTCTGTTAATTTGGCTCTGCATATCTATTATATCTGCTTGTAAAATGCCTTATTTGAGGTCAAAACCACCAAAAAAAAATTTGATCATTTCCAACCTGCATATTGGCATCTGAGTTTGACTGCATCAGTCTATCGTGAAGTTTGAAGGGAACACCTGAAATTGCTGTGAAAAAAACAAAAAAAAAGATTTTATGATGGGTTCTGATAATTTAAGAAAAAGTTATTTGTACGACTCTCATACGAGGTGCCAGACAATTATTCGTTTTATAGGTACACCCTAAGTATGTGAATCAAGATGGCGGACACTGGAACAAAGTATGTGCACCAGGTTAGGCCATAATTTCAGGTACAAATACTACGGGAGTCACTTGGCTAGTCCCTGAACTCGTGATAGAACTAAAATAAAGAAAATTTGAATAAAATTATGGCCTAACCCAGGGGTTCCCAAGCTTTTTTCAGGATGACCCCAAAGACAACTTTCAAGTGTCCAGTGCGACCCCAGGTCAATATATATATTTTATAAAACTTTAAAGCTTCTTTCACTGGACTTTTGAGTTTGATCATGTGATGGTATTAAGTAAAATAAGCTAAAACCAAACAGTGATGTCACAATAACCACCTACATTTTCTATAGCATAAGCATAGAGCGATGCCTATGGGCCTGTTTTACAGTAAGCCATGGTACAAACGGCTAAATTTAACATGGTTTGTCAAATCTTAGATGTTTTGTACATCCATCCTCTACCATACCTCAGCGACCCCATGACCTGTTTGCGACCCTACCTACTTATCACTCCACCCAATTTGGGGTCGCGACCCCTGGCCTAACCCTAACCTGGTACACATACTACATTCCGGTGTCCGCCATCTTGGTACACATACTTCATACATTCAAAACATTTAATCAACATAATATAAACAAACCTGCTAATGGTTCAAGTGTACTCAAACCAGTTCCACTTGATGATTTCACACTTGGGGGCCTTCTGGGTATCGGAGGGGGGGAGCCAAGAGGGGGTACGTTCTCGACTGCGACAGGGAGAGGCGGGGCCGGTCGATTTGAGATCGATTGAGGCAAACGCTGTAACTTGTAAACCAGGTTGATTCCGTTTACTTCTCTGTTAAAAAAAACAGATTTGAATGATTCGATGTACACGGTGTCCGTAAAGTCCCTTCACATATACTCCTCTGGGATAAATACTACATATTACAGCCGGTGACCGTACATTTGAACCCACGTACATTTGAACCCATGCGTATATCCACGGGTTCAATCTATATGTGGGTGCTAAAACCCATGGGTTAGGGTTAGTATGGGTTTAACTATCCGTGAAACAAAAAAAATTCCATAGGTGCAGTAGCATACAGGTGCAATTGTCATGGGTTCAAATGTAATGGAACCATTACAGCCTATTGTCCTGGTACCACTCAATGTAGGGCGTGAAAATAGTTTCTCAGTTATTTGTTTCAGATGCATGGACTTTATGGAAGAGGAAACTTAGGTAAAATTCTCTTTCTTGATTTCCACAGATGAATAGAAGTGATAAATAGAAGATTTAAAAACAGGGTGTCCCTAAAGTCTATTTACAGTTTTAATTTGGTTATGAAGTCAGTTCTCAATATATCTCAACCAGGTTTGTTGTTTTTTTATTCAGTAATTGTTCAAGTATTTTTACTTCATTCAATACATCTGTGAGAGCCAAAACAATATATGGTATCGATAAATTATCTTCACAATTTTCAATTTTATAGATAGATGAAGTCATCATGAAAGTCAGTTTCAGATATTTATACTCCGTGAACAATGACATGAAATAACTAAAGGTAAACATGAACTCATAGTAGTTTATGAAGGTGTCGCAAAAGACTCTAAACACTCATCCTGTTTTAAAATTTTTTTTATTGGACATGGAAAAAAGTTTTCAGTCAATACTTTTCTGTTGGCAGTACGCAGGGCTTGTAAACTATGGCTTCAGAGCTTAATTTTTTCCTCATAGACTACATTTATGACCGCTAATATAAAACGTCATCCCGAAAGGGTTTCAAATAATAGAATTGAACTTGATGGTAGGCTTGGCTCAAGCTTCGGCAAAATGTGACTTACAGAAGCCAGAAAGATCTTATTTGTTATTTATTTTATATTTTATTTTCCAAGAATTTTGGGTTTTCCTGATCAAAACTTGACACAAACTGCTTGTCAGTCTACTAACATGCAATTCTTTTGTGAGTGCCCGTAGGTTTGCTCAGAGATGAGTCTCTTTTGCTTCTTATTGAGCACACAAACTTTGCTTTGAGCAAAATTTCTTATACATACAAATAAAATAAAACATTAAATAAATGGTTATTGAATTTTAGTCAGCGTAGCATACTCACCCAACGCATGTATATTGTTCCGCTTTGTACCTTTCTGACCTCATAACCTTGAAATCAACTACCGCAGAATCAGTGGCCGTTTTCGGCATGAGTTTTATGCACAAAACATGCTTTTTCAATGCACTTTCTTTTGTGTCAGTTGTTTCTCGCAGTGCAACAAAACCCTGAAAAAATGAATTTTTGTTTTCAATGTATTTTGAAAAAATATTTTGAACTCAATTTATCTAGGGGCCACTGGAGGCAAATTTGGGGCAGCATTAGGTTTTCCACAATAAAAGCTTAGTTTAAAAAGTCGAATCTTTTGTTTCTTTATATCATTCGACAAGCATTTTGTCGATGGACAGTGATGTCTCTCGACATGAGAAACATGGTTACAATGTATCAATATAAATCTAAGCGTTAGTGATTGTGACGTCAAAAATCCGAGACCTCATATTAAATGTAATAATCACACGAACTGAGCTACGTGACTTCTGGCCCGGGACACACTAACATTGAACTTTCATACTGAGACGGGGGCCACAAACTATTAGCCTGCGGGCCGCAATTGGCCCCTGGGCCGTGAGTTTGATACCCCTGGACTGGAGACTCCAACAATTCCTTACCAGACTCCTGACAAAGATGACCCAGTCTCAAGACCCAATTGTTCACCTACTTTTACTTAAAATTGCTTCCTACCTGTGGAACGGGATCTTTTATTCCGATCAGAATTATGTTTGTGACAACGTGGTTCCACTGAAAAATATAATAGTAGTAGGGTATTTGGTTTTGGCAAAAGCACTGCAGACACTTAAGACTTGCAACAAGAAAACAGGAAAATTATATTCAAAATGTATTTTCACATTTTAAATGTGTGGTTGTGTGTATGGGTGCGTGTGAGCGTGTGTGAAATATTTCAATTATTTTAGGTGAGTGAACACGTACCACATGTTCTTGGCAAAACCTTCCATCTTATATACATTCTGTACGTTTTAAACCTTACCTAAGGTTTTGTTCGCTCTCCTGATTTCATAATCAGTTTATATTTATTTATTTTTAGCATTCATTTTATTGTTTTGCTGATTATGGAGTCGAAATAAACTTATACTTATACTTATACTTAAATGAGTCAGATATTTAGAAATAGCATTTATTTTAATCACTCAGAAATGGAGAAAATTGCTCTTAGCTGAAGTTATGAGCACTCACTCAGTCACAAAAGAGGGTAACTTTAAAAAACAAAACAAAAAATTACTCAATTGTTAGTTCATTTTTCTTAAAACTGTAAGCACAGTTTGCACAGCATTCTTTCCAATCTAGGAGTGTGCAACACTTTTTTTTAACCAACTTTAAACATCCAACTGGGCCATACAAAAAATTTAGTTTCCCCATGTAAACAACAAATTAAAAATTCCCTTTCAAGTTGCAATGTTTTACTTATTTAACATTTTAGTGGGATACTTAAAATTAAAAGTTCTTGAATAGTTAGTTAACATCTTGTCAGCCTTACAGTGATGAAGGCACAGGGCGAAATGATGAATATTTTACGCAGTAACAAGAGCAATAAACATTGTGTATTTGTACCCATGTAAGCGCCTTTTCAAACTTAAACTGTCACATTAGGATTTTATACTTGATGGAAAAAAAGTGTTGACTAGCTCCACACTAAATGGCCTTGACATACCAGGTTGTAGTCAACGGGATTTGGCAGCGCGAACGGTTTTGTAAAAAAAAGTTATTTATGATATACATTAAAATATCACGTTTATATCAAAATAAGCAGTTTTTCAAGACATTGTTTGTTTTGTGGGAGTTAATTTACAATACCACAATTGTGCGTGGCACGCGACAAGATTATTTTGAAAAATTTGGCACGTATCCTCATTTGAATTGTGCACCCCTGTTCTAGACTTCATGTTCAAAATGACTTTCTCCGCATTCAAGACAGACTGTTCATGGCCTTGTTCTAAGCGAAAAGGCATCAGCAACATAAAAATACTCACTTGACCAGCAGTTATGTTAGTTGTATAGCATATATATCTCGTAACTTTGGATTTGAAAAACCCATCTTTCCAAAGATCTGAGTCTTCCCCTTCTGCTGTTCTATCAATCTAGAAAAAGTAAATCGATGAGTTATCATTAGTTTCAGTTAAGGGTGTTTTTAGGCCGTGAACTATATGTCGGTAGACCAAACTAATATTCCTTCCGTATGCATAAAAACTGTTTTCATTTTTCTTTATTATTCAATAATTGTTCATTATCTAACAATACGTGCAACTTTGCAATCTGGCTTTCGTACAGTTTGAATATTCCGTGTTTTCTTAAACATCCAGGGTGTCCATGAAGTCCCTTTACAAATTCAATTTTGTCATGAAGTCAGTTCTCAATATATCTTAACAAGATTTGCTGTTTTTCAATCAGTAATAGTAATTGTAGGTATTTTTATTTCAGTCTTCTCGTCATCCCCCCCTCCCCCCCTTAAAAAAAAAAATATGGAATCACTCACCAGAGTATACTGAGGAGGGCAGTTGATCTTCTTGTCCACAATACATATTCCTGTTATCGGAGAATCTGCCATTTCTTAAATTAAACCTAAATTTTATTCTATGTCTAAGAAAATGGATAAAAAATGAAGTTAGGTCACACGAAATGAAGGCAGTTTTTCTTTGATTTTGTTTACATTAGGATGAGTAAAGTTGAACAGAGGGTACACCCGTAGTATGTGTACCAGGTTAGGGTTAGGCCATAATTTTATTCCAATTTTCCTTATTTCAGTTCTATTACGAGTTCAGGGACTGTCTGTATTAGCCAGGTGAAGATCCCCCTGCCCATAGGTTTCAGTCCCTTTACACAATTTGATGTAAAGTAGGCGAACAAAATTAGATACCTCCATATTGGTACACATACTTCAGGAGTGCCAAACAGAGAGAGAGAGAAATAACAGTATAGGGCAGGGCGAAATACCGAAAATATTTCTGAGGCTACAGAAACCTCTGTGCACTTGAATATAGATCAAGGGTGGGCACGGTCTCGACTGGTGGGCCATGTAAGTGTGATGACCTCGTGCACAAACGAATTTAATCGCAATCTCAACAAATTCTATGAGCTATTTTCAGGTAAAACATCGAAATTTGGTTTCAGGTTGGTTGTGGCAGCATCAGATGGGCCAGATGGAATCACCCAACGGGCCGGATTTGGAACGCAGGCCGTACTTTGCCCATGGTTGATATAGATGTTATCCTGCAATTTCCCAAATTATCCCTATACTTTCATTTGCCCGAAGATAAACAGAATCAAAGAAAACACATAAAATAACTAATGGCATGGGTATAACAGGATAGCACCTGAACTATTTCTAATAGAATCGATAGAAAAACATTGAGGACAATTTTTTTTAAAAATTCACAATAACATACATATTATACATAGTAAGGAAGTATTTGGACTTTTTCTCTGCTAGCCAGAATAATTCCACTCACGCAATAAGGTGCTGATTCTGCCAGACTATGCTTCAACGACCAAGACATCAAATTGTACAAAATCAATCTGGGTGTGTAAGGTCAGAATATTTGTACTTTAGCCACAAGTGACAATTCTGCCAATTCATGCTTCAATGCACAAAATACCAAATTGTGTAATGTTAATCAATTGAGCTTATCTGGCCAGAATAAATCCACTCTAACCACAAAGTGCCAATTCTGTCAGATGAACCAAGATATGAGGCGATAACAGGAATATTAGAATCAATGAAAATCAGAATTTCTTCAAAGATTAACAATAACATATACATAGTGAGAAAGTATAGTTTAAAGAAATTCAGACTTGTTCTCTGCTGGCCAGAATATTTGTGCCCATGCAACAAGGTGCTGATTCTGCCAGATCATGCTTCAGTGAGAAATATATCGAAGTGCACAAATGCAATTTAGTGTGACTGGCCAGAATATTTCCACTCTGACTACAAGGTGACAGTTCTGTCAATTCATGCTCCAATGCACAAAGTATCAATTTGTGTAATTGTTAATTATTTGAGCTTGACTGGCCAGAATAAATCCACTCTAACCCCAAAGTGCCAATTCTGTCAGATAAACCAAGATATAAGGCGAAAACAGGAATAATAGAATCAATGAAAAACAGAATTTCTTCAAAGATTAACAATAACATACATATACATAGTGAGAAAGTATAGTTTATAGAAATTCAGAATTGTTCTCTGCTGGCCAGAATAATTTAAATCAAGTAACAAGGTGCTGATTCTGCCAGATCATGTTTATACTAGACTATTTTGTTATTTTTGGCGCATGGGTATCACTGCTTGATAACCAGTAATGGTCTTGTGTCTTCCTTCACTCTGAAGTACCAATTTACTTCTTTTTGCATTGTTTATTCATAACTCGTGTTTTAATGTGATATAAAATAAACTAGAATATCGGTTAGAAACCGAAGACTTATCGATCGAAGGTTAGGGGATCCCCCAAATCAGTGGTCTTACTCCATAGTGACACCATGTGTCCCATCACTAATTAATTAATAACTCGCTAATTATAAGACATAATCCATCCAAAATCAATAGGCTTCTGATCCGAGCTATGATGAATGCACATGCAAAATTTGGAGCAGATTCAACCTCGCTTTCGTGAGATATTGCGTGCATCTAACACACAGACATACAGACGGACAAATACCTATCAACATACTTACCGATCTTAAGATCGATAAGTAACAACTAATTACTCGCATAACAATGCCGTCTCAACAAGGGTCGCGGAAAATTCAGCATACTGGGAGGGGGGGGGGGTCGTGAGGTTGAAAGTTTGTGAAGTCCTGCCTTCCTGTTCTTAACAAAGATAGCAGATCCTTACAAAACAGTGGCTGCTTTTACAGAACCTTGTTCTGGGCAAAAATAGCGTGAATAGTGAGTAAAAAATGGATTCGTATAACAACTGAAACATAATAAATCGTTTTTAAATAAAATTCAGATCAAAGTTCTAAAGGTCCAGTGCCAAGTTCTATGACGTCGCTTTCGCAAGCGGCCGCTATCGCTTCGTTAGTTAAACTTGTAGCGACATTGTTAAGTTTTTCAGAATTTTCTTCCGGTTCAATCTTTTCATCTTCCAGCATATTTTCATTCCTTCCCTCCTTTTTCATTTTTCTCTTTTTCTGTCGTTCAGTAGCGAAACCTTCGAAATCGTGTAAAGCCTTCCGCCAGATTTGATCTGAAATAAATAGGATAAGAATCAGTAGGTGCCAGGTGCTTCCCCAGGGAGGAATTTTTGCTGTTTTTTGGGAAAGAATTTTGCTTTGAATTTTCTGCAGAGCAACCAATACTCTTCGGCGCTCCATAAGTATGTGTACCAATATGGAGATATTTTTGTTCGCCTACTTTACATCATGTTGTGTAAAGGGACTGAAACCTATGGGTAGGGGGCATAATAACTTGGCTAACACAGACAGTCCCTGAACTCGTAATAGAACTAAAATAAGGAAAATCGGAACAAAATTATGACCTAACCCTAACCTGGTACACATAGCACCTATTCCTCAGTGTTTTAGTATTAAAATAATGAAAATTTATGAACACATTATAACTAACTGCACAAAAACTGCTGCGACTTGCATAACACTAGCAGGGGATTCATTGAAGATTGCACAAATAAAGTTTTTTCATGCACAGCAAGGGTTGAATTTAACAAAGAAGGTTGGAAACCACTGCATTATACATATAATAATGCAGACTATCGGATTTGGATAGAAACTTACAGAACCCCTCCCTGTACTGTGCTGCCGGAACATCGGTTTAAAATCATCATTTCATACCAGTGGCTCCAAAAGTTGATTTGTCAGGAGCCAAAATTAGAAACGAAAGGATATTCGCGAACCAAGAGAGGGGTGCACCCCCGCAAGGGGCTGATACCGATAGCAATGCGTATAATTGGGAAACCGCACTGAATTGCAATGAATATACACATTCCTGAATGATGTAACAATTGGCTGTATAAACTATTTCATTGAAGTTCAGCGGGCCGTTATGAATTGTTACAAGGGCCGTAATTTGCCCGCAGTTTAGGAACCACGGATAAACCGATATATTAAGGAATTCTTGCATGCATCAAAGTTTAGGTCATAAAAAATTCGATTTCCTTTGAAACCGTAGTCAAAATTCCATATATATTGTTCTTGCAGAATTATGTTGACTATCACAGGTATGAAAAGTAGTATAAAATTCTAGAAATATTCTGCCAAAATTCCCATCAACCTCAGGTCAATTGTAAATGTCAACATCCCTGGCCACCCCTACAAAAGATAGCTTGTTCGAGGCCTTATACATAGAGTTCAACAAACCTGGGAATCCCAAGATCTTCTGCTACATTTCACAAATTTGTTTGGAGTTTTTGGATGATCTCGAGTACGTAACGCCATCGGAACTTCTTGGATGTAGGTGTCATACGCGATGGTATTTTTTCCGTAATCGATTTGCTTTTGTCGACGAGTTAAGACAACCTGAATGAGAAAATAGGTTTTATTTTTAGCATGGGGGAGGGGAACTGATATGACTGTTTAATCATATTATGACAAACTACGTCTCATTGCTCAGCTCATCCATGGTTGGTATGGCAATATGAGGGTTTCAATGCAAAATGTTGAAATATTGACAAAAAAAATAAGTGTTTGCTCAGATACGAGGATAGTTGGATATCCCAGGTGCATTGAATTAGATGGCGGACATGACTGCAACCGACCACTGATCACCTGGCCTGTGATGACCAATCGACTTTGATGTGATGAAACTACACCCTTATCAAACGAGCAGAGTTACAGATAACAGAATTGGCATGATGACTGGAAGAGCCTGATAAACCGCCAGTACTTGACTATTAGACATTACAAATTATCAAACATGGTTTTTAAAAATAAATTTGGATAACCAAGCATCCCCGGAATCTAACTCTGTCCAAAAATTTTTGACTGTGTCACTAAACGAAGGTCTTACCTCATCATCTTCAATTTCGTTTCCATCTGAGCTGCCAGAATATTTCAATTTCTTTTTATATGTTTTGACTTCCGCAGTCTCGCGCTCTGATTTTTCCATCATGTTGACCCAGGAACTTGTAGATTCTTCAACTAAATAGAAGGAAGTTAGGAATATGGATTTCAAATCTGAGAAGTTCGGTCTGTTTTTCTATCGTATTTTTTTAAAGGAATTACAAGAACTCTTACTCAGAAGTGAAAATGACTCATCTCTGAGTAAAATTACGAGAACTCATTCAGAAGTAAAGAAGACTCATTTCTAAGCAAAGTTACGCGCACTCACTTAGAAGTAAAGGAGACTCAGCTCTAGGCAAAATTACGGGCACTCACTCAGAATTTCCAAAACAAAATCTTTGACAAAACCTAAAATAGTATAAAGTTGACCGACCAACAAATTCAAACAGACAAACAAAAAAGGCTTGTGTGCACTTTTTTTTTGCTCAAAATTTGGTTTACGTTGAGTTGAAAATTTCAGTTAAAAACATTCTTGGGATGTGAGGTCTATCACATAATTTGCTTTAACACACTAGGCCAGGGGTAAGCAACAGGAATCCCGCAACCAGTCACGACAAGTCATTTTGAAATTTCCAAAGGGGGGGGGGGTCTTGGGGGGTTCTGAAATTATTATTTGCCAAGTTAGATCGAGCTAGCGGATCCGATCGAACGCTGGAATATGCATGTTTTTAGTAATCTTGGGGGTCTAAAAAGCATTTTAAGCATCGGAAAATTGCTATCTGTGATACAAAAAAAGAAATTAATTTTTTTTACATTTCAAAAGGGGGGGGGGAGGTTCGACCCTCAAAAACACCCCCCTGGCTTTTGTCAGCACTCAGATCTCACCATCAGGCATAAAATGCTAATATGACAGTTTATGTTTAAAATGGCGCCCACATGAGTAAAAACACATAATATTATTTAAAGGTTGATACAACTTCTGTCAAAGTTGATGCTAACAAACTATGCAAGAATTCCAAATTTCAAGTGTCCCACTAAAATAATAAAGAAATCAAATTTTGCATTGTGAGAATTTTTTTATTCTTTGGGTACATGGAACATCCAATTTTTTTGTGTGGCCCAAGCTAGATATAACCAAGTTGGTTATATGGTTCACCGAAATGTTGAACATTCCTGAACTTGGCCAATAAACTCACCTGTCAAGCAATCATCGTCTGAATCTGTGGCTCGTTTCCGCAAAGGAACCCTCGTCTCTTCGTCTTTGCTTGTGTATTCTTTACTGTTGAATCTAAATTTATTTAGACAGAATTATGACTATTATCACAGGTAAGAAAAGCAGTATAAAATTCGAGGAATATTCCGTAAAAATTTATTTTGGCGTAATTATGAATATCGTCACAGGTAAGAAAAGCAATACAATTCGGGAAATGTTCTGCTAAGTTCATTCAATAAATCTCTGGTTGTGTATTGTTTACTGTTGAATGTGAATTATTATGGCGGAATTATGTTAACTGCCATGATTAAGAAAAGCAACATAAAATTTTAGGAATAATGCGTTAAAAAAAAATTTTTGCCAGAATTATGACGACTGATGAAAAGCAGTATGAAATTCAAGAAATATTCTGCCTAATTTATTTAATGTGAAAATCTGTTTTTTTCAATCTTCACCTTCGAATTTACAAGTATCGTGATTGGCGGAAAGTTGTTGACTTTTACAGGTTTGAAAACCAGTATAAATTTAAAAAATATTCCGTAAAATTCATTTTTAATAAATCTCTTGTGTATTTTTTACTGTTGAATCAAAAAGTATATTTCTTGGCGGAATTATGTGGACTGTCTCACCTCTGAATAGTAGTATAAAATTTTAGATATATTCCGCAAAATTTATTTTAATGTATTGGGAGTCGGAATTTATATTTCAGAAACTTAATGGTGATAAACTTATATATAATTTAGCTGGATCATTTTTGCCTTTAATTTTGTTTATAGATGACTCTTAACTTCTGAGAGTGCATATGACAATACTTTGAGCTATTTTTTAATAGTTCACGACATTTCAGTGGTTATTTTCACGAAATTTTGCTAAAGGTGGGTTCCCTTCTGAGTGGATGTTCCAGAAAATTGCGTCAATAAGAAAAAACGAGAATATTGGTCAGAGACCGAAGACTTATCGATGGAAAGTTAGGGGATCCCCCAAAACAGCGCTCTTACTCCATAGTGACACCTTGTGTCCCATCACTAATTAATTAATAACTCGCTAATTATACGACATAATTCGCCCAAAATCAATAGGCTTCTGGTCCGAGATAAGATGAATGCACATGCAAAATCTGGAGCAGATCCAATCTCGCTTTCGTGAGATATCGCGTGCATCTAACAGACAAACAGATACCTATCAACATACTTACTGATTAAAATTGATAAGTAATAACACAAATAGGTTTCTGTTAATGTGCAGCAAGGCTATTGAATCACTCAAAATATCCATAGTTATTCTCGCTACAGCATCCTTGCACTCATACGGATCCGCCGGCACAAAAGCATAGAAGAAGGATAAGTAGTTGGTCCCGCAGAAACCAAATCATCGTCTCGCACAAAAAAAAAATTGAAAAATTAATATATACTTGGACTGTGACCATCTTCTCCCCCTTTTATCAGAGTCAAGGTCATTTGTAGGTCGTATCGGGCTTCTCAAATCCAAGATTTCATTTTCTTTTGTATCACCACGACGAGATGAATACCTTGTCGGTTTTTCTTTCGGACTTTCAGTATAAAAACGCCGCCTGTCACGCATCGGTAGATTTTCTTTAGGTGACTCCATTTAAAATATATGGGAATACTGAGGGAAAATCACAACACAATAAAGTGACAGAATCCACTCATTCAGTTGCAAGCACAAAAAAAGTATTTTTTCAGTAATGTTAATTTCCAAATCTTTTTTCTTCGTTTCTGTGATTATATCCAAAAATATCTTCCTTTTTAGCTATTTTATGATAAAATCTATAAAAAAAGGTACATTTTCGTTTTAAAATGCAACAATCACGAGACTTTTTAAAACATTTTAACCTTGGTGAAAGTATAAAATCGGACATTTTACAAAAACACAAAAATGATTCAATTACATTCAAAATAACAAAGTAGAAATCCCAGGGAGACCTGAAGCTGAATTATGTAGGGCAGGGGTTCTCAACCTGGGGTTCGCGAAACCCCAGGGGTTCACGAGAAGATTTCCAGGGTACTTGGATGGCAGTCGAGTTTTTGTGTAATGATCTTTTTCAACATCCTTTATTACTACCCTAGGAAAATGCGTGTTGTGTCCATTGAAACTAGGTGCCAATTGAATGGTAGATTTTCCCTGATGTTGCGTTGTTGTGATTGTGGCGCAACAATGTGAAATTCAAGGTTTTGCATGCAAACTGTGAAATCTCTAAAGCTGCGAGCATTGGAGAAGTGATTATGCTTATTGAGACTTGGAAGAGATTTTATAAATTCATTAGTTAGGCAGACGACAAGGGCAATAATATCAACAAGACGATTTTATTAAGTTACATAAGGTCAATAAATTGGTGTTGCAACAAATTGTTAGTCAATATATCACAACTTTGTTCGGTGTCTGATTTCCGGGGGGTTCGCATTGATTGTTTCGTGACTCGGGGGGGTACTTGACAGAAAAAAGGTTAAGAACCGCTGATGTAGAGTATTTAAATTCGCAAAATTATCATTTTGCGATATTAAATCCTAAAGTCTATAGCAGTGGTTCTCTTCATAAAGCTGGGTCTCCTTTTTTGAATTTGTCTGGCGCCCTATCTTAAAATAACTATTTAATAATGAGCTAGAAATTTAACCAGTTTAACATGTGTCACTATAGTTCAATTTTAATTCTAGTAGCAATGAATGATGATGCTGAATATTCATTCATTAGAATTTTCATTCTGATCATTAGGGCGAAAGTGTATTTTTTGCACTCAAATATTTTTCACTTTTCTCTTGCATAAAAAAGTTAGACCACAGAATTTTGTGCAACAAAAATGCGCCACTAATGGAAAAAGGTTAAGAACCACTAGTTCAGACAATCAACTTTAAATTTTGCCATTTGTTTATAAAATCGTGAACACTGGCAGAATACAGTCAAAATCTATGTTTAGTCAACTTTGAAACATTTTCTGTTGAAGATAATGAGTGTTCATGCAATTTGTTTATAAAATCGTTAAACACTGGCTGTCCATAGAACAAAAACTAAAAAAGAGAGATATTCAAACACATAATTAGCTACCATGTATGAGTCCTGAACAAGGCTTTGTAAAGAAATTACTGAAACACATTCACAAATAAATTCCCATTAAACTTGAAAAATAAAATAAAAATGGCGCAGCTAGAAGTTTTAAAAACCCTTTTTGAAAATTTCAGAAGATACAAAAAAGCGAATCGGTTTGTAAATGTGTGACTAGTATAAACAAATTCTATATTATACAATCATCGTTGACAAGGCGCTTATTAACATAGGTAAAGGAGATTGAAAGTCCTGGCTGCGTCTGTGAGTCTGACTTCAAATGCCACAAATGATAGTAATCGGTAGAACAGACAAGCGAGAAATCAATAACACATAAAAACTATCACAAATTCATATCAATAAAATTTTGAACAATATAACGAAAACTGAGATGATTCTTTATCTTAAAACATGTAACAAGAGCATGATTTTTCCAAACTTTACAAAATACAAAAAATAATGACATTGTCTGTAACTTTCGTTTGAAATATATTCGTATAAGTAAGATAAAAGGCTCTTGATTGTCTAGTTCACTCTTGCATTATATGGGTCCACCAGTGTAAAAGTATAGAAGAAGGATAAGTGGTTGGTCCCAAGAAAACCAAGTAGCTCAAGTTTTCAATTTCCCTCTTTTTGGGTCAGTTTTAATTATTTCAAATATAGATTCTGAGCAGAAATCATGAATTTCATAGAAAACTTGTAATTACAGTTACTGAATTCATGAAATATATTTTTTTCTATTAGGTTTAACTTGAAATTCCATTTGGATAACATTAATAAGAACAAAGCAAGAATTATTTTTTAAATTTTCTCTGCTTTATGGTATAGTTTCCAAATATGGAATTTTTACTTTACAAAAATGAGCAATTTCTATAACAAAAAAAATGATTCACTAAAATTAAAAAACAAAACAATAATAAAAGCCAAGCAATTGATAGCCATAATATACATATAGCGAGTCCACGGGCTTTTGAAGTCATATTGCCGCAGTAATACAAAAGTACAGATGCCATATTTTTAAGAAATAGATTTTTTGATCATCTATCAATAGGAAACCATGGGCCATCTTTAGGTCTGGGTTTAAACCTGTTCCTGTTTTAGTTTTTACTTTAGTTAGTGCGTCATGTCAATATGTAGGTTTTCTTGTACAGATTGGAATATGAAATTTTCTCAAAACTTTAATATGTGACGTGAGCTAAATTGGTTTTACTGCAACGATATAGTATTAATGTTCTGATAGACTATTCCCAGTTATTCAAACTCCTCCCCCCCATTCAAAATTCCAGCGGAATCTGGAATTCCTAACACAACCCAAACTGGTATTAATCATTAGTGATGAGTAGGGAGTAACTGGAAAAAGTTCATTCTGATTTATTTTTCATCTCTCACTATCAGATGTCAATTGATCAACATGACTAATTATCAAATAAAACTTCTGACTTATTCCTGAAATCAAGAAATTACTTTTCTAAATAGACCTATTTTGATGTTTCTAAATGTTTAATTCATTTTTGATCGAGTTATTTGAAGTAAAATTCCAAATACAAAATGATTGAGATGCATATATGATTATTCAACTAGGCTTGATGTAATTTTTGTGTCAAAAATACTGCCCCCACACCCCTCAATAAAAAAAATATCCTCCACTGGATATTGCAAGCAAACAGTTTTAAATTTTCATACAAAATTGTCAAAATTAGGAAGTGATGATTCATCACTAGTAGTAAAGCATGACTAATCAAATATTTGATGTGAAGTTTTTGAAATGTTTTTAGGCTGTTTCACGAGAAACAGTGCAGTCTCATTAGTTCTTCAATTTCGGGTCGTAACCATGGCAACCTTCTCACTCAAGATATTATTTTTTTCACGGTTTCTTTTATGAACCCTTTTTTGTCTGTGAGGTCGAACTCTGGGTATTGTTCGTAAACTTGCAAGATGACAGCTTTCATTGTCAAAGCTCCGAGATCAGCATCTTGAAGACAATTTTCGATGAACTTACGGACTTCTGCGTTTGACGGCGGCGTTTTCTGTTTATGCATGAGCGGTTCGTCATCTGATGTGTCATCATCCACCCCCGACGTTATTTTCGACTTTGATTTCGGTTTTGTAATCTTAATTTTCGCTTTTTTATTTGGAGTTGACTTTTTTGCAGGTGTTTTCGAAGGCGTTTTTTTCTTTTTTTCATCCGCGTTTTCTTTTTTCTTGCGCTTTTTTACTGGCGTAGCACCATCGGAAGTTGCGTCCCCATTTTCAACAGCATTCGCACTTCGTTTAATTTTTTTGGTTCTCTTTTTTTTCTGTGTGGGATCCTTTTTTTTCTTTTTTTCCGGTACCGGTTTATCCTGCGGTTTGGGACAGAGACACCATGCCATAAAGGCATCGATCAATTCTTCTTTATTCCCCTTAATGCTTGGAACGTCGCAAACGCTCATCGCCCATTTCAAATTATCGACAGTGAATTTGCCGATAAATTCTTCTTTTTTCTCATACTCTGGGGTACCTTTTTGAATGTTGAAGCCGCAGAATTCTCGAATATTTTTCTTGCATGCGAGATGTGTGCCTTGTACGTTATAAAAAAATTTGTGAATAATTTTTAAATCCTCTGCAGAGTTACGTTGTAGTTGATATTCCACACGAGGGTGATTACCGATGCGGATCCCACTGCCTTTCGGTATTTCAACATTCTTTTTCTTGTCAACAGCGGGACTAGTTGCCTCGTCATCGTACGTGAAACGTTTAATTTTCTTTCGCTCTCTTTTTGCCTCTAGAATTTCAACAGGCCGCTCTAAAAGCCCGGGAGGAAGGGACTCATCAGAATCACTGTCACTTTGTTCATCATCGCCCACATTTGCGTCTGATTTTTCCGCATTTATTGAAGAATCCACAATTGTCGATTCATCTGCGACGCTCTGCTCTGTTTCTGATTGGTCAACTTTTTGTGTAAGCTCTGCCTTGGGTTCTGTTTCTACCTCTTGAGCCTCTGGCTCCACCTTTTCTTCATGCTCCACTGCCTTTTGTGGTTCTGTCTCGGACATGCTTGGTTGAATTATTTTTAAAAACTAAAGTTAAAAACAAATCTAGAATTTAAGAGAAAAAACACGATCAGTTATAAAATCTAGCAAAGAATATTTCAGAACTGATATCTTATAAATTATAATAATGCAACAAAAAATAGCACTTCAGTAGATATTTTCATATGTTCGCTCAGAACAAGGACCTGAACACGTAGTAAAGAGCGTTGTCTGACAAAGAATATTCTGTATGATATTTTAGATATTACGATGAGAGCAAACTAACCATAAAGCAACAGTAATTAAATGATATGTTTTGGATTTTCACTTCATTAAGAATATAGCAAGTAGATATGTCAATCATACAGATGGACTAGATCAGTGGTTGGCAACCTTTTTTAGGTGACGGACTGGTAAAGCTCGAACAAAATTCTAGCGGACCACCTTTATACAAACGAACCAAGCTTATTTTAAAAATATACGCGTTATATGGCTTGTGGCTCCCTTCAAGAGGTTATGCTTTGAAAGTTGTAGAAAGTTGAACTTTGAAAGTTCTCTTACGTTTTATTTAGAGTACAGTTGGTCACGCATGCCAAAAATTTTAGTTTCGATGATAAACCTAGTGGATGCTCATGCAATGGTTTCCCCCTCATCTCAAGCAAAGTTAAAGCTGATCACTGGGGTGCCAAGCAGCGAGGTGGGGGCCACAGAACTGATTCTACTTTTCACTTTACCTATTGATTTTGGATGAATTATGTCATATAATTAGCGAGTTATCAATTAATTAGTGATGGGACACACGGTGTCGCTATGGAGTAAGAATGGAAGAATTGAAACCGCAGTTTCTGTTTTGGGTGATCTCCTAACTTTCGATCGATAAGTCTTCGGTCTTCGACCGATATTCTCGTTCCTTTGCTTGATAAGGTTATTTCACAAAGTGTTTTCACTTTATTGAGCATGAACTGTTTGAATATAATGGGATTTAGAATCTACCAATCAAATTAGCACTATAAATACCACTGGAATGATAAAGGGGGCCATGAGTGCTAAAAGTCTCCGAAAAGGGGCCACAAGCCATAAAAGGTATTGTGGTGTATTATGATCCAGTAAATTGCAAATTACACAAAACCTAAATTAGTTGGGTACCGTATATATATTCGCATATAAGTATGGCCTATATCAGGGCTACTCGACTGGCGGACCGCGGTCCGAATCCGGACATTTCGAGTATTGGATTTGGACCGCACCTAATTATTTATTTTGGATCATTAGCCCCACTTTTTGAATTTCCTATTATAAAATGACTTTCATAGTTTTGAATATATACGAAAAGAAAAATAACCCCATAATGAACAATTTTAATTTGCTACAAATCATTAGTCGGTCGAGGAAGTGCTCGTTTAAGGATGACAAAATATCATTTATGGAATGACCGGACCCAAATAATTTTGAAGTTTTGTTTGCGGACCTTCGATAAAAATAGTTGAGTAGCCCTGGCCTATATGAGCATAACTCTAGATATTTGCATTAAAACAAAAACGATATTCGAAAGTAGCAATATTCAAATATTGAATTTGACATCCCTAGCATACGGTGGGTTACGATTCGTAAGGTCGACTCATACGTAAATTTTTATAAATTCACCGTTATAAGGCCATTTTTAGGACGCCGGCTTATATGCGAGAACATCTTATACGCTAGAATATACGGTATGTCTATTTCTCGTGGTACGCATATCTTTGTATATAATACTGAACTTTTCTAGTGAAGCCTTTCTTATCTCGATGGTAATGGTCTGCTGCGTCAACATTCAATGGGTCATCAAAGTCACATAAGTCCGTAAATAGGGAGCAAAGTCCCCATATTACCTCCTTTAGGGTGCGTGTCGGTACCCAACCAGTCCCATCCAACGAATGGTCCCTTAATAGACTTAAACATACGTCCCCGTTCTCGGTAATATTAGGATGCCAAATTCTTGTCATACATTTTACATTCGGTGGCGCTATGTTATAATTTTCGGGCACTTCAACTTTGAATTCATATGTCCCGTGCTCCCACATCCCTTCATCTGGGGAAATTTCAACAAAAAATTTATGCAAACAGTCCGCTTCTGGAAAAGTCACTTTACATGTCGCTGAAGTGATATTTTTTTCTAATTCTTGAACCTCCCCGATCAGTAATCGATCGCGGATTGAAACTCGGCCATGCTGTGGCTTCGGGGAGGATTCTTTCTTCTTGGCGTCTCCTTTTCCAGACTCTTTTATTTTCTTTGACAGTGTTAGCATTATGTATGAAAGAGTCGCTTCTTCAGGTAATCCAGTTAGGTAGATCCACAATAATATAAATGTCCAATTATAAATTCAACACCTTTTTCTTATTCCGGTTCTCCAAATACAGATCCAAAAATTCCAGTCAGAAAACGATTCACAAAAACGGTGCCTCTTGTTTTATAAAACCAAAATTTCCGAGTTCTCTCAAACAAGCTAAACTAACTGTAAAGGTCCAAGATTTTTCTAAAGGACTCTTCGAATGTTTCAGCGAAAAATAGGACTCGCATAGGTAAACCTCTTTGTTTTACCAAATTATTATCTTTCAGTTTGATGTTCTTACACCAGTCTTGGTACAGACAATAAAATCCAATTTTTATGATATCCACAGAAAACTGGAAGAAAATATAAAATTCACAATTGTCCGGTGTTTCTCAATTTAAAACCGAACTATCCAGTTTGTTATTTCCATATGAATCCCGTTTTCAGTAGCAAATATAAATTAACTGAATATAGATATTATCTGTTATTAAATCTGTGAAAAGGAACAATATCGTCATAATTTATGAAAAATACAGAACATTCAGCACAAGTATGATTCAAGGAATTATAATAATGAATATGGAATATATAGGGTGTCCATGAAGTCTTTAAAAAAATATTCATATATTGTTTCGACCCTCACAGATGTGAAGTAAATGTACTTGAACAATTACTGACTAAAAAACAACAAACCTGGTTAAGATGTATTGAGAACTGACTTCATAATAAAATAGAAATTGTAAAGGGACTTGTATGGACAATATATGGTATGGATCAACTTCCTTAGCATTTTTAAAACATTCCAGGACTTCATGAACACCCTATAAAGTAAATTGGTGTAGAAATATTGTCATTTCATAAATGATTTCAAATAGTTTAATTTGGAAACTTAGAGCAAACTTTATTAACGTGTGGTCCCGGGAATTTTTGAAATGGACCTGTGGACCAAGGTTTGGGAGTTTAGCTTGACAAGCTGATGAATAGACACAAGTATTAGTTTGGGTATTGGAACTTTCACTGTATTGTTAATATTAATAAAAAGACATTCTTATTATACTAGAAATTTTACTTAAAGGTGTTACAAGATTAAAGTAATTTGCGATGCTTCTTTTCCCAAAGGCTTTACAAGTTTGAAGTATTTTTTTCGCTGAAAATAGGCCACAAGGGAATACAATTAGAGAACTACTGGTTTAGATAATTGTCATTTTTCATACTAACTAATTGCCACAATCTTTGTGAAAACAAGAGAGCTATGCTCAAATATATGGACACGTAGCGCCACCCAGTGGCAATAATTTTGATGACGTCATAGCGAAAAAAAAAGTAATAGCCTTCTGGAGAAAAATTTTATCTTTAACCACTGAAAATATCAAAGCAATTGGTCCAGTATTCGAAGAGAAAAGCGATTTTTTAAAAATGGAGATGGAGACAAATAACAATAACAACAACAACAAAATTTTGAAACGATCGTTATGGCCACTAAACGTGTCCAATAACAAAATTTTTCAGCGTCAGTAAAAATGTAAAAAGCCAAAATACAGGAACAATATGAACTGTAATTCAAATATTCAACACAAGAATAATAAAGGGCTCAGTCTTGCTCCCACTGGTGGTCAAAATCTCTATTCAAATCATGTTTCAAAAAAAAAAAATTATGAAAATTTCAGCAAAATAGCAATATAAATATTAAAAAAGGGCAGTGTTTCAGTCATATCAAAGTTAAAGAGTGATAGCCGCCTAGCCTATTTCATAGTAATACATGCAAATCCAGTGAAAAGCAAATGAAATAGCCAGTGTTATGTATTTGACATTTTTATCTTGACTCCTCAATAACTAAGCCATTGCACAGACAATTTGCTGCCTTCAAATTTTGAATGTATTTATAAAGTCAGACAAGCACTGAAATTCCAGTTTGCTATGTAACTAGAGCGATAGACTATGTGAGCTATCCAGAAAAAATACAAAAATTTTAGCAAAGTAGCAGTATTATTACATAAAAAAGGCAGTGTTTGTGTCATATTAAAGTTACAATAGAGAGTGGTGGCCACCAGACAAATTCATAATAGTCAACTACACAATTCTGCAAATAATAGCCAACCTCTTCACAGGCTGCATTGGAGCAAACCTTTTTTAGAAGCCCTGATTTACCCAACAGTTCATAACACTTCAACTATATATAAATACATACCCGGGATGGAAAATTTTGAAAAAACACTCCAACCACTAGTCGGTCCATCACTCACGCAAAACTGACGTATTAAACGATGTTAATATCAAGGGCGTAGTATAATTAACATCACACATAAATAATAACAAAAAGATTCCCAGACCTATTATACACTCCTTAGCACATTTTCCAACTAGAGAGGAATCCCTCCAATGCCAAAAGAAGAGTTAGTGTGCCTAGTTGAGGAGGAATGAAGAGTTGAAAAAAAGTTAGAAACCCACGCTCTTAGCATGTACTTGTCACTTAATGTTCACATGTACTCAGAAAACCATTTCACAGTTTCTAGTAACAAAGGCATTCCTGCGTGCTCGGCAATATTCTGAAATATTTTGATTGTATTTGTGAACTTCGACACCGGTATCGTTACTTCAAAATCTCCGGCACATTCGCAATATCTCGATAAATTTCCTTGTTTTATTCCATTACATTTTTTGCACGATAGATCCTGCAAAACGTGACTTGCTGCTTGGCTTTGCAAACTTTCAATAAGTCGATTCTCGATCCATGAAATATCGTACGCTGTTCCGCAAGACTCGCACATCCACACAATTTTTTCTTGGCCATCTAGTGTCTGGTATTCACGACATAAATCTAAATCACGACAGTGGTTGCACGTAACACAAACGACTTCACCCAAAACAAACGAAGCACACGGATCGTTCCATTCTGCAGACGACGAAAATTCTCCGACTCCGATAAGTTTTAATAAATTCCGCTTCAGATGTTGAACTTGCGTCGATACGTGAGAATCGAGCAACAAAACTTTGCACGCCGATTTAACGAATTCCAACGTCGGATTTGTGAGAGAAAGATGAGACCCAGGTAAAATAGGGAACATTTTGCTTCCACTTACTGGGTCCGAGCCTAATTTTTTCGCCATTTTTTGGACGATACTCAGAATTTGTTGAGTTAGTTCTCCTGTTATTAACTCCTGTGAGAAAGTCACAATATGTTCCGTAATGGAAGGGTCGCTTGGAATGATTTTTGATTTTCCCCCTTTTTCTTCTTGCGACTGCGTGTCCCCCCTTCGAACAACAGGAGTCTGTCCAGGGAGGTATTTTGTTCTTTCAAGTTTTGTTTCGCGATGGATCATTGAAATGTACCCCCCAATAATCATTTCAAAGCTAGTCTGAATTGCGGCAGCATGAGGGAGATATTTTACGAGACTAAAATTCATTTCAACAACATCGCCACCTTGTGTTGGATTTTCTTCCCCACTTTCATTTATCAAACTTTCGTCGAAGCGGATAGATTTATTCTGCGGCTCCGTTGAATTATCGGAATTATCTTTTTTACTGCTAACGCTGATCGAACTATCGTCCATTTTGTCCTCGTTTTCTTCCATTTGACCTTTAACCCCGGCAAAATTAGTGTGGTCAAGCCATAGTAAGTACTCCCAAGCTTGCACGATAGAAAGATCTATGGAATGGTATAAATCTTTAGATGTGATAGACGATGCTATGTAGCTGATATACGCCACTGCATCTGTGACAGAGCGTTTCTTTGTGCAAACAATGACTCGGCTAAAATCTGCGTACACGATTTTAGATCCCAATCGCTTAAACTCAGAGATCAACTGCAAAAAAACTTTACGCATCATGTTTTGTAGAGTTTTATGCAACGCACGGTCGAAAAGTAGAGAAGAACGACAACCCAACCATCGATAGAAATGCACAAGTTGGAAATCAGCAAGCTCGTTTCGATGTACAGACACGTCCCGAAGCCAACCTTGTACCATTGACTTTAAGATCCTGAATGTAGTTGAACACAAAACAGTATCGTCATCACTAGCAAGCGAATTCAACGCAGAATTCTGTCCGCTTATCATATCTTCGAGCGAAGATTGTTGAATTACGTCGAAACTCACGCCTGCACTCACGCCCCCGTCGACATCATTAACGCGATGTGATTGGATAATCGTGTTCACAGCTAAAGACGAGATTTCTAATTCGATACAAACGCTGGGATACGCTCCACTGGTGTTCACCTCAACTGTACTATTCGAATTATCCGTTCCTAACTTATTGTCGAACGCTTCCTTTCCTCCTAGATCTGGTTTTTCTGTCGCAGAACACCACAGGACATGGTTATGCTTCAGTAAATATCTTGCGAAAGTTAAATCCGCTACAAACAGGCTTGGGTCCAGTGGCAGATTACCGACGGGAACGCAAAAATATCGGCTATATTTTAGTAACTGGTCCAATAGAGTACCCAGGTTTAAAAATTGTTGAACCAATCGCCGTGCTCCAACACGTTGCCATTCCAAAACTGCATATAAATTCTCGGGGTCTTTATTATGCAATGGAATTATGGGAAATTCTCTCACGGCTGGTATAAGACTCGATATTTTAGTAACAGAAAGTTGAGACTGAAATGCAATTAAAGTTGGCCCATGGTGCTCGTTTTTGTACGTTGAAATATGCCGTTGCAGCGCTGAGTACATATTTTTAACGTCCTTTTCAATCCTGATCTCGAATGTATAATCAGTCGGGGGTAATTCCATGTCTTGTGCTGACGATAAAATTGCAGCATGTTCTGACTTGTACAACGATTGCATGTTTGGCATTGCATTTGTACGTACTGTGTCAACAACAAATATAAAACACTTTTTTGTCGTCGGTAAAAATAACCCGACCATTTGTTTAGCGCCAGAAACGTGCTGATAAAGATAAATTTGTTTCATAGAGTCTTTCTCTAGGTACTCAACATTGCTAGTTCTCATTTCTAATTGGTCCATTTCAAATGTATCCGTATCGTGAAGTTTTTTGACTTCGCTACGTTTCACAGAACACATGGACCCTAAATTTACAAGCGCTCTGAAATCAAGCGGCACTTGTAGCTCGTAAACGCCCTCAATATGAGAACCTGAAAGTTCGAGACGAATCGCGTGTCGGTGTTTTTGATACTCCGACTCTGGGATTTGATATTCATACAAATTTAACAGAGGTGATGATCTTGGTAGCAAGCGGTTGACTTTTCGCCAAATCTCGCTTTTTCCTTCCTTCAACGTTCGTTGGTTCACATAAAAAACTCTCGGTACGTTTAATTTTAATGTATGTAAAGTGTTACCAATGAGGGTAAACACACGAAACTGGCCAGGATGGTCTGTGGGTACCATTTGCACTATCTGCCATGTCGAATTAAGTAAAGTTTGAGTATGTTGCCGCATAAAACCAGTAAGACCTGATGTTGGTTGCCGAGTGTTACGTTGTGACTCAATTAATGTGTCACTCATTTTTAAACTTGCTTTCCGCTGGTTTGCTTGGTGTTTCCACTTCTTTTTATGGTAGTCTATCCACTCCTGGTGCTGGCTTTTCGTTCCTTTCAATAAAAACTCGTTACTTGGTGCAGGTCCTAATAATTCCCTCCATGATTTTTTAAGATCTTCATTTTCTTGATCAATTTTTCTTTTTTTAGCGGAAACAGTAGCTTGGATTCCTTTCTTTTCATTCGTTTTCTTCCCAAAATCCTCTATATCCATCCCATTCTCTTTGTTTCCGTCTGATTGACCTGAATCAGAGCCGTCTTCGCTTCTTGGCCGTTTTTTCGGCAAAACAGAAAACATATCAGTGATTCGTTTTTGTTTGAAAACGTCGTTTTTTTCCATCAATCGTTTATGTAGCCAATCGGGATGACGCACTCTCGGAACGGGGTTCGGAACCCCCTGTAAAGCCGCAGGAATCGTGATAATTTTTTGTATCGTGTTTCCGAGCCGTTCTATATAATACCCCCAGTCTAAAATGCTACGAATATCAAAATCAGTCAAATTTGAAGTTTTCGTCCAGCGGCGAAGGTAGTGTCGCTTCACACTTTGTTCCGACTGAAAAATTGCAAGCGGGATCGCCCGTTCCGTGACTGGTGCGCCTTCTGGTTTCTTCGAAATAATAAAACGACACGACAGACCTGAATCTTTCACCATCTGATCTCCGAGAAACTCCGCAAGTCTTTTTGCTGTACTGATTGAGGTCGATTTTTGCGCTCCATATTCCTCGAGTTTTTTCGACATAGACCGGTTTTCCGTGATTAAATCGAAAAGTTCGGAATCTGGCATATTGTCTGCTTTACTGTACAGCACGTCGAGCCAGTAATCTGCAACTTTAGCCACTGAAGCATAAACCTCCTCGAGTGTTCCCCCACGTAAAAAAGCCTCAAAAACCGAGGACTGAAAAATTTTGATTAATTGCAGTTCCCCCCTGCGTTTAACTTCGAAACCTTTCAATTCTGCTAAAGATCCGTCAAAATTAAAAACAGCATAACGTTTTTTCAATTTTTTTCCTTCTTCTTTAGAAGCTGGCAGAATCATGGCAAGATACGGTCCATCGACTTCGAAAAATATTGAATTTTCGCTTTGTTGTGTGTATGTCAATGTCGCAGGATCAGTAAGTTCTTGATACTGGTGATTTGTGTATTCATCTTTCACCATAACGTTTAGCATAGCTCCAGGGTAAGAGATTGTAACTTTAGGCTTTTTTGGGTTCGTTGTATGTATAACATAATTCTCAGGAAAACTGGCTGGTAGAACGCACCAAATACCGTCTGTGTCCAACTCAAGAGGTCGTCCAATTTTTTCAACGATTTCTCTAGCTTTTGTGATAATGCTTGCACCGGTATAGCAGACAATGCCAGCCATTTCCATTGAGTACCATCGTGCCCCTTTTCGCATTACATACCCATAAAATGAATTCAAAATACATTTGTGAGCAAGTTGTAAGGAATCGTATAAAACCTCAAGCCCTTTTGCGGCTTTTATTTCCGAAGCGTCTCCGCTTGCTACAGCATCACTAACTTGCTTTTTCGCTTTTTTCAGCGCGGCTTTAAACTCATAACGACGATCACGAAACATACGTACAGTGTCGACGTAAAATGAATTCTCACGCTGGCAAATCGTAGTGTAGCGCTCTTCAATTCGGCTGATTTTGGTTTTCTTGTAAGCGATTCGACAGTATTCCTGAAGACGTTTTTTCTCTTGTTCTGCTCTCTCAATTTTATTTAATTCATGGAAAGCTCGAGGTTTCCCACCGGGAAAAAATGACGGAAATTTTTCAGTTTCTAATTGTTGTTGAATGCGATGAAATTCACTCCTAGTGGCGGGCATATATTCCCCACGCCACATCCATGGCATGGAACGTTGGCATGTAGCACCAGGTTTGTTGAAATCACAAGCCGCACAGGTTTCATCGTCAACCATCGCTGAAGGCTGTAAACGATTCGTTAGAATGATATTCGGATACATAGCTCCAACGTCGAGATGGTAAATGATCGGGTTCTCAATTCTAGCGGGATTGTCCCGCAAATCAATTAATTTTGATTTAATATCCCGACAAACTTCTTCATAATTCGTAACTTCGGATAACGGAATATTTTCTTCGACTTCGATGCAAAATTTTATAGTTTTTTCAACCTCCCCATGTAGAAAATTATACCCCCCTGGGTCGCCTAAAAAGCGACAAGGGATATCAGCTCGAAAGACCCCACTTTCAATAGCTTCGACATGACCCCCAACATACGTTTCCGAGTCCAACACATGTCCGTCGTTTGTCTGTTTGTTCAACGTTGACTCTTGTCTGTTTGGGAATATAATATTCACATCAAATGCCTGAACCATGAGAAGAGCTTCACATAAAGTTCCAGATCCTTTTCGCAGCACAGAGTCCGGATCCATAGGGATAATAGTACAAAGCGCAAATATAAAAGGATGAACATACTTCATGTAAAGGTAGTAAGTTGCAACTGCGTCCGACACTGAATAATTAGCCATTGTTTGTGGTTCTTCGCTCGCTAAGCGACACATATCTTCTGGGTCTAATTCTACTGGGTCGTAACGAAGTTTCGCTTTTGCTGCCGCTTTTAGACTTTGTGATCCCATCGGTAAATAACTGTCTCTTTTTACCCATTTAAAAGCGTCCATGTGTGACGCTTGGCGGCATTTATACTCTCCTTGAGAGTCTTTACTGAATCCAATCTCTTTTATCATTTCAATTCCGTGCTTTAGAGCCCGCGCTTCCACGAATGGCCAGTCAAAGAAATCCCCATTATATGTCACAAATAAATGTGGCTTAACGTCTAAAATATGATCGAAAAAACGATGCAACGTTGAAATCTCGTCAGGTTCATTAAAAACTTCGAATTTCCCCTCATATTCTGGTTTGGGTGTGAATTCAAAGTCCTCTACGTCGGCAGAGATTATTTCTCGGTTACAGATCAAATATCCTTGTCCGTCTATCATATAAGAAATCATCATAATACAGTCAGTATCAGGATCAGGGAATTTTAACGGCAATTTCGTCGTTTCAATATCGTACGCTAATACAACCGGGTCTGGTCGCTCTAATAAATCGTTTCGTTTGGTTATCACGGGTGGAATAGAGCTTCCTTTAAATTGAACGGAGTACCACAGACCAACGTGGATTTTCAAATCAATTGAAACTCGAACATAGTAAGTAACGTCATGTTCGCGTATGTCAAGTAAGTTATCCAACTGGTCAACCAGCGTTTTAGATCTATCACTTGAAGTTTCGGACACTTTTTCTCCAGCGAGTGTGCTAGTAAGCATTTCAACATACGCAGAATGTCCTTTTTCTCGCTGTTTGTTACGGTTCACCGCCCGTTGGATAATTTGCCTCACGCTTGATAAATCGTCGACGTGCATGAATGATAATTTTAAATAAGTTTGTTTTAATCCAACTAAATGATTCTGTAGATCCAAATCTTCTTTTTTCTTAATTTCGATGGAAAAAATTTTCGGGAATTTTCGCTGCAGAAATGAAATGACTTCTTTTTCTGTCCCACGTTTTGTCAAAACGTAAAAATATGGCTTGAAAGGAACAGATACTTTGAATCGTTCACCGTCATCCTGTTAAATAAAATTTGAGAGATTCAATACAAGAAGAGGCCAAATAGGAGTGTATTCACTCATTACACCGCCCCCACCCCTGAAGCCTCAACCGACAATGAAAATTATACATTATACATACACGGAACCAATTATACATCGAGGTATTAATTTTATGAAAATCATTACAATTCAAATTAATATGCTTTAAAGCAGGGGTGTGCAACAGGCGGCCCGCGGGCCACAACCCGGCCCGCCAAGACAATGAGTGTGGCCCTTGTCAACTCAGATATTTTCCCACTAAGCATCAAATTCTAACCTGACAGTTTGTTTAAAAAAGCGCACACAAGGGTTAAAATCCATAAATTTAAGTCTTTCGTCTTTTTGCCTTTATTACTGTAAGACTAAGCTATAGCCTTTTTGTGGTGAGAAATTTTTAATTCATTATGTACCCGAAAGATATTGAATTCTTTGAATGGCCCGGCTAGATGTCAGAAGTTGGTTATATGGCCCCCGACAAAAAATGTTGCACACTCCTGCTTTGAAGGTATGTCACCTGCACAAAAAAAGCTTATAATATACTGCTACAATAAGGGTTGAGACAAAATAGAAATATTAAATTTTGAAAATATTTTGAATGAAAACAACACAATACAAAGCTTCTTTTCGAGCTAGTTGGGTCATTTTTGAGAAGTGATATTCGCAAAAGAATTTTAGTAAAAAGTTGTTTAAAAGCCAAATGGTACATTTTTCTCATTTTCTTAAAACAACTTCAGTAAGTTTCGCCCTTTTGAATTGAAGCGTTCAATTAGTTTAATCTTTGAGTATAAATAAAAAATTTAAAATTTTGATTATCCAGTGGTCTGGGCTCCAAAAATATGGATGTGAAAAACATATTACAAGCCAGTGTTAAAATGACAAGTGCTTTGGTATCTCGAACAAAATAAACTGCACAAGTGCTCTGGCTGATATTAACAAGTACGGTGATTTAGCTTTTATTTAAACAGTCAGCGATTAGGGGTTGTTTGAAATGAGACATCAAACGAAGAGAGGCGAGCAAAAACCAACTCTGGAAATTTTTTTAACATTATTTCGCTATTCATAACATGCAATTTATAAACACAAAAACACCACTTGAAATAGCAAATTGCATCCTATTATTAAGGGCGCTACTTGCATTGAAGCAAAAAACCATCCCCCTCTGCTCCCCAACAACTTAGAAACCACTGGTTCATTATATATATCTTACCTGTAAGAAATAGAAATCCACTGCACTGATCATTTTCTTATCTTCATCCAAGATATCTGCTTCACACATGTTTATCAGCCACCCCAGCTTCTCACACGGAACAGATAATTTCTTATAGCCGTATCTCTCGTCCATCTCTTCAGATAATTTCGCTTGTTCCAGTCTGAGAATAGAAGCAAAAGTCACACGCAAAGTCAGCGAATTGCTAACCTCATGTAGAGAAATTGGCCTCTCAGACGGGCGGTACTGAAATGCCAATATCGCCGTTATTTCTTGACCGTTTCTTGCAAACTTGGTATTGTTTTATTTATTTCGACTAAGAAATATCTACTGGCGCAGTAATTACTCAAATCAAACAAATTTTAAATTTTTTGTAATATATATAGCGTTATGAACTAGGAGGATTGATTTACATTATCCTACAAATCTGAATCGGGCCAAATGCCCCCATTCCAGAGATGAGTAGTGTGCTTGTTTCATTGTTTTAATACCGAGTCTAACGAAGTACACATTGCAAGTGCTTAAATGACGCTAAACAAAAATATGATGTGAAAATACAATATGGCACACTATCCGAATTCCAAGAATGCCCTGTCAATGAAACAAACACTTCATGTGTCTCACAAACGAGGGGCGTCTGCTACGACGGCAGATGAGTTATATCGCGCCATGCTTGCCTCAATGATAATCTAGATTATTCGCAGACGTAACGTGACCAAATCTGCCGTTTTTTGCTCTAAACTCTCAAATGCCACGGTAGAAAATTTTTTACTTTGGTAAATCGGATTATTTTTTGCCCGAGGAATTGATGAAGTTTTCAGATTGCGATTCTTTGTAGTTTGTGCACAACTTCATTTTACTGTATTTTTACGGATTATGAGTGTCCAGACGTCCCCCAAAGAAGGGGTGTCTGATCATCTGCAAAATGGGTTTCTCTGAAACGAGACAATGTCGCTCGATCTGTATAGTGTGCTGTACTGAAATAAATGATGGAGCTGCTCAAACCTCAAGTTTTTATTATTGTTTTCTGCAATGGAATGCTACACCCTGTTTGGCATAGAATGAATATACCAGCTTTATTGAGTAGATTTTATTCAAACTGAAAACGTCTTGTCAATAATTTCATTCCATGCCAGACAGACTTTTTGAAAACATCAAAATTTAACATCACATTTCTGAAGGGGTGTATGCCACACATCTGTGTTTTAGGCCAATATGGTCTTGTGCATACATCCCGTCTTCAGTATTTATAAGTACTTACTCTTTTATATTGCTTTTACAAGACGAATAAACATACATACATACATACATTGCTTACATCAAATTTTCAGTTTGGTGTTATTTCAAGGAGTTATGACGTTTACTTCGCTAGGCCCTAAATACTTCGAAATATTTGAATGATTGAAAGAAACAAACCTTTTTGCCGCACCATCTTCGTTTTTAGACCAGTCTTTCTCCTTCACTAATTTTCCGGTGTTTTGTAGCGGCATTTTGGTCAGTTAAAGCTATTTCAGCCTATATTTTTCACTACTAATTCACATCCTATAATACACTTATCGTGTATTAACTCTTAGAACAAGCTATTACTGTATTAATGATAAATAATAACCATTAGCGACTTTCCTAACTAATAAAACGAAAAGCCAAAACCCCTACGAAAAAAGCGGGAAACCAGGAACAGCGGGAGAAGACTAAAAATATAAACGATTATTGTTCCTACACGGAAAATAATATTTGGAAAAATGGAGCGAGAAATGTTAAATTTCAAAATAGACCTAACGAAATTTATTAAAAAGATTGAGGCATATCTATAATTTCAAAAACATTTTTTTATTGTCTTAAGCAAACTAAAAATCCCGGTTAAACCAACCCCGTGTAACTCCGTAAATTTGGTCCCGATGTTGAATTCGCCGTCACGCTCGACTTAATGCTGACAGATTATTGCTTCGAAAACCATCGTGCGACGTTCTGCGTTTTTCTGTGCTCTGACGAGCTGTCTCGCGTGAGTGAGTGTGTTATAAATATTTAAGTTAGTTGTGCACATGGAATATTACACGATATACTTGACTATAGAACTCATAGAATGCAGATAACAAAACAATGACAACAATTTTATGATTACCGGTACTGTTATTGATTAATAGTATTTAAAATAATTTGGACGTTATTTGGCTTGTTGTGGCTTCTATTTGATGAGTGAAGCAGGTCTAGCCCACCTCTTCATACATCCAACTTGGCAATTCTGATTGGGCAATTTGGCATTAGGTGACTCCAATTATAATCAGCTTGACGATATCTTTTGAGTAATACTTTTTTATCCACAATACATTACTCTTGTTGACTAATTTGGTATCCAATTTGGCAATCCTCATAAAATTATTAATTTGGTGTGGCAAAAGAATTTATTCATTTTTTTTATTTGTTCGTATATTTTCCTTCCTTTTTACTTTTAAGTCTCGCTTTTTTTCGCTTCCGACAGTATCATGTCTCGATGATTGTGTGTGTGCGTGCGTGCCTTAATTAGTTTTTTTACTTTTGGGTGAGCGAACACGTACTACTTCTTTTTTCAATACCTTTCCATCTAAAATCTGTACGTTTCAAACCTTACTCTAGGTTTTGTTCGCTTTCCCGATTCTATAATCAGTTACTTTTGTTTTTATCTATTTTTTTATCGTCTATTGCTGATTATGGAGTCGAAATAAACTTATACTTATTATAAAATAGAAGAACAATCAATTGAGTGGGAAGGCGCTAGGACCGGTCCAGCACTCGAAAGCACATTGACAGTAAGATTTTAAATTCACTTTAAGGCTCCCATGAGTAGATGTAGTAGAGAGCCGCTTTGTGCTACGAATGTTCAGCATAAAAGGAGTAAGTTGTAAATGTTTTTATAGGTACCCAATACAGTAATGATTTGTCAAGTCAGTAAATTTTGATAAGAGATATGTATATTTTCAGGAAGGAAAGGATTATAAAAAAAGTTACAGTGTGAGGATTTATGCTGTGTGATCAAAGCAGTGAGCAAGAATATAAATTGAATGATGGGTGATGCTTTATCTCAAAAATCAGAATTAGCTTACACCATATCAATGAAAATTTTTGGTGGAGCAACTGAAACTGTCAGCAAAAATAGAAATGTGATGAGCGATACCACCCTGAAATTGTGACGTCCGTATGACAAACATAGATTAAACACACATATTTTAACTTCAACTAATAAGTGTTTTATGATGGAGTTCTGATGATGTTGTACAACATAAGAGGTATTTTACGTTTGCCATGATAATCCATATTGCTTGATTTCAGGCTGGTACTAATAACTTTTTTCACATAAATTGGATAACTATTATTGCTATTATCTAAACATGGCCTCAACATAGATATATTTATAATTTTGGATGTGCCAAAAAATTTTGAATTAGTTTGTCGAGTATTTTTAAGGAATTGATTTGTGATCAATAGCAATAACTTTTTTGCGACTGCAAAATCCATCACGTTCATTGAATGCATTAATATTTCTCCTGGAACCGTTATAATTGATTAATTTTAATTTGTTTTGTGGGGTATTCGCATTTTTGTTTCAAATAATACCTTGTCTAAGTGGCTGTTATACTTATATATATAAACACATACATGCTTAGATGGTAGACAAGGTTCAATTGTTGTGGGCAATTTATTTCAAAATACCGTAACTAAAATAAAAAAATTTGCAGACGTCTCGAAACTCATTTTGAAGAATGATTTGCTGTCACCAGATGGGGTTTTGGCATGGAAACACATCTAGAGGGAATTTATGAAGATATGTCTAAAAAACATTTGAAACAGCCATGTAAACTAACAGACCAACATGTGAGAGAGATTCATTGCTACAAAACAAAGTCAACACTATTATAAACATAATACAATAACGAAAAAAATTTCAGCTGTAATGACAGTGAATAATTATTGCTTTGTGCGGATCGGTGTGCAAGACCGATTAAAGTCATCTAGGCTCCCTTGTTTATATGCTGTATATAAGACTATCATGGCATAAAATAGTACCGTAGGTGGATGCAAGCGAGAATAAATATAAATATATAAAATATACATAAGATAAAGAAATGAGTCGACAATTCAATGGTATTATGGAAGTTATTATTAAGGGCAATTTAGGATTTTGAGACGTCATGTATTGGTTGAAGCTGGACATGTCCAATGGAAAGATTTTCTGCAGAAAGCATTTTTTTTTTATTGGGCATTGACCGGGATAAAAATGGAATAATAGAGACGAGAAATAATTACATCTCAGATTCAGCATTATAGCAAGCACGTGAAGTAAAAGTATCATTTCCCACCTCAATTAGTTCACGAGAAAAATACAGGGAAAAAAATTGTAATAAGCACTGAATATTGTATCGTTGCTACCAACATTCATATCTATACATGTTTAACTCAATAGCTTGATAAAAATGTCTGTTAAATATTAAGCACAGGTATAGCTCAAAGAATTGTTTTGGATAATAATCCATTTGTATTTTCTTATTAGATCTATTTCCTATTGAGCATTTAAATTTGGAGACAACAGACTGCAGTAGATTAGCCAAAATTTCATAAATTTTTTTTTCACACTGAAAGTCTACAACAGGTGATTAGCTCAAGAATTTTTTAACAAAATAAATGCTATACGGCTACATGCAACACATTCTGTAGTGATATTTAAAAATCAACAACATTTCATTGCTTCTCCAGCGTATGAAGGGCTTCAAATACTGGTACCTTCAACATGTGATATACCATATTAGACCAAACATCTGTCAGACCCCCCTTTAAGTGTGAGATAAAAGTCTTCAAATTGTTCAAATACTATATCATACATATAAATTTTTCGTGGCGTGAAACACCTCTTAGAGTTAGACCATCGGGACTATTATAAACTAACATTTGCGATCAGACCTGCTAGGTGTTTTGGTCCAACTTGTCAATTAATAATTTCAGACCCCCCCTTCAAAATCTTCAGCTATGCCCGTAGGACCTCACCCTATACATTGAATGAATCGACAACAGATTTTCAGTTTAAAAGATGCATATTTTGCAGGTCGCGGGGCAGGGAATCGATCGGTGCTCCAGTTGATTGAAAAGCAGCAAAGAAAAAGAAATATGTAGCAATGTCCACGTGATAGAACCTAAATTGCGTTTTTACTCCAGCTAAGAACCACTCCCAAAGCCTTAAAAAACATCAATACCACTATTAATATAACTTGATATTCAGTATTTATTCACATTAGTAATTAAAATAATAATTTTTATTCCTATGGATTATTGAGAAAAAAACTTGGGTACTCCAGAAATACGTGTACCAAGATGACGGACAACGGAACATAGTATGTGTACCTGGTTAGGCCATACTTTTAGGTACAAATACTACGAAACTCACTTGGTTAGTCCCTGAACTCGTAATAGAACTAAAATAAGGACATTTCGGCCTAACCCTAACGTGGTACACATATTACGTTCCGGTGTCCTCCTTTCTTGGTACGCATATTTCAGGAGTACGGAAACTTGACTGTAATCACATATATCTTAATCTTCGTTCTAGCTGCTGTGTTTCTTCAATTGGTTTCGTATTCCATGTGTTCTATTTGATATCTTGTTGTTATTATTTTGGCTGCAGTACTTGCGTATACATTTGCTCAGATCTTTTGAATACTTTCTCAAGTAGTGTTGTTACATCTTGACATTCAGTTACATTGTTTAATAGGTATTCGCTCATGAATGATTTGAAAATATTTTTCTTTTATATCAAGTGTCGGATGTTCAATGATGTGATGATGGAAATAAATTTAAGCTGATTGCATGTGTTGAGATAGCCTTTGTATAATCATTGACTCGGTCTTACTACTTACTGAATACAGCGCGAAACACCGCAAAGAGCGCAAAACAGAGGGAAACAGCGCAAAACAGTGTGAAACAGCGCAAAACAGAGGGAAACGGTGTGAAGCAGAAAAAAATTTTGCAATGAGTTCGGGGCACCTTGTTTTGAGTTGGAGTACCACGGCAGCAAATTAAAAACACAAACCAACGTATGTAGTCAGTAATGCTGTAATGGCAGGTCTGCCCCTGCTGGTGACACATTTTGGGTACCATAATTTAGAACATTTTCCATATGGATATGGTTGGCTTTAGGGTTAGGGTTAGGTAAAAGGGACCTCCAGAAGTATGTGCACCAAGATGGCGCACAACCTGAAATTAGTATGTGTGTGTGTGTGTAGCGGATTCAGGTTGTGCGACATATTGCTGCACATACTTCTGGAGCACCAAAAAGGTAGATAAAATTTCGTATGATGACCTATAATCCGGTACATAACCTTGTAAATATGCCGGACATAGCGCCATAAAACCATGGCGAGAGGCGCCGTGGTTCTTTCGTGGCAGGAGGTGGTAATGACTGCGTCTCCTGTTTTACGCTGTTTCCCTCTGTTTCGCGCTTGTTTCCTTCTGTTTCGCGCTGTTTTCCTCTCTTTTGCGCTATTTTGCGCTGTTTTGCGCTCTTTGCGGTGTTTCGCGCTGTATTCAGTAAGTAGTAAGACCCTCATTGACTCTTAAAAAAGTTATTTATAATTTGGTTTGGTTAATTTCTTGAGCAGAGCCTTGTGTTTCTGGGTTGAATTATTAACAGAAATTGC